GTCGGTGGGTGCTAGGTCGGCGGGTGCCAGGTCGATGGGTGCTAGGTCGGCGGCTGCTCGGTCGGCGGCAGCTCGGTCGGCGGGAGCTAGGTCGGCGATTGCTAGGTCGGCGGGTACTAGGTCGGCGGGTGCTAGGTCGGCGGGGGCTAGGTCGGCGGGGGCTAGGTCGGCGGGGGCTAGGTCGGTGGGTGCTAGGTCGGCGGGGGCTAGGTCGGCGGGTGCCAGGTCGGCGGGTGCCAGGTCGGCGGGTGCTAGGTCGGCGGGTGCCAGGTCGGCGGGTTCCAGGTCGGCGGGTGCTAGGTCGGTGAGTGCCGGGTCGGTGGGCGCCAGGTCGGTGGGTTCCAGGTCGGTGGGTGCTAGGTCGGTGGACCAGGTCGGTGGGTGCTAGGTCGGTGGGTGCCAGGTCGGCGGGTGCCGGGTCGGCGGGCGCCGGGTCGGCGGGTGCCGGGTCGGCGGGGGCATGGTCCGCGGGTGCTAGGTCGGCGGGGGCATGGTCGGCGGGTGCTAGGTCGGCGGGTGCTAGGTCGGCGGGTGCTAGGTCGGCGGGTGCTAGGTCGGCGGGTGCCAGGTCGGCGGGTGCCAGGTCGGCGGGGGCCAGGTCGGCGGGGGCTAGGTCGGCGGGTGCTAGGTCGGCGGGGGCTAGGTCGGCGGGGGCTTTGTCGGTGGGGCTAGGTCGGCGGGTGCTAGGTCGGCGGGGGCTAGGTCGGCGGGTGCCAGCTCGGCGGGTGCTAGGTCGGCGGGGGCCTGGTCGGCGGGTGCTAGGTCGGCGGGTGCTAGGTCGGCGGCTGCCAGGTCGGCGGCTGCCAGGTCGGCGGCTGCCAGGTCGGCGGGGGCCAGGTCGGCGGGGTCTAGGTCGGCGGGTGCTTGGTCGGTGGGTGCCTGGTCGGTGGGTGCTAGGTCGGCGGGTGCCAGGTCGATGGGTGCTAGGTCGGCGGCTGCTCGGTCGGCGGCTGCTCGGTCGGCGGGAGCTAGGTCGGCGATTGCTAGGTCGGCGGGTGCTAGGTCGGCGGGTGCTAGGTCGGCGGGTGCTAGGTCGGCGGGTGCTAGGTCAGCGGGTGCTAGGTCGGCGGGTGCTAGGTCAGCGGGTGCTAGGTCGGCGGGTGCTAGGTCGGCGGGTGCTAGGTCGGTGGGTGCTAGGTCGGTGGGTGCTAGGTCGGCGGGTGCTAGGTCTTCGGGTGCTAGGTCGGCGGGTGCCAGGTCGGCGGTTGACAGGTCGGTGGGTGGCAGGTCGGCGGGTGCTAGGTCGGCGGGAGCTAGGTTGGTGGGTGCTAGGTCGGTGGGTGCCAGGTCGGCGGGTGCCAGGTCGGCGGGTGCTAGGTTGGCGGGTGCCAGGTCGGTGGGTTCCAGGTCGGTGGGTGCTAGGTCGGTGAGTGCCGGGTCGGTGGGCGCCAGGTCGGTGGGTTCCAGGTCGGTGGGTGCTAGGTCGGTGGACCAGGTCGGTGGGTGCTAGGTCGGTGGGTGCCAGGTCGGCGGGTGCCGGGTCGGCGGGCGCCGGGTCGGCGGGTGCCGGGTCGGCGGGGGCATGGTCCGCGGGTGCTAGGTCGGCGGGGGCATGGTCGGCGGGTGCTAGGTCGGCGGGTGCTAGGTCGGCGGGTGCTAGGTCGGCGGGTGCTAGGTCGGCGGGTGCCAGGTCGGCGGGTGCTAGGTCGGCGGGGGCCAGGTCGGCGGGGGCTAGGTCGGCGGGTGCTAGGTCGGCGGGGGCTAGGTCGGCGGGGGCTTTGTCGGTGGGGCTAGGTCGGCGGGTGCTAGGTCGGCGGGGGCTAGGTCGGCGGGTGCTAGGTCGGCGGGTGCTAGGTCGGTGGGTGCTAGGTCGGCGGGGGATAGGTATGCGGGCGCTAGGTCGGCGGGTGCTAGGTCGGCGGGTGCTAGGTCGGCGGGTGCTAGGTCGGCGGGGGCTAGGTCGGCGGGTGCTAGGTCGGCGGGTGCCAGGTCGGCGGGTGCTAGGTCGGTGGGTGCTAGGTCGGTGGGTGCCAGGTCGGTGGGTGCTAGGTCGGCGGGGGCTAGGTCGGCGGGGGCTAGGTCGGCGGGGGCCAGGTCGGCGGGGGCCAGGTCGGCGGGGGCTAGGTCGGCGGGTGCTTGGTCGGTGGGTGCCAGGTCGGTGGGTGCTAGGTCGGCGGGTGCCAGGTCGATGGGTGCTAGGTCGCCGGCTGCTCGGTCGGCGGCAGCTCGGTCGGCGGGAGCTAGGTCGGCGATTGCTAGGTCGGCGGGTACTAGGTCGGCGGGTGCTAGGTCGGCGGGGGCTAGGTCGGCGGGGGCTAGGTCGGCGGGGGCTAGGTCGGTGGGTGCTAGGTCGGCGGGGGCTAGGTCGGCGGGTGCCAGGTCGGCGGGTGCCAGGTCGGCGGGTGCTAGGTCGGCGGGTGCCAGGTCGGTGGGTTCCAGGTCGGTGGGTGCTAGGTCGGTGAGTGCCGGGTCGGTGGGCGCCAGGTCGGTGGGTTCCAGGTCGGTGGGTGCTAGGTCGGTGGACCAGGTCGGTGGGTGCTAGGTCGGTGGGTGCCAGGTCGGCGGGTGCCGGGTCGGCGGGCGCCGGGTCGGCGGGTGCCGGGTCGGCGGGGGCATGGTCGGCGGGTGCTAGGTCGGCGGGGGCATGGTCGGCGGGTGCTAGGTCGGCGGGTGCTAGGTCGGCGGGTGCTAGGTCGGCGGGTGCTAGGTCGGCGGGTGCCAGGTCGGCGGGTGCCAGGTCGGCGGGGGCCAGGTCGGCGGGGGCTAGGTCGGCGGGTGCTAGGTCGGCGGGGGCTAGGTCGGCGGGGGCTTTGTCGGTGGGGCTAGGTCGGCGGGTGCTAGGTCGGCGGGGGCTTGGTCGGCGGGTGCTAGGTCGGCGGGTGCTAGGTCGGTGGGTGCTAGGTCGGCGGGGGCTAGGTATGCGGGCGCTAGGTCGGCGGGTGCTAGGTCGGCGGGTGCTAGGTCGGCGGGTGCTAGGTCGGCGGGTGCTAGGTCGGCGGGTGCTAGGTCGGTGGGTGCTAGGTCGGTGGGTGCCAGGTCGGTGGGTGCTAGGTCGGCGGGTGCTAGGTCGGCGGGTGCTAGGTCGGCGGGTGCTAGGTCGGCGGGGGCTAGGTCGGCGGGGGCTAGGTCGGTGGGGGCTAGGTCGGCGGGGGCTAGGTCGGCGGGTGCCAGGTCGGTGGGTTCTAGGTCGGTGGGTGCCAGGTCGGCGGGTGCCAGGTCGGTGGGTTCTAGGTCGGTGGGTGCTAGGTCGGCGGGTGCCAGGTCGGCGGGTGCTAGGTCGGCGGGGGCATGGTCGGCGGGTGCTAGGTCGGCGGGTGCTAGGTCGGCGGGTGCTAGGTCGGCGGGTGCTAGGTCGGCGGGTGCTAGGTCGGCGGGTGCTAGGTCGGTGGGTGCTAGGTCGGTGGGTGCTAGGTCGGTGGGTGCCAGGTCGGTGGGTGCTAGGTCGGTGGGTGCTAGGTCGGCGGGTGCTAGGTCGGCGGGGGCTAGGTCGGCGGGGGCTAGGTCGGTGGGGGCTAGGTCGGCGGGGGCTAGGTCGGCGGGTGCCAGGTCGGTGGGTGCTAGGTTGGTGGGTGCCAGGTCGATGGGTGCCAGGTCGGCGGGTTCTAGGTCGGCGGCTGCTCGGTCGGCGGGTGCCAGGTCGGCGGGTGCTAGGTCGGCGGGGGCATGGTCGGCGGGTGCTAGGTCGGCGGGTGCTAGGTCGGCGGGTGCTAGGTCGGCGGGTGCTAGGTCGGCGGGTGCTAGGTCGGCGGGTGCTAGGTCGGTGGGTGCTAGGTCGGTGGGTGCTAGGTCGGTGGGTGCCAGGTCGGTGGGTGCTAGGTCGGTGGGTGCTAGGTCGGCGGGTGCTAGGTCGGCGGGTGCTAGGTCGGCGGGGGCTAGGTCGGCGGGGGCTAGGTCGGCGGGGGCTAGGTCGGTGGGGGCTAGGTCGGCGGGGGCTAGGTCGGTGTGTTCGAGGTTGGATGGTGCTAGGTCGGCGGGTGCTAGGTCGGCGGGTGCTAGGTCGGCGGGCGCTAGGTCGGCGGGTGCTAGGTCGGCGGGTGCTAGGTCGGCGGGTGCTAGGTCGGCGGGAGCCAGGTTGGCGGATGCTAGGTCGGCGGGTGCCAGGTCGGCGGGTGCCAGGTCGCTGTGTGCTAGGTTGGTGGGTGCTAGGTCGGCGGGTGCTAGGTCGGCGGGTGCTAGGTCGGCGGGTGCTAGGTCGGCGGGCGCTAGGTCGGCGGGTGCTAGGTCGTCGGGTGCTAGGTCGGCGGGTGCTAGGTCGGCGGGTGCTAGGTCGGCGGGTGCTAGGTCGGCGGGTGCTAGGTCGGCGGGTGCTAGGTCGGCGGGTGCTAGGTCGGCGGGTTGCTAGGTCGGCGGGAGCCAGGTCGGCGGGGGCTAGGTCGTCGGGGGCTACGTCGGTGGGTGCTAGGTCGGTGGGTGCTAGGTCGGTGGGTGCTAGGTCGGCGGGTGCTAGGTCGGCGGAAGGTCGGCGGGTGCTAGGTCGGCGGGTGCTAGGTCGGCGGGTGCTTGGTCGGCGGGTGCTAGGTCGGCGGGTGCTAGGTCGCTGGGTGATAGGTCGCTGGGTGCTAGGTTGGCTTGCAAGTAACACACATCACATACTTGCGGCAGCGTAAGCTGCACCCATTCAAAAACATAGAGCGAGGGGCCTGACCAGATGGCTGGTCAGGGGCGTCTTCATGCCCCACTGCGGCGTCTATTCTTACTCAAGGCATAAGAAAGCAAAGCACGGCAAACATGTCATGGAGACAAACGTTCTGTTACAAACACCGAACACAAAAAAAAAGTCTGGCACCATGAGCTGTAGCTTGCACAACATTCGGGACATAAAAAAAAAACAACCAGCTCCTAACCAGCCCTAGAAGATTCCAGCTCCGCTACCCTACAACCCAATCCTTTCCCATCCAACCCCAACCACAATCCTCCCCTCTTCTTTCCCTAACCACCTCCCCGCTCCTCCACCCCGCACCTAACTTCCCTTCGCACCTCCCTGACCCCCACCCGCCCCCGCTGTCACTCCCGCCATCCTCGCCGCGGCCACCATGCGGCCAAACACCCCGCCCCCCGCCGCTAGCTCCCCCGGCGGCCCGCTCTCCACCAGCCTCCCCCCCGCCAGCACCAGCAGCTGGTCAGTATCCATAATGGTGTCCAGCCGGTGAGCGATCACCAGCAACACACGCCCCTCGTGATGACGGTTGGCGCTGCTGCTGCGGCTGCGGCTGCTGCTGGTAACGATGCTGCGGTGGTGGGGTCCTGGTAGGGTCTTGTGCCGTTGAGCCACTTCCTTACCGACGGACATGCCGTTTAGTTCGCCCCCGGCGTCGGACTCTCTGATACAGCCGCTGGGCTCCAATGCCTGCTGCTGCTGTTGTTGCTGCTGCTGCTGTTCACCGGCGTTGTTCCACTGCGATGCAGCTGCTGTGGCGCTTATCACCTTGTCCTCGCCCGCCTCCTCCTCTCCTTCCTTCTGCTGGCTGCTGCTGCTGCCGTGTGCAAAGCTGCGCAGGGCGTTTTGGATGAGCTGGTCCGTGGCACGGTCCACGTTGGCAGTGGCCTCGTCAAGCGCCAGGACCTGGGACGGGTGGAAGAACAGGTGGAAGGCAGCGGGGCAGGGTGAAGCGTGGGCACTGAAGAGAGCAAGACGATGGCTGCAGCCCCAACCCACCCAGCAAAATACCATCTCTGGTGTCGTTGCAGATGAGACTGGTGGAAAAGGCAGGCAGGCAGGCAGGCAGGCAAGGAATACCAGCAAACCAGCTCTGCGCGCTTTCAGTCCAGTACCCTCCACTCCCTCATTTAATCCCTCACCTTGGCATCTTGCAGCAGCGCCCGGGCCAGGCAGAAAAGCTGCCGCTGCCCCACACTCAGGTTGCCGCCGCACTCCGCCATGGGGGCATCCAGACCTCCCGGCATGGCCGCCACTGCGGCTCGCAGCTGTACGGCCGCCAGCACCCGCCACAGCTGCGGGTCGGAGTGGGTGCGCCAGGGGTCCAGGTTGGATCGAAGACTGCCGCTGAAGAGCACCGGGTCCTGCGCGAGCATGCACGCATGCGTGCGAGGTAAGGGGGATTCAACTGCTGACGAACTGTGTGTACGACGTATGTACGGAGGATAAGGCTTCATGCATGCGGGGTGGGGAGGCGGATTGGGGAGGCGGAGTGGGGATGAGGGTGAGAGAGCAAAACGTGGTGGTGGTGTTGATGATATAAGCAGGGCATGGTTGTTGAAACGCAAGGATGCCGTAATGGCCAATGCGCCCACGACGGAAGGTCCCCACGCACCCAAGGGCCACAACTGTGGACCCGTATGTGTCTCATGCCACCTCTCCTCGCTCCTTTTGCGCTCTTGGGTCCCTCGCAGCCCCGTACAGTGCGGCATCAGCGCAGGCGCAGCATCGACGTAGCATCCGTGCCGGCCACCATGCATGCCCTCCTGCCCTCCATCCCTCTGTCCCGCGCACACACACACACACACACACACATGCACGCCATGCGCGTTTGCACGCACGCACGCACAGCATTGTGGTGTCTCGTCCGTGTATCCAGAGCGGGGGCTCCCGGCGTCGAGTTTGGTCAGCGGGCTTTAGTTCTCGGTAGTATTTTAGTTTTTTCCGACACCATCAGCATCACCGACATGCGTCGTCACTCGTCACCTGCCACTCTTCTTACATCCAGCAACAGCCATTTAAGCAGTTTCTTGAATTATGGTTCAGGTTCGGTCACCTCTGTTTTGTCTGTTTTGCCTGTACTCGCGGTTCACATGCGAACCTATCCCAACTGCTTGCTCTTGTCCTACTCAATTACACACATGCACGCCCTCCTGCCCTCCTTCCCACACACACTCATGCATGCCCGCCAGTCCTCCATGCCCTCCTGCCCGCCAGCCCTCCTGCCCGCACTCACACACCTGTGGTATGATCGCCAGCTGTCGCCTCAGCGCATCCAGCCCCAGCGACGCCGTGTCCCGGCCGTCCAGCAGGATGCGGCCGCGCGTGACGTCGATCAACCGGAACAGCGTCAGCATGAGGCTGCTCTTGCCGCTGCCGGTGCGGCCCACCACTCCGCAGCTGGTGCCTGGTCGCAGCTCAAAGCTGATGTCACGAAGAACCGGCGGCAAGCCTGTGATGTAAATGCGCATTCGGTGTATGCATGATTGTTAGTCGTGTTAATAGTTTGAAATAAACGGAACATATAACGAAGCGCATGCGGAGGACAGAGTAGATGAGTTGCACGGTGTGGCTGAGTACAAGTCGTGTGGTGGCGTACACTAGTGATAACCTGATAAGCCCGAGTCCCAAGCTGATCGCAGTGGGACCGACCCACCGGGTCGGTACACCGCCGTGACGTTCTCGTATCGCAGCGCTCCCGAGGCGGGCCAGCCGGGTGGCGGCGGCGCGCCCCCCTCCGCCACCCGCGGCGGCTCACTGGGCAGGCGGGTGTACGACAACATGCGTTCCACGGAGGTCATGTTGTTCTCCACCTCGGCGGTCTGGAAGGGTTTTAAGAGGGGTGTAGTTAAGGAAGGGGTGTAATTAAGGAGGGGTGTGTGTAGTGGGGGGCGGATGAATGTTTCGGCTATAGTTACAGGCTGTATGCGTGTACGGTGTCCGTACGAGCCAGGGGGGCCCAAAGGACACGCTGAGCATTGAAAAAATTAGTCCGGGTCCGAATTCCCGGTCGCCAGGTGGGGACGGCAGGTTGTAACTTTGTAAACTGCTTGCAAGGAGAGAATATACATGTAAGAGAAGCACCTCCCAACCCTAACATTGCTAACAGCCTCCACCGGCCCCACTGCCCACCTGCCGTACCACCCACTGCATCAGGCCGGTCAACTGCAGTACGTGCGTCAGGGCCAGCGCCATCACCTGAGGGTTGGGAGCGGAGGGTAGAAAACAAGGGTAGGGAATTAGGTTGCTAGTAAGCCAGACACGGGTTGGCTTTCTCAAGTTGGAATGGGTTGATGTGCTCTCATGCCGACAGGGCCCTCCAGAACATCCAGACTTGGATCCAAGAAGCCCAGAATCTCTTCGAGACCCAAACAACCACCCTCTTCACTACTTCTTACTACTCAGGTACGGTACTCACCCCTGCGCATGAGCACTCCATGCACATGTGCACCGCATTCCCACACACACACACCCCTCACCCCGCGACAGCTGTTGTATTCTGCAAGGAAGTAGACAATTTGGAGCCAATTCGGCCCATGGGCCAGCGGGGGCCGTAGACAGCGGAAGACTCGAATCTTAGTATGGAAAGCTTCATAGAGAAAGGTATGCGCGTCCGGCTAGGATTGGGTGCTGGGAAAGTGACATCGCGCTGACCGTTTTAATTTCACATCCAAGCACCAACACATTGATGAATTTGTAATTGTTACATGGTTGTTTGTATCAAGCGTGCGACTTGTAGGAGCTTAGTCAAGTAATGAGCCTGTTCAGCTGCGTGCCCTTGTTCTACTCAACTTTACACCCCTCACCCCTATCCCTATTCATTATCCCCTCACCCCGGTGTTGATGCTGTCCTTCATGGCCATGGCCAGCAGGGCGGCAGCCAGCAGGGTGCTGCCCGCCACTGCATCCAGCCGCACACCGATCCACCTGGCAGGGGAGGTGCGGGGAGGAAGAGGAGGAGAGGGCAAGGGTAAGTTAAAAATGGAGGAGGGGAAACCAAGGGGGTCGGTTCCTCCGCCTCCCTCCACTGCACACCGCCTTCGCCTTGCAAGCACCGTAAACAAAGTCAAGTAGCCAAGACGAGACAAGACGAGACCGCCCTGGTCATCGTGTTTAAAGCTACGAAGGAGCCAAGCGGGGGGAGGCGGCTGTTGCCGTACGCACCTGGCAGTTGAGATGAAGGCAAAGTACCAGTTTCCGTTGTGGGTCATGATGTCCAGGAACGCGTCGTTGAAGCGGCCCGCGGCGCCGAACGCGCGAATGGTGGGCAGACCCTGGAGGGAAGCACCGGGGACGTGTTGACGCAACAACCATAACCACCATCTTCCAATGGCAATGCGGACCAAGGCCCCGTCCTTCTTTCCCACATCACAGCACAGCTAACTCTCGCTTTTCCAGCAGAGCGTAAGTAAACAGTAACCCCAAACCTAAACCGTCCAATCCCAACTCACCCTACCCCAATGCCTATACTCCATTCCATCCGAGATACCTCCATGTACGATGCTGGTCCCTCACTTCTCACTGCATGCCCATACTCCCAATCCCCCCCAACCCCAACCCCTCCATGCATGCCAAGATGCTGCCGTACCTTCAGCGTAGCGGAGAAACTCGCAAAGACGGGTGAGCGCGTGACCGCCTCCCAGCGCTTCACCTCCCGGCTGGCAGTGATGTAGCGCCGCCGAACCCACCAGAACGCCACCAGCAGCGGCAGGAACACGGGCAGGATGACGGGGACGGCGATGCACACAAGGACGAGCGCACCCAGCACCTGGAGCGGGGAGGGGAGTGGAGAAGGTGGAGGGAAGTGAGGAGGGAGGGGAATGGGGGGGTGGAGGGAGGGGTGGAAGGGGAAGGAACGGAGGATAGGAGAAAGAAGATTCCTGGAGGGTTGTTTGGTGCTTAGGAACAAAGGGGGACAGATACCGGTAGTGCGGCCCACCCAACCCCACCTGGAATGAGGACTGCAGTGCGTCGAAGAGCGAGGAGGGGAGCAGGTCGTCCACCTGCCCCTGGTCCTTGGAGAACCTGCAGGGCGGGGGGGAGGTGAGAGGGGAGCAGCAGGGTAACGGGAAGAAGGGAGAAGGGAAGAAGGTGGGTCAAAGACCATACCAAACCATAGGAAAACACAGGTTAGGGCAAAAAGACCAACCAGCAGGAGCAAGGGACAGCGACGACGCGAAGTGATGAATGATTCCGAATGGAGTGCAGGCGGCGAACGGGGCGAACGGGGTACTTCAGGAATGGTTTTGCCAGTGCTGCTGCGGCCGAGCCGCACCCGCGTACACGCGGAGATGACGCAGCCTCACCTGTTGACGATGCGGCCCGAGGGGTTGGTGTGGAAGAACGACAATGGCGCGCGCAGTACCCTGAAGGTAAGGGGAGAGGAGAGGGGGTGCCAGTGAGGCGGGTGTCCGTGGCGCTTAGGACCGTGACCCGTGGGTAGCAGGCATAAGCCACAGGACTACCAAAGGCCGACTGACGAGCAGAAGTTTGATATCTTACAGCCTAAGCGTGTACATGCCCCCCTTCATGAGGCTGTCAGTTGGGTTCACTTGCCTGTGTGCCATGGCGTTGTGGATGGAGGTCGCAGCCGACAGAGTGGCCTCGAAGAAGATGGCCGATCGGAAGACAGCCAAAATGATAACGATGACCGTTAGTAAGCCGTACACCCACAACCAACTGGAGTGGCGGTGGTTGGACAGGGCAGGAGGTGGCGAGGTGTCGACCGCATGCACATTGTAGAGAAAAGGGGAGGGCAGGATGAACACATGAAAATGGGAAAATTAGGTAAAACAGTACACTAAATGACTGCATGAGCGGATGTCTGCCACCCCTGAACAAAGCGCCTGGTAGCCACTGCGGCCAAGTGACGCCCCAAACCCCAGTGGTGTACCAGTATACAGCTCCTGACAACGCATTCCAGCCCAGCCCATCTCCAGCCCAGCCCATCTCCAGCCCAGCCCAGCCCAGCCCTGCTCTTCCCCCCCCCATCCCACCTCTTCTTCTCCTGCTCCTCCGGACTAGACCGCGCCCACATGGCCAGCCACCACTCGCTGCCCAGGAACACGGCCTGCCCCGCCAGCAGCGCCGCCGCGATGAAGGCGGTGGAGGGCAGGCCCAGGTGCACGCAGTAACTGCCGTACACCCGCCAGGACACCGTACCCGTGGCGCGGTCCTCCGAGGCGACCAGCTTGCCTGGGGGTGGGGAGGGGTGGGTGGGGGGGAGATAAACCAAAACCATAAGTTGGGTGTGGGGGAGTGTGGGGTAAAAGAAGGATACCCGGTGTGTTGATTGACAATGACAAACTTCGCGAAGGGAGTGGAGTGTGGGGCAAGAGGGGTGGTGTGGGGTGGTAGGTGCAAGGGATGGGTGGTCACATGAGGCGAGGATAGGTGTTTGTTGCCATGCGTGGCAAGACTTCACACCTGCTTACCTGCGTCTCCTTTCTGCTGCGCATCCGCCTTGCCTCCACCGCCTTCCTTGCTCGGCACCTCATCCGCGGCCCTCCCTGCTGCCGTACTGCCAGCAAAGAAGCGACTCAACGACTTGCGAAAGCTCTCCGCTTGCTGGAACCCGGGGCTGGAGGCGGCGGCCTGGGTGCCTGAGAGGGCCCTTCGGCTGCCGAACAGGGAGGGAGTGCGGATCCAGAGGCGGCTGGCCCGGCTGCGAGGGCTGCCCGTGGTGTGGTTGTGGTTGTCGTTGTGAGGGGCGCTAGGGCTGTTAGGATGATCGCCGTTGGTGTTGTCGTTGTGAATGCCGTTGGTGTTGTCCGCGGCAGGGGAAGCTGTTGCTGTTGCTGCACCATTCGAGCCAGACTCCTCCTTTGGCGTCCGGGAGTCCTCATTGCCGTCGTTTGCCCCGGCATTGTCGCCGTCAACCGCCGGTGCAACATGAGCAACCCCAGCAGCAGCCCCCGCCCCTGCAGGGGCCCCCGCCCCGCCGCCTCCCTCCCTGCCAGCCGCTTCCGCCCCCTCCACATCATCCATCGCCTCATCCACCGTAGCCTCCTCCTCCTCCGCGACCGCAGCCCCACTCCCCCCCTCCGCCCCGCCCGCCCCGCCACCCGCACCCGCACCCCCAGCCATGCCCCCATGCCCCGCTGTGAGCTCCGGCAGCTTCAGCTCCGCCACCTGACGCCAGGGACCCAGCGCTGCCACCGCACCACCCCGCAACACCAGCACGCGGTCACACCTGAGAAAGAAATGGAGCGGAGGGGGGCGCAGGAAGGAATACCGGTAAAGCTACGGAGGAAAGCCGGGGAGGAGATAGCTCGCTAGCGGTTGGTTACTATTGGGAGAGGCAGGGAGAGCCTAGCAGTCCTAACCTAATCCACCCCGTCCCCTCCTCCGTCGCTTGCCACTCCCGCACCCACTTGGGCAGGTACTGCCGCTGGTGGGTCACCAGCAGCCGAGTGGCGCCGCATGCCGCCAGCAGTCCGCCGGGCCCGATGGCGCCCGAAAAGAGGTCGCGACCGACCCGTGGGTCAACGGCGGACAGCGGGTCGTCCAGGAGCGCCACAGCGGGCCGCGAGTAGCAGGCGCGAGCCAGGGCCACTCGGGCCTTTTGTCCGCCTGGGTGGATAGACAGGGCGATAAGAGGCTTGGGGAAAGGCCAAAAGAGGAGGGGAAAGGAGGGGAAAGGAGGGCCAAAACCGGATAACTGACCCTCCCCGCTACCAACCCGCCCCCACCTGACAGGTTCACCCCCCGCTCCCCCAGCTCCGTGGCATCCCCCGCCGGCAGCCCCGCTAGGTCGTCTGTCAGGCAGCAGGCGCGTACGACAGCGCCGTACCACTGCTCGTCCCAGGGGGAGCCGAACACGATGTTCTCACGCACGCTACCCGCCACGATCCAGGGCACCTGCGGCGCAAACACATGCCGTGTATGTAACACCCTTTGGGTTGCAAATATCATGCGCACGTTGTTGAATGAAGCAGGGTATGGTGGTTAGGACATGCCCCCAGGAAAGGCCTGGGAATGCGTCACATATGAAGATCCAAGCAGACATCAGGCACCTGTAGAATCCCTGTCACTGGTCTTTCTAAACCCCCTTTCGTAGACAACCACCCTTTCACCTGCATACCTGAGAGCAGTAAGCCACACGGCCACGGACAATCGGTCCTCCGCCCCCGCCTCCTCCTCCTGAAGAACTCCCACCGCCACCCTCCCCGCCACCAGCCAACTCCACTCGGACCTCGCCTTCACATGTCCCAGCTCCCGACCCATGGGTCACTTGGGGTCCCTGCCGTCCCCCCAGCTGCAGCGGCTGCAGCTCCCCCAGCAGGGCCGCAAGCAGGGAGCTCTTCCCCGACCCCACCGCCCCGCACACCCCCAGCAGCTCACCCGGGGCGGCGGAGAACCGCACGCCCCGCAACGTCAGGGAGCTGCTTTCCCCGCTGACCCCACTGCCCCCGCACCCGGCGCCCGCCCCAATCCCACTGTCATGAACCTCATGGCTGCTGCCCCCGCCATTACTAGCATCGCCGTGGGGACTTGTGTGCTCCCCGTTGCTGCCTCCTGAACCTCCCTTGCCAGCTGCCACCTCTGCTTTTGTCCGCTCCTCGCTTTTCCGCCCGCCTCCGCTTTTACTATTACCAGAAGCAGCAACAGCAGCAGCCCTGCCACCGCTTCCACCAAGTGCGGTACCATGCGTGTCAATTACGAGCACCTCATCCCGACCAAAGGGACGCGACCAATCGTAATCCGCTCCGCCCATGGCTACGTATCCATCCGGCAGAGAGGAATCGGTATCACCATCACAGCCTGCCGAATCAGGCTGCCCCCCTAGTGCCTCCTGATGCTGCTGCTGCTGCTCTGTCGGCCTAGAATCCTGGCGTTGCTCAGCCTGTTGTGGCTGTTGCGGCTGCTGTTGTGACTGTTGTTGTTGTTGCTGCTGTTGTTGGTATTGTTGCTGCTGTGCGGGTCGGGGTGGCTCCGGTGTGGAGAGGAAGGCGTCGATGCGCTGCAGCGAGATGCGCAGCTCGGTGAGGAACTGGACCGCCAGCACGAAGAAGTTCACCTGAGGGGAGAGGAGGAGGAGAGGCGAGGAGAGGAAGGGAGAGGAGGAGAGGGGTAAAGAGAGGGCATGAGAAGGAAAGAGGGCAGTTGGGGGCTGAGCTTGGAGTTACAGAGGGTGTAGTGTAGTGTAGAGGGTGGAACACGTGAGCGGCAACACCCTTGTTAGCATGTGGAGCCAACACACAGGCAGCCTCCCCCGGCTGAGGTACCGGTAGGTTTGGGAGTTCACATTCAGATGATTCAGAACCCACCATGTAGAGTTTGGGCAGGCTGAGCAGCGAGAGCGCGTAGAAGACGGAGGCCACGTGCAGGGTCCCGGAACGAGCCCTGGCGGTGATTCAAGGTTTGGAAAGGGCGAGGTAGTGGGAGTTTCTGGGATTAAGCGGCCATCATGCATGAGTCCATGCACGTCAAGCGAATCAGTCCAAAGTCCTATCAACACCTTGGCGTCCGCTCCAGACCACAACACTCCCGCCAACCCCTGCCCCACCTGTACACCGCAAACGTCACAAACGACACGATGGGCGTGATGGCGAACTGAAGCGCGAAGTTGACCCCCCGAATGCGCTGCGTGCGTCGGCTGTAGTGCGTCTCCCGCCCGCGGATGTCACGTAGGGCCGCAGCAAAAGGGTCCTGGGGGGAGTAGGAAGAGGAGGAAGAGGAGGGGAGGGAGCAAGGGAGGGTAATGCTTCTCGGTTACCGGTACGCTTATGGATTTCTTGGATTCCATGCAGCTGGCTGCTGATATGGTCCATGGACAGAGGGGGGAGGCCAAGCTGACGTAGCTGACGTAGCTAGCTCAGTGCGTTTGGGAGGTCTGCTGCCCGACCTCCATAATCAGGCATGCAAGGAAGCGTTGGTTTCGCATGCACATGTCACATTCCCAAGCAAGGAAGAGGTGCTCTGGAAAATGCATGCATGCATGCGTGTAAGGCCGCTGGGGATGGTGTCACATACACTGCCCACCCGCCACCCCCCCCCCTCCCCGCCCACCTCCCAGCCGAGCATCTTCATGGCTAGCGCGCCCTCCACCACCTCCCCCGCTAGCCGCACTCGCTCGTCCGTACAACGAGCCGTGTTACGCCTGGAGAGGGGGTGGGGGGGGGAGGTACCGGTAGTAGTGGGGCAGTGAGAACGAGGGGTCCAAGGTCCCAAGGGAAGAGGTGAGCAGTAGTGGAATGAGGGATGCTCATCAGAAGCCAAGAGAGGCGCTGGGGTGACCGCACACATCGTGCATCACCTCCCCCTCCCCTCTCCCTCCCCCATTGTTTTGCCCTAAGTCATGGTTTCCTTTGGTTTGGTCTGTTTTCATTCCCCTCACCTGAGCCCCCCGATGTAGCGCACCAAGCCGCTCTGCAGCGGTATCATGGCCAGCGAGCTAGCCACCCCGGCAAGCGCGGAGGGGAAGTCCAGCTCCAAACTCACCTGTGGGGGGATGGAATGGAGAGGAGAAGAGAGAAGAGAGGAGAGGGAGAGGGGGGCCGGCGGGGTGTGGAGAGAGAGGGGGGGCGGATGGTTTGGGAGAGTGCGGCAGGTAGCCACCTGCCTCATGGAGTTGAAGGCCGACATGGCTAGCTGCGATGCCGTACGACGGGAGCTACCGTATCCCGCAGCACCGTTACATCTCCGGACTCGCTGCTCGCCCCTCAATCCCTCGCACCCCCCCCCTCGCCCCTCCCCGCACCATGAGCAGCACCATGCACAGCTCCAGGGGGGCTGCCCACAGGAAGATCCAAAACGGCATCACATCGTCGAACCTACGGCGGGAGGAGTTGGGTCGGTTGGGTTGGGTTGGTTGTGGTACATGGCAGCAACAGCAGCTGCAACCAGTTCCCAACGACATATAACATGAACCCAATTACGCCACAACATGCCCCACCACGTAGCAGTGCTCGATGGTCTTGCAAAGGTCACAAAGGTTAGACTTCCCTTCCAACTCCCCATCAGACCCCAGGCCCTCCTACACCCCCCCCCCTTCACCTGCGCACGTCATTCGACACCAGGTTCACCACATGACCGGTGGAGAGGGCGCCCACTGCCGCGCTGTTCAGCCGCAGCACCTTGGAGTGGATGGCAGCGATCGCCTGCTGACGCATCCGGAAGCCCGAACGCATGCCAATCCTGACCGGCAAGTAAACCGAGGTCATGTGTACACGTGTAAGCGTAAAAGTGGCAGGGACCTAGGCTCATACCCAGGCAAGCTTACCATGTTTATAGGAACGGTGCGCTAAGCAAACTGGCCGCGAGCCGGAACGGTGTGTTTAGGAAGCAAAGGGTTTGCAAAAGGAAATGATTGCCCCAACGTTCGCCTCACGGCTTGTGCGTACCGAGGCTGCAGCGACCCATGGGTCGCCGCCCACCGACCCACCAGAACAGCTGGTGGTGGATGACGACCATGGAGCAGCCGCACGCCCCCAGCACCACCGCCCACACCCAGCCCTTCCACTCGGGCTGCGGAGTGCCAGCCGCGTAGGCCTGAGGTGTCGGGGTTGGGGCGCAGCAGGGTAAAGCGGAAGCAGCTCAGGGTGGAGCGGGTTGCACGCACTTTTCAGTTATACGAACAGTGCAAGTTGGCGAAGCCTTCTCATCCCTTACCCTCCCCCTTCCGGACCCACCTGCAGCCAAAACAGGAACTGCCGCAGCGCCACAGGAGTACCCAACCTGGAGCGGAGGAGGGAGGGGGGGAGGGATCAAGCTGGTAGGAGGAGAGGGAGGTGGAAAAGAGAAGGGCGAGACCGCCTTTGGCCCTGCCTTGGCCGCCCCAACGACACCTCACCCCCACCCCATTCCTCACCTCTGCCCCACCTCCACCAGCACCCACAGCGACTCCAGCAGCATGGGACGCCAGTAGAGCCGCAGGAGGGTGATGCCGGTTAGGGTGGTCCAGGGGCGCCGACGAGGGGGCTGGGGCGGGGGCTGGTGGGGCTGCTGCTTGGGAGAACCCTCCACAGTAGAGGAGTGAGTGGCGCTATTGTGGCTGTTGTTGTTGTTGCTGCTGATGCTAGGGCTGTCAGTTATGTTGATGGAGGGGCTGAGGCTGCTTGGGGAGGAGTACTCGGCCTGATAGAGGTCGAGGAGACAGGGAGCAGGAAGTGCGGGCTTCTAAGGACAGCTTTGCGTCGGCAAGGAAGGAAGCGGCATGTTGGCCACCCAGCAGCCCAAGGAGCCACAATGTTGCTTCTGCTGTATATCTAGGAAGGTAATTGGCGTCGTGCCAGGGCGGCATTCGCCGCGTCTAGGTTGTCCTTGCCGAACCGGCTACTGCCTCCGCCCATTCGTCAGCCGCCACAGCCTGGGGCGCAAAACAGACCGCAATGGAGCATTGACCCTGCTGGACAAACCCACCTTCACTCGCTCATATGTGCGCTCGAATTCCACGGCTAACGTCTGTGCTTGGTCGCTTGAAGACGTCAGCCACTCGACGTCATTCTCCTCAATCGGCAGTCTAGCCGCTCGGTCCAGCAACGGCTCAACATATGAAAAGAATAGACGCGACACCCATGATACTTCGGCATACCCCTTGGCACGCAACGGCTCAGCGGGCCCGGACGCAATTGTCATCTGTCGCCGTTTTTACAACCGCGCAAAACCTCACGTTGCCATAAAGTCGACAATACTGACAGTAGTCAAAGAATATCAATGACAGTGTTTTGTTGCCATCAAACGCTTGGAAGCCGAGTTCGCTCGTGTTGTGAATTAAGCTTACTATTGCAAAAGGCAACGCACAGGTGCGGCGTATAATCGGCTCTACCTAACAACGTGTTTCGCAGCAAATGTTAAGGTAACGCACACGCCTGGAACGATGACAACAACGTAAGATGTAACTGTACGAACAGTAGTAATTTCGGCCACATCCAAAATTCCTTAGCAACGCAATGTCGCAATCGCATATTCACTTTTGCAATCTTGCCGCGAAGCAATCGTATCCAGCAATGGTGCCGATGCGGTACCGTATTTAGAGCAGTGTTAATGAGACGACCCTTGGGGCCGTCTACGCTCAACGGGCGAATATAACACTCATCCGATTTCACTAAACTCTCAAAGCATCGTTCAATGTGGCTGCTTACACCGCCCCATTGGTGCTGACGCTGAGCTGACGCCGGTCAATGCTGGATGTTGCCATGTTGCCAGAAGCGCTACGGCATAGGGTTGCCAAGCCTTAGGCACAACAGCAAGCCCTCTGTGGCGTCTGCCTGCCGAAGATCTTGCTCCTTGTGTTCTTGCATGGCATGTGTGCTAGGTTACGTCAGGTGTGCGCTCCATGCTGTCTGGCACGGGGTCATGGGCCACCAGCCCATCACGCCATTTAGCACCCAGAACCGGCCACTGTACGCCCCGACGGCCATGGGCGCAGAGCTAGGCAGGGTGCGCGCTTAGCCTTCTAGCAGTCGCAGCCGCGCGAAGCTGTGTGGTATGGCACAGCTTGCATGAGTGAATATTGGCTAGGGACCAAGGGCAGTCAACTCCTGACAGACTGCCCTTGTCCACGGAGAAAGAGGGAGATCGCGTGAAGCTTGGCTGAGGTTGAGCGGGTGCGCTGAAAGCAGGGGTTGGGCGGCTTGCTTGACGACAGCAGGCAGCCTGTACTGCTGCGGCAACAGGGTTTGCGGGATGGCCTTTCACGAATGCGTTTCACATAATCTCTTTTCCAACAAGCTTTCAAGCTGAGCTGCAACGTTTTTAGCGCTTGCTTGCTTCGTCATTGTTTGCACAACACCCGACCTCGCCGCGTATCCAACCCACTAGTGCTAGTACTGCAGCCATAAAGTACAAAGGCGTATTTAAAGTCAGAAACACTTGTCGTCAGCGCAAGACCGTCCTATTAGAGCAGCCGACCGGCGCGAAGCAAAGCAAGGATTACCACGCTCGGAGGAGAACAGGCGCTAAACAACACTCAATAATACCTCTTAAACAATGAGGGATTTCCACTTCTCTATCGACCGAGGCGGAACTTTCACGGATGTCTTTGCCGAGGTGCGATTGCAAGCTGGCGACGTTTTTCCTTGGTCGCTTGCAACACAAAACTACTCCCTTCTTTGCCCCCAAACTGACGCACAGGTGCCTGACGGCAAGGGCGGTCGCACCTTCAAGTAAGCTATCCTTCCTCGCAATCCCGCGTTCAGGATGGCATCCCGCCGGTGACCCTACCTGAACCCCGCATCCTTCCCGCCACCACAGGGTCCTCAAGCTGCTTTCCGTCGACCCAGCCAACTACCCCGACGCTCCCCGTGAGGGCATTCGCCGCGTGTTGGAGGAAGTAACAGGTACACACTCCGACACCCATGCTTCCTCCCCTCCTCCCCTCCCTCCCCCTCCCCATCCCCTTCACCTCCCAACCTTCCCTCAACAAAAAACACAATATATTGGGTATTCTTCTCTGCAACCCCAGGCACCCCCCACCCCCGCGACCTGCCGCTGGACACCTCCCGCCTCGCCTCCATCCGCATGGGCACCACCGTGGCCACCAATGCGCTGCTGGAGCGGCAGGGCGAGCGAGCGGCGCTGGCGGTGACGGAGGGCTTCCCGCACCTGTTGCACATTGGGAACCAGGTGGGGGGTTAAGACGAAATAACTACCTGACTGTGTGATAGGGCGTCATCAGTTGGGGGGGGGGCGAAGACCATACCGTAGGAAACCACAGGTTGGGGCAAAGTAATGGGGATAGGAGGCGGCAGGGTGCCACAATACAAAGTGAGGGTTAGCGGCTCCTACCGCTGACCAGGTATGGAAGGTGGGGGGTAAAAGAGATGGGAAGGAACCTGTTGGGCCCCAACAGGGTCCAGGTTCGATACGTTGGCATCCATGGCTAGCGCATGCTCCACTACACCCAGGGCCAGTGCCAGTTATACTACAGAGTTTCTCACCATTGCTGACATACGCGTCCCCTGCCACCTCTGCCGCGGCTGACGCCGCGGCTCCCGTTGCCGTACGCCCACCCACCCACCCACACCCACAGTCCCGTCCGCACATCTTCGACCTGGAGATCCGCTCCCCCTCGCTGCTGTACGAGGCGGTGGTGGAGGTGGGGGAGCAGGTGGTGCTGCCGCTGGGGGCGCAGCGGGGGCAGCGCAACGGGGCGCTGGCGGAGGAAAACTGCAGGTGGGGCGGGGGCGGGTGAGGGAAGGAAAGGGGAAGAACTGGGATTGAGCAACAGGCTAGCCTTAGTTTGGTCGTAGTTTAGTCCAGCCGTCTGCGGGATACCCGATCATTTCGACCTCCGTTCCCACCCCGCCCCGCCCCGCCCCCATGCATTTATTACTTTTTGCCCCCCATGCAGGCTGTACCCTCCGTCCGGCCAGCTGGCCACCGCCCTGACGGGCGAGGTGGTGGAGGTGCGGCGGCAGCTGGACGAGCCGGCGCTCAGGCGGGGGCTGCAGGTGGGGAAGGAAGAGGGGGGCTGGAGGTATCTGGCGGCTGCTGTGTGGTTGGAAAACCCTCCCTTTCCACCCCCACGCACCACCGCGCCCCCCCCAGGCCGTCCTCGACGCCGGCGTCCGCAGCCTGGCGGTGGTGCTCAAGCACGCCGCCATCTACCCGGATCACGAGCGCCGGGTGGGGCAGATCGCCCGGGAGATGGGCTTCACACAGGTGGGGGAGGGGGAGGGGGAGCGGGAGCAGGGTTGGGAATGGGGATAGGGTAGGGCTGGTTGACGAAGCAAATGGCACAGGGGTCCCAACAAGGGGGTATCGGTAAAGTGGATGGATGTGCAGTGTCCTCATGACCGCGGACTGGGTAGCCGACTGGGTAGTGTGTGAACTCACCCCCTCACTCCCTCATCCTCCACTCCCTCTCTCCTCCACTTTACCTCACTCCCGGTCCCATCCCTCCCATCCTTCCCCCTGCCCGCCCCCCAGGTATCCCTGAGCCACGAGGTGATGCCCATGGTCAAGATGGTCCCCCGCGGCTTCACCGCCGCTGCGGACGCCTACCTCACTCCCCACATCCGCAAGTACGTGGCGGACTTCACAGCGGGATTTGATGAGGGGCTGCGGCAGGTGCAGGTGAGGAGGGTAAAGAGGGATCTGACGAGCTGTATGACAGGGCATAAAACCAGGGGCGTGGAGGGAGGTGCAGGTAATGAGGGGCCCGGTACGGGGAACGAGGGAGGCAGGTGAGCACACGTGAGATCAACGCTGAGACCAATGCTCAGCGCGTGCCAACGCTTCTACAACATCCCCTTCCTCCACGTGCTCCCGTGTGGTGGCCCCGGCTGGCTGGCTGCCTGCACTGCCCTGCAGGTGCTGTTCATGCAGTCGGATGGCGGCCTGGCGCCCGTGAACCATTTCTCAGGTGGGGCGGCGTTGAGGGGTGGGGTTTGACACGGAGGTATACCGGTACTCAGCATTTGGTTGTGCGTGGTGGGCGTGAGAGAGTGTTGGGGAGGTTTTAGATTGAGACTCGGGAGGTACGAGCCCGCAACGTGCGTGCATACTGCTACGGGCGCAGCGGCTTCTAGGCCACAACACAGCCGGCTGTCCTAATCTGCTTCCCCTCTCATTCTATCATGCTTACCCGCCCCCACTCCCTTTCATCTTCTTCCCACTAACTCCACGCGCAGGCCACAAGGCCATCCTGTCAGGCCCCGCGGGCGGCTACGTGGGCTATGCGCTCACCACACGCTGGGCTGGGGCGGACACAGCCAACATGCAGGTAGGTGGGTAAGGAGCAAGGACTAACTAACTAGCTAACCGTACGACAAGGCTCCACCATGGGGGTTGCAACATGGTGGCCGATCCATAGGTGGTGGTAGGGGGGTTGGGGACGGCAAGGTGGCAAAGAAGAAGCCATGGTGTGAATACCGTGTAACGCTAGGTGCAGGGGAGGGTGGTTTGGCTGGTCCGCGTTGGAAGGCTGTCCGGAGCCTGACAGGACCTGGCGGGGGGCCGGTCTGGTGGACGGAGGGGCCCAGTTAGAGAGGAGGAAACCATACCGGTCATACCGTAACGGTGTGACGCGTGGCGGGGGGGAACATTGTGGAGCGTCGATGGGGACGCCTACGCTGCACCGACGCCGTGGCCCCCGTTGACAGTTACAAGCTACAGTCACAGTCTGTAGGCGTGTACAGTGTGTGACGTCCGGACACACAGATCCCTCACCGGGTGCCGCATCCGTACCGGACCCTCCCTTTCAGCTTCACCCTTTGTGCCTTGTTGCTTCACTTCTCGTTTTCTATTTACCCTCCTGCAATGGCCATATGGCTGCCTCCTGCAGGTGATTGGTTTCGACATGGGCGGCACCTCCACGGACGTCAGTCGCTATGCGGGCAGCTACGAGCACGTGTTCGAAACCACCACTGCCGGGGTTACCATTCAGGTGCGTGCGGGCGGGCGGAAGTGCGGTATCAGCAGTGGACAGCATCGAACAGGGTTGCAGCCATGCGACTGTGCAAGGTTCTTGATGGCTCCCTTACCTAGCCGCTTCCCAACTATCGCCGGAGTCACATACAGATGCCTGCTGCTACACCGGTCCCGTCCCTCAGCCCCCCTCGCTATGATTGCCCTTCCTCAACCCCATTTACCCCATTTACCCCATAGCCATTACCCTCTGGCTCCGCACCATGCTCAACCTAAGGTGGAGCCTCAATGCTGCGTGCTTCGTTCCTTCCTCATTAACTTCTTCTCTCCCTTCATCTCCCCCTGGTCCCGCCAGGCTCCCCAGCTGGACATCAACACGGTGGCGGCGGGGGGCGGCAGCCGCCTGGTGTTCGCCTCGGGGCTCTTCCGCGTGGGCCCGGAGAGCGCGGGTGCGCACCCGGGCCCCGTGTGCTACGGCAAGGGGGGCCTGCTGGCGGTGACGGATGCGAACCTGCAGCTGGGCAGGATCCTGCCGGAGTACTTCCCGAAGGTGCGGAGGCGGGGTGCAGGGGAGGGCGTGGGGCAGGGGAGGGCGTGAGGCAGGGGAGTGAGGTACAGGGGATTAACAGGGATACATATACCGCATTTTGGCTGGATGATAAGATTGTGTATAGTGCAAGGGAAGGGATGAGGCGTATGGGACAAGGATGCGGTCGTGCTGTAGAGATACAAGCACAGAGTAAAGACATGGGGTATTAATAGAGGTTGATGATTTCGCACTTGGCTGATTTATAGGATTGTGTAAGGAGGAAGTGGTGATGAGGGCGGGGCTGCGGTTCTTTTGATGCCGTCCAAAAGGGGTTTGGATATATGGGCCTGAGGTTGCGGATTCGGCCCCTTCAACTGACCCACGGGTCGCCCGATGTCGCACCCACAGATCTTTGGCCCCAAGGAGGACGCGCCGCTGGATGCCGCCGCCACCGCCACCGCCTTCGCAGCAGTGACACGGGAAGTCAACGAATTCGAAACCGCCAACGGTGAGTCGTTGGAAGGTCATTTTTTCTCTCCTCCACGGCCCATGCGTTGTCCTTCAGTAATTAGGAAACCTCCACACCACCACATAACATACCGGTACCCTTCGTGCCTACTTTACCCCCCAGTGCCCCATACGACCTCCTTTTCTGCTACCTCCTATCCTTCATACCCCTCCCGCCCTTTCCTACCTCCCACTCCACCCTGTTAGTTAACCGTCTCCTCTTCTTCCCACCTCCCGCACCGCACCCTGCAGGCTCCCCCTCCCTCAGCTCCCCGGACGAGGTGGCCATGGGCTTCCTGCGGGTCGCCAACGAAGCCATGTGTCGCCCCATCCGCGCGCTCACGCAAATGCGCGGCTACGACGCGGCGAAGCACGTGCTGGCGTGCTTCGGAGGCGCCGGCGGGCAGCATGCGTGCGCCATCGCCAAGGCGCTAGGCATGAAGACCATTTTTGTGCACCGGTGAGTTGCAGCCGCGAGTAGAAGTAGATCGCAGAAGAGCGCCATGACGAATAGCCCGATTCTGTAGTATGTTAAAATACTACAAACAGTAGTATGTTAAAATATTTTGCAAAGGCTGGAATGCTTTTTGCGTATGGCTCGCCAAAAAAGGCGGGAAGGAACTTCGGCATCCTGCGTGTCCTAATTCTGGTGTTATTGAAGGCTTTCAGATTATTTAGCGGGCTTTTGTACAAGGGTATATAAAAATTTGGAATGCTGAGTGTTCAGTGAAAGGCGGTAGCCCGGACCGGGATCGGGACCCGGGCCAGGGCGCCCTGTTTTCTGCCCTTGCCCGCATTTTTGTACGACAATGGCTTATCATCCTTCTGTAGTCGCTTTGTAAATGTTTGCAAGCGTCTAGAACTAAAAAACAGCGCTTACTTTAACGCCGTCTTGCCACCATGCTAAACCATAGTCCCTTAATGCGGCGCCACTTTGGGGCGCTAACTTTCGCCAACCTCAAACACTACAACCCCTAACTCCCTCCCCCTGATCCCCACTAACTCCGTGGTTTTGATCCCCTGACCCCGCTTTCTTCTTCTTTTGACCCCTTACCTCCTTTTTCCCCCCTGACCTCCCGCAGTTTCGCGGGTATCCTGAGCGCCGTGGGTATCCACCTGGCTGATGTGGTGGCGGAGGTGCAGGAGCCGGCAGCTGCGAGACTGCGACCCACGGGTCCGGACCCGGAGCTGCTGGAGAGGCAGCGGCGGCTGGAGGAAACTGCCGTACAGAAGCTGCTAGACCAGGTAAACATGAGTAGTAATATCGCACCGGTTACCACGTTACCGGTTCCAAAGATGTATGGGACAAATGCAAGGCATGTGAACAAAAATGTTAAGTTGCGGCAATGTTAAGGTGCTCTCTGTGTCCGTTTCCCCACACAAACGCGACATTGTGGAATTCAGTCGGTTACAAATGTTTTTTCATCTTCACGCCCCCTCGCGCCCGTGTCATGACCCGCGGGTCACCCGCCTCCCGCCCGCCCCGCTCCTAGGGTTTCACACGCTCCCAGATCACCACGGAGCGCTTCCTCAACCTGCGCTACCACGGCACTGACGTGGCCGTCATGACACCCGAACCGCCGCCCGCCACACAACCCCAGCAACCACCCCAACCGCCAAAGCAACCGCAACCTACGGCCAAAGACGAGGCGCCCGCCGCGGACGCCAATGACGACGGCGGCGCCGCTGCCATTGGGGTCAATGGCGGCCCAGCGGCGTACGGCGAAGCGTTCGCCGCCGCCTACCGACGGGAATTTGGATTCGTTTTGGATCGGGAGGTGTGGATCGACGACCTACGTGTGCGTGCGGTGGGACGAGCCAGGCCGTTAGCTGGGGAGGATGGCGAGGAGGAGGCGGCGGGTGGTGGTGCCACAGCTAACCCGGGTGGGTACCGTACGGCGCCGTACTGCATCCCTCTCCGCCAACTCCCAACAGTTTCCAATCTGTCTTCTTCGCCCTCATCTACCGGTCCCTTACTTATACACGCCTCCCTATAACACATCCACTCTCTCTTTATGTCCTAATGTTCCCCGCACCACACGCTCTCACCCCTATGCTACGCACTCCTCACCACCCCACACCCCTCTCCCGCAGGTCCACTCCCCCCTCCCGTCACCCTTGCTTCCACCTTCTTCGAACCGGCCGGCCGCACCCCCACCCCCGCCTACTCGCTCTTCTCCTTGCGCCCCGGCCACACGCTGCGAGGCCCCGCGCTGCTGCTTGCACCCACCACCACCCTGCTGGTAGAGCCGGGGTGGCGGGCGGTGGTGACGGGCGGACTGAACGTGAGGATGGAGGCGGAGGAGGAGGCGGAGGAGGAGGCGGAGCAGGAGGGGCAGGAGGTGGCGGGTGTTGCGGAGATGAAGGAGATGAAGAAGGAGGTGGCGGTCGTGGAGAAAGAGGAGAAGGATGAGGAGAAGAGGGCTGACGGAGGAGGAGGAGGAGGAGGAGGAGCAGGAGCAGGTGTGGGGTGTGACCCGGTGCGGCTAGCCATCTTCAGCCACCGCTTCATGGGCATAGCGGAACAGATGGGGCGCACGCTACAGGTGAGGGGAGTGGAAGTGGAAAGGCAGAGGTGTGGGGGCCATGCACTTTCCGTTCTCTTGATAACCGGGCTATCGCCCTTGTCACCCGCATCCCATCCTTCCTCCCTACCTACCCTCCTTACCCCTCCTCTCACTCCCCCACACCTACCCCTTACCCCTCCCCTCCCCACCCGTTAGCTAGTTTACCACTATCACACCATAAGTTGGAATCCCCCCCCCTTTTTCCCGCCGCTCCCAGCGCACCTCCGTGTCTGTCAACATTAAGGAGCGCCTGGACTTCAGCTGCGCGCTGTTCGGCCCCGACGGCAGCCTGGTGGCCAATGCGCCGCACCTGCCCGTGCACCTGGGGGCCATGGCGGAGGCTGTGAGGTTCCAGGTGGGTTGGGGTGGGGTGGGGGGTGGGAAGGTGGGGAAGGCACCTGGAGAGGTGGTGGAACAGGTAGGGTAGGGCGTGCACATCCCATCTCCTCAAGCGCCTCGCATGTTGAGCTCGCGCTTCATACATATCCGCACTCCCCCCCTCACCACGCACCCCCTCCGCTCCCTGCAGATCCGCTACTACTCCCCGGGCGGTCCAGGTGCTGCCGAGGGGCTCCACGAGGGCGATGTGCTGCTGTCCAACCACCCGCAGCTGGCGGGGGGCAGCCACCTGCCCGACATCACCGTCATCACACCCGTGTTCGCGGATGCGGAGGAGGAGAAGGCGGGAGAGGCGGGAGGGGAGGCGGGGAGGAGGGGGAAGGGCGGGCGGCGCATTGTGTTTTTCGTGGCGTCCCGCGGGCATCATGCGGACATCGGAGGCATCTCGCCGGGAAGTGAGTGGGGTGGGTGGGAAGCGCGTTGGTGTTGGGAGGGACAAGGAGGGGGATAAAGAGGAGAAAGGTTTGGAGAGGGAGGGGAGGGAGGAACAGAGCGGGATGGCCCCGGCCTGAGCTTCACATATAGATACGGTCGCAAACAAAGGTGCCATGGCCAGTTTTCTTAACAAAAACACCACTTGCGCTCCTTCCCCTCTCCCTCCCATCCGCCTAGGCATGCCCCCCACGAGTCGGCTGTTGGTGGAGGAGGGAGCTGCGATTGTGAGCTTCAAAATCGTACGACAAGGCATCTTCCAGGTACGACAAACGCAAGCACATGCTCGATCGATCGATCTATGGATGGTGAGGGGTCAGAGATACCGGTAGAGGGAAGCAGTTTTTTCTAAATGGTGAGGGGGATGCTCGCCCAGCTGCGAACCATACCGGTATGTCGACTCCGCGTCGTGTTACAGCGCTGGCCCCTGCGTCACTCCTTGGAACAACTCCCCTCCCGCCCATGCACAGTGTTCGTCGCTTGCTTCCGCTTACGGCCAGGGTCGGTGTGTTTCCGCGGCTCATTTTACCTAATCCCCTTGGAACAACCCCATGCACACACAGTTACTTGCTTCCTCTACCGCGCTTAATTTTTTACCCCGATTTTCCTTGTATTTACCCCAGCTGCACTTATCACTTATCCCCCCCATCTCGATGCAGGAGGCTGGCATCACGGAGCTGCTGCTGGCCCCCGGGCGGCTGGCGGACCGCATCCCCGGCATCAGCGGCACCCGTAACCTCTCCGACAACCTCTCAGACCTCAAGGCGCAGGTAGGGGAGGGTAAAATTAAGGAAACTAACGGGTAAGGGAGGAGGGGAAGGAGCGTCACCTGCTTCCCTGCTGTCTGCGTCTTTACGGAGGAACCCTTGCGCTATAGCCCTTCTTGCCACAATACGTCCTCTCTTGCCAACTCCCTTTTTCTCTTCCTTCACCGGCAACCCCACCGACCCCCAGTAATAACCAGCCACCGGTACCGCTTGAACCCTGAAACCCCGCCCGTGCGATCCCCATTGCCGCCTGGATGATCCCCTCCCCCCACTTGCAGGTCGCCGCCAACACCCGCGGCATCGCGCTGGTGGGCGACCTCATCTCCGAGTACGGCCTGCCGGTGGTGGCCGCCTTCATGCGCCACATTCAGGCCAACGCGGAGCAGTCGGTGCGGGGCATGCTGCGGGAGTTCAGCAGGCGGCAGGTGGGGGGGGGATGAAGGGAGGAAGGGAGGGCGGCAGGTGGGGTTAATAGGGCTGCATATTCTGCATTAGGCTGCATGTTAGGATTGTGTGGGGGCGGCTGGGAGGGCTGGAGCGGGAGGGCGAGGTAGGAGAGCGGGAGAAGAGATGTGTAGGGGGAGAAGGAGGAAGGGAGATGTTGGAAGGACTTGGTGTCCGTTGGGTTGGGGGTCCTGTCTTCTCCTCAACCGTCAACCCAATCACCTCGCGTTGGTCCATCTACCAGTAGGCAACGTGGTTAGCTTCCTCTCTACCCAGCCCTACCGATAGGCAGCATAGTTGTACGGTACGTCCCTTTACCGGTAGCACCCCGTTCCTGTCCTCCTCGCACCCACCCACAGGGCCTCCCGGAGGTGGGTCGGGTGTGCGCACGGGACCAGATGGACGACGGCACGCCCATCGCCCTCACCGTCACCATCGACCGCAGGGAGGGGTCCGCGCTGTTCGATTTCGAGGGAACAGGTACGTGATGCGCGCCTGGGGCATGTACACATTCGTTTATCTGCATTACATCCGTCTTCTTGGCTTGCTTCTCACGTATGCTTTTGAGAAGGAAGGCCGCGACAGCTACAGCCCCTCAGCACCACCTGCAGCCATCAACTCCAGCTACATCCATACCCATACATTCAACCCCCCCCCTCCTGTCCACCATCTGCCCCCCATCCCGGCGGCTCGTAATTTCTTTTTGGGGCTCCTCCCGCCCAGGTCCCGAGGTCTTCGCCAACCATAACGCGCCCCCCGCCGTCACCTATTCCGCCATCATCTACTCCCTGCGCTGCCTCGTGACCAGCGATATACCCCTCAACCAGGTATGGCCCTAGTTATACTTAGTTGTAAGTCATCATGCCAGAAGAAAGACTGCTAGGGTATTGCCCTAACCTACAACCTACAAGCTACAACCTTCTTTCCCCTCGGGTCCTTCCCGCTGTCGCTTGCCTCTCGCCCCACCTTCGCCCTGCCTTACAGCCTAAGTATTGCCATACTCTTTTCTCTCTGTCCCGTCACCCCTCCCCCTCAGGGCAACTAATTTTGGTTTCGTGATAAACTTCTTCACCCTATCCCCAATGCTTTGCCCTAACCTATGGTTCTGGTATATCTTTGATCTCCCTCAGGGCTGCCTGGCCCCCATCACCGTGCGCATCCCGCCCGGCAGCATCCTCAACCCCTCCGACACTGCGGCGGTGGTGGGCGGCAACGTGCTCACAAGCCAGAGGGTCACGGACGTGGTGCTCAAGGCATTCCAGGCGGCAGCGGCGTCGCAGGTATAAGCCCTAGCAGCTAGACACGGTTGCAGTGCATGGGTAAATAAATGGGAGGTGGGCTGCAGGATGAGTGGATGACTACATGGGTGCAAAACGACCCATGGGTCATGTAGGTGTTTGATTTACTTTCCCCTTTCAGCCGGGGCTCCCGTCCTCCTTCTCCTTGCGAAACCTTGGCCGTAACCACCTTAACCCCCAACAACACACCTTGACCCATGCTACGATACCCACAGGGCTGCATGAACAACTTCACCTTTGGCGACGAGCAAATGGGCTACTACGAGACCATCGCGGGCGGTGCGGGTGCGGGTCCCGGCTGGCATGGTCGCAGCGGCGTGCACACCCACATGACCAACACGCGCATCACGGACCCGGAGATCCTGGAGCGGCGCTACCCGGTGGTGTTGCACTGCTTCCGGCTGCGAGAGGGCTCGGGCGGGGCGGGATGCTGGCGGGGAGGAGATGGCGTGGTGCGGGAGGTGAGGAGGCGAGAGGGATGTGCGGGAGGGCTGCGTGGGAGGAGAGTGTATGGCCCCGAGGAAGGTCGTGCTTGGGGTACCCGAGCAGCAGGCACTGCTGCATGCCTCCGCAAAAACGTAATACCCTACGTTGGGAGCTTGATACTGTAGATAGATGTACTGGCAGTAGTACCGGTCTGTCTTGTGCCCCCCTAGCCATGCCAACAACCGTCCCTCCCCAACTCCTTCCTCAGATTGAAGCCCTTCGACCGCTATCCGCCGGGATCTTATCTGAGAGGCGAGCCATCCGCCCCTTTGGGTTGCTCGGTGGGGGAGACGCGCAGCCCGGACTCAACCTGCTCATCCGCAGCAACGGCCGTACAGTCAATTTGGGCGCCAAGGCGACTGTGAGGCTGGAGGCGGGAGACCGGCTGCGCATCCTGACACCCGGCGGGGGCGGCTTCGGTCCAGAAGGCGCGAGTGAGGAGGAGGCGGCGGAGCTGAAGCGGCGGAGAGAGGGCGGCGAGGGAGGAGAGGGAGGGTTGGGAAAGGTGGTGGTGAAGGGAAGCGTGCAGGAGTATAAGAGCCTTCAGGAGACGGTGTGAACGTGTGGGGTGCTTGGTGATGGGTGATCATGAATGATGGGTAGGAAGCCAAGGTGAGGAGAAAGCGTGAGGTGGGGCGGGTAAAGGATGCGGAAATTGGGGGGAGTGACAAGCGTAAAGCGAGAGGCAGGCTGAACAGAGGTTGGGAGTATAAGGTGGCAGGATGGTGCCGTGCCGTGTTGGCATGTGGATTGCGCAGAGAGACACAGAGAGTGTGCAAGGGATATTGATTTTGCGTTACAATGGGCTTGAGAAAACTTGGTCGTCACAGTGTGGGCGAGTGCGCACCATCATCGGCTTGCGTAGGGTGGTATGGTAGGCAGCAACGCTATCTGAACCATGGCACAAGCCTCGTCTTTGAAGGCCGCCCGTTCTAATGGGGCTGTGCCATGGTCTCTTCCTGGGGAAGTAAGGCCCTCACAATGTTTTAGACCATATTGAATTTCCAGTCACCATTGAAAACCCCAAAACGCAACCCACTATCAAAGCCTTCTACAACGTATTAATAACAACAAAAGCTGCAAGCGCGCACAACTGTTATTACTAGCTAATTATTCAGCAACTATCAAAGCTTTATTCTGTAGCGTATTCAGGTGGCGTGGTTGTTCAAATGGTGGAAAGCAGTGCTCCAGGGACTCAGCGTACAATAGTAGCATACCCCCGGGGCCAAACGTTTCTAACCCGCAAACATTTCTGGCATGCAGGCGAGGTTAGTTAAACCGTTGGCATAACAGGGGAGCAAGCCACGTCACCCACCACGGTAACTGCAGCGCAGCCCACCACCCATAGCTTTATACAGGTCCAAATTCATGCCAAACGAACAGAAAAACTACGCAGTGAAAGCACAAGATGAGTGCAGCAGTCAGCCTCCCTTCAGCGTTTCCGAACCTGTTAATGTCAAACCCCCCTATAGATCATGCGTCACGCAAGGTAACAGAGGGTCAGATGCCCGAGAGCCCTCCGTACCCTAGCCGTTGCAAGACATACACCAACACCATAGTCACCCACTGCTGCTCTGCCGTTCATACAATGTATCTGCCTGTCAGTCTCTCTAAATGTGTTGGTGGGTACACATGTTTAGCAAGGGAGATTGGCAGGCAAGCGCTGCGCAGCAGGGAAGCACGTGTCAGCACAGGAAACGGCCAGAGAACCGGCAGCTCACGGTATCTCTATAGGATACAGTTCCGGAAGGACCCTGAATGGAAGCACAGCAATACCATGGTAGCAAGAACCTGGCAAAAGACTCGGCACCGGCAGGCGACACCAGCACACCAGAAGCCTAATAAAAATGCATACCCGGAGCCAACACCTCAACCTTCCAGGCGAGGAGCGACGGAGGAGGTGATGGTAGCAACGGGGCGAGAACGAGGGGGAACGATCAACATATATTATCAGGAGTTGTTTTCGTGATCGCTTCCAACGAGACGGCACATGCGCTCTGCTTCACTTGACGGCAAAAGGCATACGCGCCATCTCACTCATCCTCTCTTAGACCCCTCTTGTGAGCACACGTATCAAAGACAATGTCAGGTTGGCAACCAGCAGGGCGTCGAGCGAAGCCATCACATGACAGATTGCATGTATACGCGAAAAGCTTGCTCGTGCCTCTTGTTGTCGCCGGCTCACACGCCCCTCTCTGTCATGAGTTCAGATAACTTTATTATCCGTATTATCCAAGGACACGCACACAAGTACTAAAGCACCTAACCAAGCTTTGTAGTAAAACACAGCCTCCAAACCCGCCCTGTCTCATCATCCCTTCGAATTCCCCAAAATACCAGCTTCACAGCGCATAAGCCTCACTGCCTCTTTATACATTACCCCTGTCGTCTCACTTCCCAGCACGTCTGCCAAGGGGCATCGTTATCCGCTTGGCCCCCCGATGCCGCAGCGTGCCAGAGACGACGAACCAGACCGGTTTCACCAGCATCCAAAAAATCCCGCAACATTAGTATTACAGTGCCGACCGACGGCACGAGAGGGCCAACAAAAGCAAGGATAAGCCACGGCTGCCTGCGACCCTTTAAAGCTTTATGCCAAAGCGAGTAGCAGCAAACGCAACCGCAGCTGCTGCTGCTGCAGACAAGGCGGCATTAATGAGAGTCGCGGGTCGCGAACAAATTAAGGAATTGCGGTGTAATTGCGAAATGTGTCTTTATGTGTGAATGGCGCCTGATCGTAAGGGGAAAACCAGCGTCCAACACACACCGTCCACCCAAAATGGAACATTAATCATATATGGTACAAATGTTGTTCCTCCCAAACCTTAGCATCCTCAACAGCAACAATCGTGCCTGATATCTGACTGACTTAGGCTCACACACGTGTACGGCAAGCGCATACAAGGCGCTTATGCGAGAGCCCTTTTTGCTACATGTTGCTTGCGGAGGTCTACAGGGAAACAACGAGAGGTAAGTGCGAGCAACGATAATGTGGCATGCCGGCCCCAAAAGACAGTGGCAGTTTGTGTGTGGCGTGCGAGCAAACTTAGACACCTGATCAGAACACCCATTCCACGCCATAACAGTGTCGCTAGCGCCTTTCACTGTCACAGCGCAGACGATGATTCCTTGTGTAGAAAGTGTTTGCAAATCATCGGCAACATAAGAAGCACCATATCAAAGGGCGGGACGCAGGTAAGAAGGCACATGTGACACGGGCGAGACAATCCCCTTTACCAGGGGAAACCCCAAAGGACATCACCCAGCCTCACAGACTGGGTGTGCGTAAGATTCTCAACTAACAGCTTTTACGCCTCTTCTTTACCAGGATCTCCCGCACACCCTTCTCTTCTCCTCCTCATTTTCATCCTGGCCGATACACTCTCAACAGCAAAATCTCACTGAATCTCCATTACACAGAATTGAGCAAATCCCCCACAACCCCACCGCAACAAACGCGCTGCTGGCGCGGGGAAATCCTCCCCTTACGTCCAGCTCATTAATCCAAACCTGTACTTAGCATTACTCCAAAAGCAGCGGACCATCCATTAGCAATCCCATGCACTCCAAAATACGCCGCTTCACAACCCAACCCAGGCCCCCCTCTATCCTGCCGCTTACGAAAATCCCAACCCTATAAAACCCCACACATACAGCCACGCACCACCTGCTCCAGCCTCAACGCGACGCCCCAGCGACAACCTCCGCTGCTGCAGCCGCCGGCAGCAGCGACGCCCCTGCAGCCCCCGCCTTCACCGCTTGCGCTGCATGCAGCTCTGCGAGGACATCCCTCAGCCCAAACCGATCAGCCATGGACCGCACCCCAGTCGCCAGCTGCTGAGAGGCCGCAGCCGCGAGCTCGTGCGCTGCCGCCGCTGCTGCCCGCTGCTCAGCCACCACAGCACCCACAGCCTCACAGGCGGCATTGGCGCGCATCAGCTGCTGACATGCAAGCTGAAACTCTGCATTCAGACGCGTCCAGAGCTCTACGTCGTGCGCTGATACGGTGTGCAGCGGCAGCGGCGTTGAGGCGGAGGGGTGAGGCGGCAATGACGACATGGGGAGAGAAAGCGGCAAAACCGGCAGGGAAACAGGGGCGGAGGAAAGCAGCAGAGGGGCTGCAGGAGGAAGGGCGGCTGATGAAGGTAAGGAGGAGGTGAAAGCTAGGGATTGTGAGGAATCGCTAGAGGCTGCAGAACCGCCACCACCAGCTCCTGTGGTGCTGTCAGCGCTTCCTGTGGGCTCGCTAGGAGGCGCCGAGGGCAGCTGCTGCGTCTGCTGCTCGGCAGCTAGGTGCTGGAGGCGGCCAGAGGGCTCGAGAGAGTGAGGGTGGTGTGGGAGGGAGTAAGGGTGAAGAGAAGGGAGAGGGTGAGAGTGAGGGTGGTGGTGTGGGAGGGAGTGAGGGTGGTGTGGGAATGGTGAGCAGAAGAGGTCCGAGGCGGCGGGAGCAGCGGAGGAAGGCCGGTCGAAGAGGCTCATGGTGGTTGCCTTGAGAGCGCGGGGAGGAGGTGCCGACAGGTGGTGGCTCTCCAGCGCCTGATGGGATGAGGGTAGAGAAGAAGAAAACAAGGGGAAGCCGGTTGAGCCAGGAAGAAGAGAACAAGGGAAAGGGGCCATATCCTGTACGTATCCAACGGAGGAAATAGCCAAGAAGGGAAGCATGCAGGGAGGCAATGCTCATATAATCATCACCTAACAGCACCCACCTCTGTAGAGGACGAAGCGCCCCGCAGCAACGGAGGCAACCCCAGCGGAGATCCTCCTCCTGTCGCCACGGCGACCTTTCGCCGCTTGCTAGTCGTCCCCACAACGCCCATGCTCAGGCCCTCGCCCTCTCCTTCACCACCGCCCTCTTCCTCCAAGGCGCCCTCGTCCTTGTAAGGATAGTAGAAGTAGTCGTCGGAGCGGCGCTGCACGGACGCCTGCCGTCGCAAACCGCTGCGGCCGGAATAGCCGCCCTTGACCTCCTGGTCCGCCTCCTCATCCCCATGCGCCCCGCCACCACCGCCGCATTCCACACCGGCAAAGAAGAGTAGGTCAAACGCTGCGCTTTCTTCCTCCTTACAGCTGTTGTTAGAGTGCATCCGCGGGTGCGGGTGTGGGTGCGGGTGTGGGTGCGGGTCATGTTGCTGGTGGTGTGGGTGCTGTGCGTGGGCGTGAGCGCGGGTGTGTTGGCTTGCCCACTCCAGGTCAGTATCGTCACTGGACTGCTCTGAGCCCGAGATCCCGCCGCCGCCGCCGCCGCCACCGAGGTGAGAGTCGTCCGTCAGTAGGGTTGAAGGAGCCTGTGCAACGAGCGATGTAGAAGCGTTAGAGCGTTAAGGTAACGTAATAGGGTTTACAGTTGTCAGCAAAAGTTCGCGGCAGAGGGCAATCGCTTAGGGAGGCCTGGTAAGCATACTTCACATGGCAGGAGAAGGGGTGCTGAGCTGAGCTAAGGCTGCTTCTCTGTCTAGACAGTCCTCCAAGCCGGGCAAAGGACAGGGTAACGCACCAGGGAGGGTTCACGGGTGGCTGTCAGCCGCCTGCGCGCCTGCACCGCCGCCACAGGCGCCGTCGGCATAAGGAACTCCTGTTGCGCAGATTGCTGCTTGCGAATCATCCGCTGGCGTCGAACGCCACAAGCATTGCACAGCGTCTTGGGACCTAAGGCATGGCAGAACAGGTGTCGGTTTAATTGCTTGCAAGTTAGGATGGCAGGTTGAGGAAAGGGGGCAGCTCGGCAGCTGGAAGCGGAGTATTTGGGCGGGCGTTGCAAGGCTTACGTCAGCGTAACGGTTATCTCACCCATTGGGCCTTCACGCCATTGCGGAGTTGAAGTTGCGCCGCACTCGACACAGCTGCGGATTCCCTTTGCGTTTGCCTGGAGGAAGGTGACTGATTGTTAGGATTGCACACTAATGCACATGGCGTTGTAGCTAAGGAATGATCTATTACTTCGCATAAGGATAGTAACCATGTATATACAATTCGTACGTTACCCGAATTTCCAAACAGCACTTACCGTGTCGAGGATTGCGTCGTTAAGAGCAGGCTGCAGCTTGCCGGCGGCGGACGCCGTAGCGGCGGCCTTCTTCTTAGTGGCACGCATACTAAGAAATTAAGGTCTTGACGTACTAGGTCGGCTAAGCTGCTAGCGCTAGATCTCTACTGGACGACTTTGGTAATCCGCCCACCGTCAAGTAGCGACACCTAACGCTAGCGATGAGCTACCCAGTATTCGCTAGGTCACGATCAAGTAATCTAAGTCGTTTCGAAGGCTGTAGTAAAGCGGAAGGACGGAGTTCATTTGCAAGGACATGCAGCGGGGACGTTTTGTCCAGGTTGCCAGGAAAGTTGCAGATAATGAGCACGCCTTGCGAGACGAACCTGTAGATCAGGCAAAAACGACCACCTTGAAATACTCGTCAAAGCAAACGGCTATAGGTGTGACGTGGATGGAATCTCCACTCAAGGCGGCCAAAGAAAGGTAGCCGCCACAGCGGCAGGAGCCGGCACAAAGCGAGCATCAAACCAAGTAACGCTGTGAGAAGCCTAGGCCGCATCTTCCATTGCTTGCAGCCTTGCACACGATTCGCAAGGCCGAGGCTCAAACCCTACCAGTCGTCAAGACGCCACTGCCAGTCAGCCTCCACAAGCTCAATAAGGGTAGCGATCAGGTGACTCTTAAGCCCACTAAGAGCGCGGCGCCTTGGTAGCGTTAGCAAGGACTAAACTTCGAGGTTCAATTCCTGAGTATGTATGCAAAGCAAAAGTATGTAGAAGGAATCACAAAGAACGGATTTCGAAGTTTCCTATGAGATTCAGGTAAGGCGACCTTATGCAGATGATAGGAGTAAACTTGACAGAATGCCGTACGTACCTGTATCTCATGGATTAGCACTGCCTCTAACAGCTTAACAGCATGACGCTGCACGTTTAGTTGAAAGATCTTTTTCTTTTATGCCTATTGGCCGCCCCAGGTTCCGTCATGCAGTCGCCTAGTTGTCGGCGCAACGAGTACACGCCGTGTGCATAAGTGCAAAGCATATTAAAGCTGCAATTAGTTCTGCAATGCCTCAGCCGGTAACTTCTGCCGACGGCGGCGCCAACGGCCCGCCGGGTCCGCCCGGAGGCATGGCACACGTCCCCAAGGCGGGTCCCGTCCTACCTTGGATGCGCGTGCCAATCACCATTGAGGCAGGAAGCGGCGTTCCTATAGGCGACGTGCTTGGTTTAGACCCACGTTTAGCAACAGAGCTTTCACAAGGTATGCCGTACAACCTGCAGACTTCTGTCGCCGTTAGCTGGCGACCACTTGCTTATCTTTCCTACACATTCTTCCTGCACACAACTGGCATGGACCACATCCCATTCTCCCCATCGCCCCGTTTTCACGCCATACCGCTCACGCCAATTGCGCACGCACGCTACTCAAAATCAGCACCACCACCCACACCTGTTCCACTCTTGTAAACTTATCACACCAGCGCCCAGCCTACAACATCCATACCATCCGCACCTCTCCTCTCGCGCCCCTCCTCCCCTCCTTCCATCCGCCCATCCACGCACTCGCACGCCCCCTCCCTCCACGCACCTGCACGCCCACGCCCACCAGGCTCGGGCTTCCGTGAGTTGTTCCCGGTGCAGGCGGCCGTGTGGCAGCACTGCGGCGGCGGCCGCTCCTCCGCACACGACCTCTGCGTGGCTGCCCCCACGGGGAGCGGCAAGACGCTGGCGTACGCGCTACCCGTCATCAATGCCCTCTGCAGTGCCACGGCGTGAGTAGGGGTGCTGCTGGCAGGCCCTGCTAGCCCTGCCTGCCGCCCCCCGCGCTGTCCCCTCCTCACTGCAGTACTACTGCGGGAGTAGGCTAGCTGCTGCTGGCAGGCCCTGCTAGCCCTGCCTGTTGGTGCCGCTTCCGTCCTGTGCTGTCTCCTCCCAGCTGTCCTGCTGCCTGCTGCCCCCTGACCTCAGTGCCTGCTGCTCTGTGCTGTCCTCCCTGCGGTCCTCACTGCCCGCTGCCCTGCCTACACGGCTGCCCGGTCCCCTGATGCAGGCGGCGGGGCGGCTGCGGAGCGGGGCGGCTGCAGGCGCTGGTGGTGCTGCCAACACGAGACCTAGCCGCGCAGGTATATAGACGGGGAAGAGAAGGGGAAAGAACAGGTTGTTAGCTATAGTAGCAATCCGTGAGGGAAAGGAGGAGGAGGAGGAGGACAGGATAGGGTTCAGAGGATGAGTCCCGGAGCGGGAGAGCATGCCGACCCCGTGCTCCAACCCCCGCACCAGCCACACCAGCAGCCTCCAACCATGGTAGCGGTAAACGCTGCGGCTTTGCTTCACTTCGCCCTCCCTACCCCTGCCTCTCCCCCAGGTGTACGACGTATTCCGCCCTCTATGCGATGCCGTACAGCTGCGTGTCGCGCTGGCCGCGGCCCGTTCCTCCGAGGCAGCTGAGGCGGCGCAGCTCGTGGGGGCGCCCCTTGCGCCGGGTGCAGCTGCGGCAGCGGCAGCTACTGCTGCTGCTGCTGCTGGCGGCGGTGCTAGCGGTGGTGGCAATGGCGGCAGCAGCAGCTGCAGCAGTGGTAGCGGCAAGGGGGGTGCGGATGTGGTTGTTGCCACTCCGGGTCGGCTGATGGCGCATCTGAGCGGCACTCCGGGCTTCACGCTGCGGCACCTGCGGTTCCTGGTAGGAGGGGGCAGCGGGGAGACGAGTGGGCTTTGTGTTAGCATGGGGAACGGTCGAGCGCTGTGTAGCCCTCCTGACATGCTGTCGCCCTTGAACACTGTCGTACGACCGCACTTCTGGTGTTACCTGCACAGGTGGTTGACGAGACGGACCGGCTGCTGCGTCAGAGCTACCAGGAGTGGCTGCCGAGGGTGCTGGCGCAGCTGCCTTCGGCGCCCTCGCAACAGCAGCAGCAGCAGCAACCACCACGCGGCGTCGGACCCATGGGTCACTATGCCGACCATGGCGATGGTGACGGGGATAACCAAGTCCACTTCGCCGCACGCTGGCCGGCGGCGTCGGTTGGTACGGCACTACCGTTTGCGGTTCCAAGGTTGGTACGACGGCAACAGGGGCGCGCTTGGGGTACAGGGGTGGCTACCTGCTAGCTGTGCTACAACACGCAGACCGGTGTACAGCACATCTGCTGCTTCAGACGTCCTGGTCTCTCCTTTACACGTATGGCTGCGGTTCCTTACACCGAAGCTTTTTCCCTCTTCACGCCCTTTTCCCCCCTCCCTCATCCTCCTCCTTCACGCCCCTTCCGCACGCCAGGGTGGTCAAGATCATCGTCTCCGCCACCCTCACCCGCGACCCCGCCAAGCTGCAGCGCCTAGCCCTGCACCAGCCGCGCTACGTGGCCACGGTAGCGGCCTCCCCCGCCTCCCTCGCTGCCGTCGCCTCCCTGGAACCCACCGCCACCGGCGGAGCTGCTGCCGAAGCCGCAACCAAGCCAGCAACCGCCGCAGCTGCTGCTGCTGCTGCTGCGCGGTACTCGCTGCCTCGCAGCCTAAGTGAGTTCCGGCTGCTGTGCTCCGCCGCTCGCAAGCCGCTGGTGCTGCTGGCGTTGCTGAGCGAGGCGGCGGCGGAGGCGCAGAGCTGCATCGTGTTTACTTCCTCGTTGGACATGACGCACAAGTGAGGGGGAAAGGAAGGGTGGCTGTTGGCTGAGAGGAAGGGTGAAAGGGTACTTTTGGGCGGGGGATGTTGAGAGCAGGAACAGCTGCGTGACTGTGGCGACTTCTTTCGGGACCGATCCTGTGCTTCCGTCTCGTCTCCGGTAGCACGGCCACTGCTTCACCTCTCACTCTCTCTTTTCCCGTGCCTCCCGAACACAACTTTTGCCTGCGCAATCCTAACTGCCGAACCTGACCTTGCCTGCGTCGCATGTGTCTGCGCAGGCTGTACCTGATGTTGCGCGCGGTTCCGGAGCTGTCGGCGACGGTGGTTGAGTACTCGAGTCACGTGGCCGTGCGGGAGCGAACCGCGGGGCTGGAGAGGTTCAAGCAGGGCGGTGCTCGGGTGCTCGTCGCGTCTGACGCCATGACGCGCGGCATGGACCTGGACTGCGTGCAACTGGTGATCAACTACGATGCGCCCGTGTACGCCAAGACCTACGTGCACAGGTGGGGTTGGGCTTCATAGTGCATGATTCGCCTCTTCTCTGCTGCCACACAACACAATACAACACACGACCTGCAACCTGCTTTAACTCCTACTACTACTCCTCTCACGCAGGGCCGGCCGCACCGCCCGCGCCGGCAAGCCCGGCCGTGTGATCACGCTACTGCGCGACGAGGACATGCGCCACTTCAAGGCCATGATCCGCAAGGCCGACAACAACTATGTGCGCGAGCTGAAGCTGGTTCCGGAGCGCGTGGAGTCGTTCCGGCCGGCGTTGTCGGGTGCGCTGCAGCAGCTGGAGGCGCTGCTGGCGGCGGAGAGGAGCGCGGATGTGCAGTTGCAGCAGCAGCAGCAGCAGCTGGCGAATGGGGCGCAGAAGGGGACACAGCAGCAGAAGGAGAAGAAGGGGAAGGAAGGGAGGCAAGAGGCGCAGAAGTTGGAGAAGGGGAAGGTGGAGAAGGAGGAGGGGCAGCGAAGGCAGAAGCAGGAGGTTGTGGGAAGGGAGGAGGAGCAGAAGAAGAAGAGGCGGCGAGCGGAGCAACGGGATATGGAGGAGGAGGAGGAGCAGCGACAGAAGTCGGCCGCAGGGGACGAGTCTGCTGATCAAGCGCAGGCGAAGGGCGAGGCGGGTGGTGGTGATACGGAGGCGCGGGGGCAACGGGAGGGTGATGGTGGGCTGAGCGAGCGAGCCGATGCTGGAGGCGATAGCAGCAAGCAGCGTCACAAAGGAGAGAAGCAACCGGAAGGGAATGAAGAGAAGGGGCAGCAGCAGAAGCTAGGCGGGCAACACCAGCAGGGAAAAGGGCGTGCGGTGGAGGAAGGGGAAGAAGGGCGACGGGAAGCAGGAGAGGCGTCCGGGAGAAAGAGGAAGAAGTCAAGTGGAGGTGACTAAGGGGATTATGGTGCATGCTGGATGGGCTTCTGGCACCGTGATCCGACTTGATGGCGTGTAGCTAATAACGTAAACTGTTGCGGGATGTATGGACCCCCACATGACCCAGACACTCGCAGTGCGGGATGGCAGGCCTGGCACGCCTTGATTCAAGGCTGTTCCGCTGACTCTGACCTGTACAAGTCTGGCGTGCCCCCGTCAGTTACTCCCGTGCAACGTCAAGATTTGAATTATACAGAAATGTACCCTGTGCACTGCGAAGTAAAGTCAGGGCTAGATTCTAACACGTTTCGCGCGGGGTTGAAAAAAGCTCATGGCAGTACCTGGGTATAATGTTCGACTTGGCGGTGGCAAATTCAGGCGCACGTAGTATACCAGAAGTTCTGGTGCAACAGGAGATCCCGCGAACGTGAATCGGCTAATATGACGCTGCGAACGCGTGTCACGTGCCAGGATGCTGCCTGCACGCAGTAGCCTGGGATACCTGGTTTCTCAAGGATACTAGCAGGCCTACACGCTTTACCGTCATGCTTCTACGACTGCACCGACAACAGCCAAGGGGCGCCAGCAGGACACCAGGGCCGATTGCATAATGTACAGCGGTGTACGAGGAAAACTCTGATTGCCAACGACGGGCCAGCATCGCTGTTGTTTCTATGCGGATGCCCTGCACGCATATCAGGGCTAGAGGGCCATCTCCGCAATAGCAGATTTCATTTTCATACAGAGCCAGAAACTGTCTTTTTCTTGCGTGACTCCAACCTCAGCACCTGACCCTCAAAACGCTGCCCTATATAGTTTATGTTACTTGGCAACAAAGTTGCCCCTGAAGCGGTTTCCGCCGGCCATGACGCGGCGCTGCGGCTGGCCGGTAAGCACGGTTTATGCTTGAAGCAGTAGTGATTGTCTGTAAACCTATTTTTAATTAGCTAGCTATACTTGGAGGAGTAGGCGTTCCCTCTTCGTTTTCGGTCACGACGGCATGACAGTCAGGTTCCTAGCAGCTACATTCTATGAATTTTTTGCATGCATGCTTGCATAACTGTAGGTACCTCTACGGCGCCGCTCGGCTGCGTTGCGACAAAATAGCCCATCTTGAAGCGGGTGTTTGCTGCCCAGGACAGCGGCAGGAGCGGACCTTTTAGGTCCGAAAGAGTGAAGCGATGCCTGGGCAGCTAGAAGGTGGCTCGGACCAGGTTACCGTCAGCACGGACGCGACTGAAGGGGGTACCCTGGTCCGAGTTGTTGCACCTTCCCGTCATATCAGGATGGTCGACCTTATGCCTGTGTTCGAGGCTCTTGACCTGAACTTGGTCAGTTATACAGCGGAGCCCGACCCGGATGCTGCAGCGCATGGACCTTCCGCGGGGACGTTTGCTCGTCGAAAGCACAGCTTTCGCGGGCGGTTCCTTGTTACAGACGCAGACGGTCAAAACCTAAGTGAGGAAATACTGGAGGGACTGGTAACCATGCTGCAGGATGCGCTCCACGTGCGACTTAGTCGACGTGGCACCGTCCATGACCACTCCCGCCGCGGCAGCATGGCTTCATACGCGACAGAAACCAGCGTGGATCCGGATTCGCCGTCTTTTGGGGGCGCTGTGGCAGGGGCAGTTCCAGGCCACCCGGGGGCCAGCAGCGGCCACGGCGCGCTGCTCAACAGCCACCTCAACCCCAACGCCCATGGCCACCACCTACACATACACCATTCCCATCACCACTACACATTCCAGTACCTCAGCGACCAGCACGAGCACGCAGCCACGGCAAGCAGCATGCTGCCCTCGGATCACAGCATAAGCAGTCTAGGCTCTTTGCTACGCGCGACATCAGGAGCCGCATCCGAGCATACTGCGGTGCCCAGCCCGGCCTCAAACGCCCGGCACGACTCCGCGACGTTCTCATTCTTGAACCAGCACTCGGAGTCGACAGCCACTTTGGACCATGGTGTCGCGCACACGCCCACGCTGCCGCCTGTAAACGGCTGTTGCAGCAGCAATCTTAGCACGGAGGACCGCTGCAGCGGTGGGCCCACGACGCCCCTCATCGCAGGCAGCTTCCATCCCCAACACACGCGCTCGCTGCCGGTGCCTCATCAGGCACTGCATCCCCCGGATTCGTACGACCTGGGCAGCGCAATGCCGCCCCGTACGTCATCCCACACGCCAACGACCCTAAACCCCAGCCCACGTACTAGCCTGGAAGCCGGACCCTGCCGGACCGTCCAAGTAGGGTTTTACGAGCAGTCCACATGTGCCGCTCTTGCGCCGGCGACAGCCGGCCCTGCGAGCTCGTTTGCGGCTGCGGCAGACCACCGTCCGGCCTCTTCCTCCACCACGTGCGGGTCCACTGCCTGCGAGGCATCCTTGTCTATAGCGGCGCCTGCATGCACAGCAGCCGCTTTGGCCGTGGCGGGTTCCTGCGGCACTTCTGGGATCGTGGGCAGCGGGGAGTCTGTGGCCGCGTCGGGCGGAGACGCGAGCCCAACGTCTTCGGACGATAAGGACGGGGCTTACACCTGGTGGTCTACGTTCTCGGCTCAGGACTCTGTGGCCCGGATCATGTCACATCCGGCCCGCTCTATTTCCGCGGAAGCCGATCTGGGTCAGGCGAAGAGTTTGATGACGAAGCACAACATCTCGGCGCTGTTGGTGGACACGGGCGGGGCGTCACCGGGCTTCATCACTAAGCGGGATTTTCTTAAAGTGCAGTTCAACAAGAATTTTAAGCGCACAAAGGTAAGGTATCTGGGGGCAGGCGCATGCGGTTTTTCCCATTGGAGGGAACAGCATAGAAGCACCACCTTGTCAGTTGTTGGCCCGATGTCTGGTAGCCCCAGGTTGTAAAAGCCCCGGAAACTTACTCGTCCTGTCTGGAGTTGGAACGCTTCGCAAAATGCTTGCCCAGCGTCTTACGTGTTGCACATGGGGTTACTCGTGCTGTGTACGGCAGGTGAAGGATGTGATGACGCAGCCGGTCATTTCGGTGGACATCAGCCTGCCGATCGAGCAGTGCTCCCGCGTGCTCGAGGCGCATGGCGTGCGGCGGGTGCTGGTGCGGGACCCCTCGCGCGCATCGGTGACAGACCCGCTGTCAGCCTATGTGGGCGTGGTGAGCGATGCGGACCTCTTCAAGTGCATGGGCGCTCCGGCCACCTCGCCAGGTGAGCGGTGGGGGGCCAGGGAAGGAGAGGGCACGGAGAGGACAGTTGAGCTGTTTGTGCACGGGAGGAAGTTGACGCCTGGGGTTATATAGGTAATGTACAGATGTAAACAGGCGGGCTGCAATAGGTGGTGTAACCACCTGGATCCGCGGTTAGGCCACGACGCGTGAGCTTAAGAAGTCCCCGTCTGCTAAGCCCTGATGCAACCCTACGGAAGCAAATATTAGATTCTGAACCCCCTCCCTCTCTTCCTATTCCTCCTGCGTGTCGCAGTCGTGGGCTCCATGGCAAACTCCTCGGAAAACATGCAGCAGCCCAACAACCCCGGCTACGGCGCCCTGGCAGCGGATCTAGGAGGCCTCGCGCCGCTGCCCACGCTGCCACCCCTGCCGCCGCTGCCCATGCAACCGCTGCAACCGCTCCTGCCGGCCGCGGTGCAGCCCTCAGCCGCTCCTGCCGTACACCCGCCTGCTGCTGCCGTGCCTCCTCACGCCCAGCACCCGCTACCCGTGCTACCGGCTCTACAGTCGCTTTCCTCCGTGGCCTCCACAGCCTCCATGAGCTGTTCCATGGGCCCTTCCTCCATGGGCATCACAAACTCGACCGGGCCCATAACGACTGTGTTGGAGTCGGTTTCGGCGCCGGTGGCGGCAGCGGCAGCAGCTTTGGCCATGACGGCATCGTCGGCGGCGTTGGGCTTGGCCTCAAGCGGAACAGCTGGGTCGTCTGTGATGCTGCTCAATCCGGAGGCTTCTCTGGCGGACCGCTACCGCTGCGCTGCTGCGCTGTGGGAGCTGGACTTTAATGAGCTGGGTGCGTTGGGGGTTGCTGTCATTGAATTAGAAGCGGGCTTGATAGGGAGCTTGTTGGGGGTTGAAACGTAGAGCTCATCACGACCCTCTTCCCCTCCGTACTGGCCGAGCTGCAGTATACCGGTACATTTTCCGTACATATCACGCCTCATGCGCACCCTCTGATCCCTTGCTCTGGGCCCCATGCAGAGGTGACACGACGCATCGGCGAGGGCTCCTTTGGTGAGGTGCTGCTTGCCAACTTCCGCGGGACCAAGGTGGCTGTGAAGCGGTTGCGCGGTTTCGACATGGGGCCGGACAACCCGGACACGGGGGGACCGGGCGAGACGGGGCCGTCGCCAACGCAGATGCCCATCTTTAGGCAGTTCTTTGAGGTGCGGCTGCGGGGTGGCAAGATGGGTTGCGGTGGGGTTGGGGTATAGAAGATGGGGGTGTGGTGACTGGTGAGGTACCGGGCGGGATTCTCGAGGAACTTGTATTGGCTTTTGGTTGAGCCCGCTGTTTGAGCTGCCGGTAATCCTTGGTTGGCACTAACCGCGTCCATGCGCACTTCTCGGTGTGGTTTGGCCCTGCAGCGCGAGATTGAGATCCTGGCTACAATACGGCATCCCAACGGTAAGCAGAGACATGTTCCTTGGCCCCCATGTTCATTGCCATCAGAGCCGGAATACGCACTGCAAACTTGAACCAACTGGGAATCAGGACGCCTTTCACCTTCTCCGCTTCCATCCTTGTGCGCTTTCTCATTACCTTGCTGCCGCCGCTGCTGCCCCTGCTGCTGCCGCTGCTGCTGCCTCACTGCACCCCGCTCCGCAGTGGTCAACTTCATCGGCGCCTGCCACACGCCGCCCAACGTGTGCCTGGTGACCGAGTACTGCGCGCGGGGCTCGCTGGACCACCTGCTGCACAAGTCCAGCATCACGCTGGACTTGGCGAAGAAGGCGAGAAGGGGCGAGGGGCTTGCAAACTGACCGACGGAGCCTGAGCCTGGAACGACGCTTTTCACCCGCATGTGCTTCGGTTTCCTGCGCTGCTTTCCTTCGCAGCTGCCTGAAAGAATCTATTTGCAACCGTTGCTGGCTGACCATCGCAGGTGGAGTTTTCCATGGACATTGCTCGCGGCATGAGCTGCCTGCACTCGCAGAAGCCGCCCATCATCCACCGAGACCTCAAGACGGCCAACCTGCTGGTGTCGGCCCGGTTTGAAGTCAAGGTGGGGCTGAGGGGAAGCAGGGTTGAAGGGTTTACAGCCAGGTTGAAAGGGAAGGTGGGGCTGAGGGGAGGCAGAGTTCAAGTGCTTACAGCCAGGCAGGTTTGAAGGGAAGGTTATTAACGTATGGTTGCGGACTTGACAGGTTGCCGACTTTGGCCTAAGCCGCATCAAGGACCACGCGCAGCTGATCAACAGCCGGGCGGGGCTGGAGGGCACTGTGGAGTACGCGGCGCCGGAGGTGCTACGTGGAGAGCCGTACACGGAAAAGTGCGACATCTGGTCGTACGCCGTACTGCTGTGGGAGATCATTCACCGTCAGCGGCCGTACGCAGACGCCGACGTGCCCGTTTACATCCTAATGTGAGCTTTTCGTCCGCTGTGCCGCTCCTCATTTCATTTGGTGCTTGTCACCACAGTGACCCACGGGTCACTTGCACGGACTAAAGACCCATAGGGCAGCCTGAGTAGCCGCTGTTGCGTCTCCCTTTCAACCCATCTATCCTGACCTTTCGGCGTGTACTCGTACCGCCAGTACTAGGTCTCCATGTGAGCTCCTGCGCATGCACCTCCCCCCTGCAGGATGTCCCTGGGCAACGGCACGCTGCGCTTGCCGCCCGTCCGCGAGGAGTTGGCCACGCCGGGTCTGGTTCGTCTGGTGGACCGCTGCATGGCCTGGCACCCCGCCGAGCGGCCCAGCTTTCGAGAGGTGCTGCATGCGCTGGAGCTGGAGTATAAGATCCTGCGGGGCAAGGCGGCAGGTGGGTGGGTGCTGACCTCTATCCTGTGAATGGGTAATTGGGTATGCATGTGGGGATGCCGGCGTGGAAACGGCGGGTAGAGGGGAAACATTGAATTGGGCCCGTGGGCCGTTGGGTACGGAGTGGTCGTCGGCGAGCCAAGCTACGCCCATGAACGCTCTCTTCTTCATGCTTCTTATGTTTCTTACTCATCCTCTTCTTCCCTCACCCCATCCGCAGCCGTCCCGCGGTCCGACTCCGCCTCCTGCATGATGATGCTGCCCGCCATGGCGCAGAGCCGCGGAGCGGAGCGGAAACCCCCGGCCGCGCAGCAGCCTCGCAGCCGCGTCGCCCCCGCCGCCGCTGCCGCCAACAACAACGACACGGGCACGGCTGCACAGGACGCCAGCAGCAATCACCCGGAGCACCATTCGCAGCAGCAGCAGCCCCAACGGCAGCTCCAACATCAGCAGCAGAGACATCATCATCACCACCACCACCACCCGCCGCTGGGCCCTTCCAGCGGCTCCGGGGATGCGCATGCGGCTGGGGCAGGCGCAGCAGCTGCGCAGCAAGCACGGCCTTCCGGCAATACGCCGCACCCGTTGCTGACCTCGATGTCGCAGCGGAAAGGCTCGAAGCTGTGCCTCACGTCGCTCAACCCAGCCCTTAGTTCCGCGGGCTCTGGCGGTGGCCGTGGCGCGGGTGGTGGTGGTTGTGGTGTTGGTGATTCCAGCCCACCGGCAAAGGACGCGCCTGTTGCTACCACGTTTGTGGATGAGATCAGTCCTGAGCACCATGAGCCTCATCATCATCACCATCACCACCATCATAACCACCATAATCACCATCATCATCAACATGACCACCAGCAGCAGCATAGCCACCACCATGCCCCGCATCAGCACCAGCAGCCAAATCTGCAGCCTCATCCGCCAAGTAGACCTCGCGTAAAGCTGGTTATGCCTGTCACCTCGGCGGCCGGCGCTTCCGACCATTCCGCCGATCCTACCAGCCCGGGTGGCTCGTCGCGCCCGCCCTCCAGCCGTACAACCGGCGCCGGTGGAGCCACTCCTGCTGCTGCGAACCGTGGCCACGTAGCCGCGCACAAGCCCGGCAGCGCCGGAAGACATCAAGGCCGCTCCCTGCGCTCTGCTGCTAGGTCCAAGTCCATGCCACTACCGGAATTCGAGTGGTTTGGTCCGGAGGAGGGCTCGGAAGAGGCAACCGACTCGGTCGCGGATGAGGAAGGAGAGGGAAGGGCGTCAAGGGACAGCACCGCAAGCGGTGGCCCGGCGCATGCAGCGGCAATGTCGCAGGCTGCTTCTGCGGATGCGATGGGTCACGCAGGTGGAGATGACTCTGGCATGGAAGGCATGGAGGGCTCGCCTGGGAACGACATGCTAGCGCAGCACCTGATGGTTCGCCTTCCGCCGTTGCCGGAGGCGCATGGAGCCTGGGCTACGGCCGACGCGGACTCGGAACAGAGCCCGGTTGCGGTCACCGCAACCAGCGCTGAGTTGCGGCATGGGGAGGGCCCGGCGAGCGGCTGCACAAGCAAGCTCACCACGCCCTTTTCCGCAGCAGCAGCGGCGAGCTTTCAGGACGCCTCCGACGCCACAGGCTCGAGCGCGGACGGGGAGGCTTGGGGCAGGGAGGAGGAGGGCCACGATGGCTTTGCAGGTTCGGGCAGGGGTCCCGCGTCTCGACCTGCCGTACCGAACCTCTCGCCGTTCCACCTGGCCGCGAGTAGCCCATTTGCTGACGCTGCTGATCAGCCATGGTCACCACGTGTCACGGAGGAGTCTACGACGACACCGCTGGCCTCGCGCCTGAGTGCCCACCTGGACTTGGACTCGTGCAGCGGCGTAGAGCGACAGCCATGCGCCCTACAAACCCCCGAGCCCGCAGCTGCGGTTCCTGCGGCGGCAGCCCTGCCGCCGCGGCCGCCCCGCGCCGTCGCCTTCCTTAGTCCCTTTGCGCAGCTTGCGAGTGAGGTGCGGGCTCCGTCTTCTGAGGACGAGGCGGAGGCGGATGACGAGCAGCGCCGCAGCAGCCGAGCGCCGGGAGCTGCCAGCGGCCCATGTGGGAACAGCACCACCGGATCAGCATGTACGGCATCCAGGCCGGTGGCTGCTGCTTCAACCGCCAACAGCACCGACGTGCACGTCGCCATTGAGAAAGACCAGCAGAGTCCTCCTGATGCCTGTTGGGGCGTGCTGGGCACATGCAGCAAGCCGCCGTCCGGCGACGTGTATCCCAGCAGCGGCGCGGGACGCATCTCCCCGGTCAACCATGCAAGCAGCCCGCAAGCTCTGGCGAGCGCGTTTGCCTGCATGAGCGACCTCAATGCCGCAGTCGACGGGGCCCTGGGCATCGACGGCGGCAGCGATGTTGCAGGCCATGAGGCTGTGGAGGTGGAGGCGGAGGAAGAGCGCTTAGCGGTGGTGGCGGCTGCGGCGGGTCTAGAGGCGTTGACGCTGACGTTGCCGGGCGTCATGGCCTTTGCTGGTACGAGCATCACGGGTGCAGCCCGGGTTAGCGAGCAGTTTGGCGATGAGGAGGAGGATGACGTGGATGCCACGCTGCACACCACTGCGTGGGTTCGGTTGTAGGCGGGGTAAAAATAAGGGGAGGCGTGTGCAAGGTCGTATGCGCTGTTGGGGATTGTTTCGTCTGCTCTGTCCATGGCGTGTGCATGCAAGCGAGTGGGTGGTGGTTGTGTAATGTGGCGTTGCCGTGTCGTACTTGTTTCCCATGCCGATCCTGCGCTTGGTTGTGCGGTGGTCTCCGCTGGTTTAATTGCGGTTCGTGCGGGTGTGGGACGTTAGAGCGCTGACGGCTGCCCTGGCGTCCTGTGGCCCAAGGGAGAGCCGAGCCCTGGGCAGGTTATCCACAGTCGAATGTCTTCAAGTAATGTTCGCACAATGTGTTGTTTACGCACTAGGGAAGCAGTGCTCGTATTTGGGTCCGTAGGCAGTCCCTCAGTCCTGCCAGCCCAGCGGTGGGTGTCTCCCCCGCTTGCATGGTGATGGTTGGCTGCCTGACATTGCTAGCACAGGGCAGAGCGAAGGGGTGATTTGAGGACATGACATCAGAGCGGAATGATGACGGTTCGGGTGCAGACCAGCCGGTAGGATTGCTGTGGTGTGGATGGAACGAACAGAAGGCATGGGAGACAGCAGGCGCGGTGGCATAACTAGAGCTCAGATGGGTATGCTGACGTTATTGCAGGTCGGTTTGTCTAGTAGCGGAAGAAACAGCCCATGGGGGTGCGGGGGGGCTGCTTGGGCGCAGTAGTGCGGGGGGAGCGCTATGTAGACGGCCTGGCTGTGTGCGCGCTACACAAGCGGGATGGCGTCTTATGTGTTGCGGGCTTGCGGCTAGGGCCTAGGTCGCTACAGGAACTGGGGGCCGGAAGCTACGGTAACTGGATGGCTGCATGGTGCTGCCGTTTGGCGTGTTTGCCTTAGACAGGCGCAAGGCGGCGTGCTTGCGTTGCTGCATATGTTTGTGCGGCGAGGAACATAATTCCTGGAAGGACCGGGTGGTATAACATGCCCGGGGCAACAACGACAGCTCGTGACCGTGTATGTGCTGTGACGTCCTTTTGGCAAGGATGGGAGAGGGGCTCCCCATTAGGATGCAGGCGCCCTGGTATTTGGTGTCGTCGCACGCCTCTCATGCAGCGCGTTTGGATGGGTGTAGCTGCTATTGTTTGTGTCCGATGCGCGGTGATCTTTGATGTGATGTTTCGACTAACGATGTGACCGTTATCCCCGTGCGTCACGCATCCCGGCATGGCAGGGTCATGCGTCGTAGCCTCCCGGATAGCGTACCCACCCAGTATTATATGACAAGAGAGACACATAGACTCAACTTACTATGCCTGTCCCAATTATTGTTGGGAAGGCGTCTTGGGTGCAAAAGGGAGAATAACAGTGGCTGCAGGTGTAGTGTGGACGGCTGCTAGGTACCGACGGCAATGGGGGCATTAGCTACTACGGGCGTGTCTTGGGAGCAGCAGGTCATGAGCTTAGCCATAAAAGTCAAGGTGCTGTACTGGAAGGCTGGCGGTGTATGTTGTGGCTCAAGGTCTTAACAATGCTAGCTGCAGCGTGTTTGCAGCAGGGTGCATGCCGGGACCTACGGTGCTGTTCTCGTTTGTGCCTGCTGACTACCTGCGCTGGGATGAATCTCGCTGGAAGGTTTCCTCTGTAGCACTGTAGGACAGACGGCTCAAGAAAGGTGCTTAGGAGTGGTGCGTAAGTGCGCATGTGTCTGTGCTAAGAAAACTGGTCTGTGTATGCCTTGTGTCTGGGGCTCTCTTGCGGCTGCGGAGGGCGGCGCTTGCCGTACTGGTGAGGCTGCTTCCCACCACTAGTTGAGAGCTCGCTATCGTTCGACTCGGCTCGGCAGACGAAATTTCATGTCAGCCGTTGTTTGAGAGAAGGAGAACATGGCCTAGTGCCCTCGTACGACGACTTTGCTAAAGGTTTACGACACGGTATTGTCGTAAACCTTTAGCAAAGTCACACGACACGTACGACAATACGACACGGTATTGTTAATGATGCCCGGCATGCAGTGCGACTGCAACACGCATGGGCTTCCCTGCTGCCTGATTCGCTGCTAAGCCGGAGGGCTGGGTAGATGTCGAAGCGAAGGCCGAACTCTGTTAAGTGTGGGTTACGTATTGCCGTGCTGGGGCTGCCACTTGTGCAAGGGCCGGTTATAGCGTGGCCGGTGGGTGCTCATAAGGACGGTAAAAGCTCTCGTGCTCCTCATCCACCTGGCTCCTCACGTGCCGATTGGCCATGTGTTTCCTGGATGCGTGGCTTAACTGGATTGCAGATAGCTACCCAAGAATGGTGAGCCTCAGCCGCAGGGAGTCGCACACGACTTCATCACATACTGCCTGGCAGCAATCCTGCGCTAAGTATGTACGAATTGTCCTTTCACGCCGTGTTTCGTTATACAAGCCGTGCTACATCTTGCGCCATGCAGGGCCCGGTAAGGCCACTGTGTCGCCGAAGCTTACGCACAGGGTAAGCTGGACCTGCGTTGTCTGTGCATATTGCCGGTACGCAGTGTCCTGGTCCAGCCACTATCCACCTGTGCCCATTCCGTATGAGCGCCATGTTCCCATGTCCTCCGTCTGCCCGTTTCGGGCCTCACCTTATCCCACCTTCCAGCCCTGCCACCCCTCCCGAACCATCCACGGATGCAGTCTCCACAACAGCCATACGGTTACGGTGCATCGCTTTACCCCTCCTCGTCCACACCAAGCATACCCGTACTACCATTCCTTCAGCGTCCGCAACTACCTTGCGCCCCTATGCGTTGCCCTCCTTTTCCCCAGCCTAAACCCGTCCGCCTCCTCTTCACCCCAAGCGACTTAGCAAGCGCGCAACCATCGTGCGCACCTGCGTTGCCGTTTTAAACTCACTCTCCAGGATCGCATTCGCCACCACCACGCATGTAGCTGCGGTGGCAGCCGTCAACCATACCCGGCCATTCAACCCAACCGCTAACTCAAACTGCAAACCCGATCCGAGGGCCTCCAGTACAGGCGCTGTAGGACTAGCCAGCAGTTGGCGGGCTAGCGAGGAGGAGCAGTTGATAACTGTGCCCTCCTTTAGGTGGCCAAAGCCTGCGGCACGGCCGGCGCCGTCCACGCAGGAAAGGACCGGGTCCGTGTCACGGTGCGATTGTACGACACGCGCGTATACGAGATCCCCTGGGTGGAGATTGGGTCGGTTGCGTCGCGTGGCCCCCTCGAAGGAGAGCTGTGGCAAGACGGCGTTGAAGGGGCCGCCGATGTCTACCGTGAAGTTCTGGGGTTGGAGTTGGGCGGGATAAGGAGCGGGCAGAGGAAGGGATTTAGGGCTGAACGTGAGGTGTAAAGAGGTGTGTGGGGCTTTGGGAAAAGGGAAAGTAGCATTGATGTAAGATCTTGAGAAGGTCCTTCACTGAACTATATTTAGGGAGGTGCGTCGCTGCGCTGCACTGCGAATTCGAGAGGAGCTCTCTTACCTCAGAGTGCTTGTCGACTATAACCCCGACTACCACGTCTCCTTCCGCTGGGATGTACCTGCATGCCGGATGATCCCACGACAAAGACCATAGCTCAGTGGATGGGGGCATTGAGTCGACCGTGGGTCAGCGGGTCGGCACTCGGCAGTATGGAGGGCTAACAGGCAGCCTTCTTACCGTTTTTGCCTTCCTTCTAAGTACAGCTGGCCAGTCCGCGTTGATTTTAGGATGCCGCCTTTCGTGGAAACTACACCGCCCTCATGTGTTGTAAGCCCAGCGGAAAGACGTAGCGTTCCCTGTGACGGGATGTCTAAGACCTTGTCCCCTGGGCCTACGACCTGCATTCGGCAACCCTTATTACGAGCTTGTACTTCATAGCGTATGCTGCGACGCGCGACAACTAACCTTGCCCAGTGCGGCTGAAGCAGACATTTTGTGCTAGGAAATATACAACTATAACCAATAAGCCATAATATGCGGACTGGCCTCAAGGACTAGCGACTTTGCTACGCGAGGTGATGCCGGCGGTCTCAACAGGAATCTAAGACTACCACAATTCTGTGAAGAGGAAAGCTCTTGTGATTAATTACTCTCTAGCTTGTGGCTTTCACAGGTTGAAGGATACGGATATGTTGTCGGCCTAACCGAATAGTTAGAGCGAAGCTCAGCGACGTCGAGTCTCCAGCAAGATGCAGTCTTTAGCATCACGTCCATATACCCGTCCTAAAATAGCTTGTAATCGCCAAACGTCGTCGTGGATGGCCGCGTCGTCTGCTTCGCGCTGTCACACCCGCTCCAGAAGGCCATACGTCGCTGTCAGTGCCAGTGCAGTGCGAGCGCGCTGGTGCATAGGTAAGCCCATAGGCACCTTTTGTGCGGCTTGGCGGCACGCGCACTGCACGACCGTTGTTCGTCGGTGTACCACGGCACTCGTGTAGGCACCGCGCTACTTCTTGCAAAGACTCCTGTCCGCGTGCAACTAGCGTGTTAGTGTCGCCGACTTATAGTGACAGACCATGGCCGGGAAGGGGTTCTGCCTCCTTCCTGCCAACTCCTGGCCCGAGCTAACATGTCAACTACATCGCTGATAACCACTACATAGAGCTTGTCATCCATTTTTCCTACTGTAAGACCTCCTCTAGCCATCCCTTCGTCGTCATTGGGCCGGCTTGTGAAACTTATCTTGTTCCGCCCTCATCAGCCAGCCACATGAAGCGTCGTCCTTTGTCCACCCTGCCCCTTTCCTCTCACGCGCATGCCAGTGCGTTAATTGTCCAATGTCATGGCATCCCTTTCCACGCGCACTAACTGCTCCCGCGAACATGCCCACTTGCGATGATGTTATACGCTCTAAATCCTGACATGACATGGCTGCCTACCGTGCAGACGTGCAGTACGGCTACAAGCAAACGGTAACGGCACTGCTGCAGGAGTGGGTGGCGGATGTGGGCTCAAGGGCGGGACTGACGCAAGCCAACACCCGGCTGAGCAGCGGATCCGTTGGCGTGGCGGAGTCGCGTTTGGAAGTACGTGGGGAGAGTGGTGTGGTTGTTTTGGGAGACTGGTGGTTGTTTTGGACGCGCAACGAGGATTGCAGCAGGGCTCTGAATTTTGGGCTGTGATGAGTTTAAGGCCGTAGTGTTTTCCAGTCGAAGGTCATGAACATAGCCAGAACCGTGTTGCCAAGCTTATTTCTCTTAAGCCCTGGTGCCTGCACCCGCAGGCTCCACATGGTTTGAGCCTTGTCAAATAGTAATTTGTTTTCCGTTTTCCGTTGTCCGCTTTCCTTGCCACCCGCAGTTGGAGGTTACCTTCCCCACCCTTACGGATTGGGAGCACTTCCTGTCAGCCATACCCACCAAGGAGCACAGGTGAGCCGCGACCTGACTGCATGGTACACGGCATGTGACTGCACACCTGCACTGCATGTGCTAAATCAACTGGCCGCAAATCTGACTCCGATGAGTATGTTAAGAAAACTGTCCGCGAGTAGGAACGTACCCTGACAACCCTAATAATGCTGTCTTGTCTTGCCTGCTTGGGCTGTTCGGCAGGGCATGGAGCCAGCGAGTGCAGGCCATGATTGTGGGTGGTTCACCCCGTTGGGAGCTCTTCCGAGCAGTGTCAGCCTTCCCAGATGGCTACCAGCCGCCCGCAGGAGCTGGCGCAGCAGCTCAGGGGGCAGCAGCACAGGGGGCGGCTCGTGCGCCCACCGCAGCTGGAACAGCAGCTGCATCAACGGTAGGTGCGGGAAGTGTGGGATTGTCACGTTAATAGTTAATAAGCCAATCAGGGTTCAGCAGAGGGCCACAGTAATCTGGGTAGTGTTTGATGCCAAAATGTGCACCGGTAAATCGTCATGTATAAAAGCATGGGGCGTACTCCACGATCACGCGCCTTGCGAAGTTTGGACCCCTGCTCACAAGTCATGCCCCTGCTCGCAATGAAAGCCGCCTATTCTACTCGCCTTCTCTCATGCGCCCTTCCCTCCCCAGTAGCCAATACTGACCTCGCCTCTCCTTACCTGGCCTCCTTGCAGGCCTCCGAGCTCCCACTGCTCTCAAGCAGCAACGGCAGCAACAGCAGCCATGTCGCCGGTAGCAGCATCTGGCTGGGGATGACCGGTAGCGGCAGTGGCAGCAGCAGCACCGGCAGTGGCAGCAGCACTATGAGTGGAAGCAGCGGCACCACCACCACCACCACCACCAGCAGTGGGCTCTCTATTGTGGATGGAAAGGAGGATGCGGAGGTCGTGTTAGACTGGTGGGTTGGGTTGGGTTTCGGGTTAACCGGGGTTCGGAGTCGTTCGGATGGCTGGCTGGGCGGGTGCTGATCCCGCAGAGGTTGGGCTTCGGTAAGTTGTACACGTGTGTGGGCGATAAGGAAGGCAACAAGTGAAGGACAGTAGTTACGTCCAAGCAAGGGGGTAAAGCCCCATTCCACGGGTTAATGCGCCAGTTCCGATGCACCATCGCTTGCCTGATACCTGCCGTCCATACACACCTACGTTACCCTGTGCGTCGCCTGGCTGATCATCCCTCCGCAGGAAGGGCGAGCCGCTTAAGATCAACCCAGGGGACAAGCTGCCCTTCAAGTTCCTGTAACAGTGTTGAGCGCAAACACCTGGTTCCAGGGAGGGATTCCGAGTGTGAGGTGTCTAGCATGTGACGATGTGAGTGCGGAATTGAAGGCCATAACCACAAGAGTGCATAGCCATGTTGAGGGTTTGCGGTGTGAGCGAGTCGCTGGGAAACAACAAGAGACGTTTTGATGAAATTTGATGAACTGTTGATGACCTGGCTGTTGTTTAGAGGCTTCAGACGTGCTGGGTCACTTGTGTCGTGCATGCGGGCGCCGGCAGGGCAGGCGGATGCATCCATGGGCATGGGTTTGGGGCCTTACGTTTTCGTTCGCTGCAAAAGGGTAACGAGTTAACGACATATGTGTGCGATCATAGGGCCACGACATGTTGTGAGGTTCTGTTACGACGTGGAACAGTGTGTGTGTCGGTTCTATGAGCGTCTAGACATGAGTGATGACATTGACAAGATTTAATGCATGCGTGTTATAAACTTATTATAGGTATTCGCTAGGTGCTCTTTGGATCCGTGGACAAGTCCTGGCTAAGCAAAAGCACGCCGGCTCACTACAGGAACCTGCATTCTACACAATATGACACCACTAAATCAGACCAAAACTCGATGCCCGTTAAACATGAAGCCACAAGTCCTTAGACGCCTTTTCCTGAGGTAAGGCAATACCAGAAGCAGCGCACACACAGCTCGCGCACCGTACCGTTGCCATGACATTAACACGGACTTGCATAACGTCCCTGCGGTACAGAACGAGCATAACTCCTGCTAAGGGTGTAGCATCGCATGTTCGTATTACTGTACGAAGTGAAGGGTTCATCCATGAGCCCTTTACGCCTGCCCACACGCATACACAAATTATCAAGTGCTTCCCCAGGACGCCTGACATGGAACCTGTGGGCACCTCGGTACTTCCTTTTCTTCAGGTTACGCCCCGTACCCCATCCACCTTCCAGTACAAATACATACAGTGCTACTTGAGCAAAAGACGAACTCAAGCAAACAAACCATTGTACTTGGAAATCCCATGCTCCTATAAGATCAGTAACAGCAGCACGCAGTCTGTAGAATATAGGATGTATGGGTTTCGTCCCAGCTAGAACGCTTCCTAAGCTTTACCCGCCGTTTACTGCTGCAGCTCGAGGTAACGACGTTGTGTGCTTGTAACCGCGCCCCGGCACATTCGGTGTAAACCTTTTTGAATTCCTATCCGATACATCCGATAGCTTACGCACCCGCCCGTTCGTCCTCTTCATCGCACATCCTTGTCTGTTTGCCCAACTCCAGCCTGAATCCTTCTATGCCTGTCTATCACAAGCAAGAAATTACGGTCAAAAGCCGAATTGCCGCAAACGTCGCCCACACAAAGCTCCGTTCGCTGTCCTAAGTACAGGACCAATCGTATCCACACCACGACTTTTACAACTCATATCCGCAAAAAACACTTGATAGCTAACACGCATTGACCTTACACCCCACGCAAACCATCTTACCGCGTAAAACAAAGATATGCGTGACGTGAGCATACAGTAAATACGGTAAAAAGCTTACAACCACAACCAGAAAACATTACGACCACCAACACCCTTCCCTTAACATGCCGTACGCACCCCGCCGCCTAGCCATATCACCACCACCATCCACTTCATCCCTTCTCAGAACGCACGGAGTCATACCACAATCAAACCCTTCAGGACGATGCCTCCCTGAACATACGGTTGCTACTTATGCCACTTCCTCCGAAACACAACTTTCGCTTTTCCCATCCCTCCATGTCGCTCGTGCGGCCTGTCAGGGATTCAATGCTGACACCCGGACAGCACATACCAACCACCCAAACCGCTGTGAGTAACCGCTCGGGCCATAACTACTTTTGCATCACGCGACGGCTGGCTTGCGCAGCGTCGCAGCTCTCATATTCGACCCCCGCTACAGCTAAACCCAAACTACTTTTGGCCGTCACGAAGGTTATCGCAAAACACGATCACAGGCAAGGTACAACCAGGGATGCGTCAGTGTTGACCTTTGATGAGGCACATGCGCTACAGCCCTTTGCTCGACCAACGTACGACAACACCTTCATCCTTTGTACGACATTCACCCTTCGTACGACAACGCCCTCAGGTATCCTGCGTGCACGTTCGCATCGGGCTCTCCTCTTGACCGTGCCCTAACAGAACTCACCCCCACCCTCGCCAGCACTGAAATTACGAAATACATACAGAGGCGCAATATACATCACAGTATCGTCCCATCGTCTCTTGCGATGAGCTCCATTCGTTTTCCACGCTATACCCGGGCCAGTGCCGACCCATGGGTCATTCGGTAGCTGTGCATGCAGCAGCGACGGCATACATCGGAAACCTCCCTGACAAACGAGCCCCAGCACCGCGTCACGTTCCCCAATTGCACATAGATACACTGACGACCCCACCACAGACAGCGAAGTGCACGCCAGGTGTACACTATCAATAGCATTCTTGACACGAATACCGGTAACTGCACAGCTACCGGCAGCCAGCAACGGCTTAAGCGGCAACTCCTCTCGCATCGCAACCTTCAGCAGCATTCCCATCAGCCCTCTCAAAGCCAATAAACAAGTAACCAATAAAATGGTACTTCACGCCCTCTGCATCTCACCTCCTCGACCCCTTCTCCATCCATTCCCCGATGCATGCAAAAACAGTACCCCGCCCCACGGCACATTGCCGCACAGGCATGCATCCCGATGCCTCTCTTGCCAATGCTGGAGTTGTTGTCTTCTGAGCATGCATAAGATACCCGACGCCGCTTCCAAATTCATGCCCCCATTACCCCACCGTGCACTTCCGCATACCCATTGAGCACCGTCCTTACGTCGTCGCAAACCTAAATTACGATACATAACCGGTCCCAAGGTACCGGTAAGCCGTGAACTCATCTCGACATGACGCTCACCACCTCTCTTTTCTCAGAGGATGTGTACGGGAAAGTCGACGTACGACAGGCTCCTCGTTCGTACGCCCCCCGATTTCGGCTTCGTCAGGGAGATGCTCCTCCTGCTCGACACACCGCCCCCCGCCTCCTCCGCACTCCCCCCCTCTCCCACTTGCTGACCCAGTCCTCCTCGACTGCCTCCCCCCCAACCCAACACTCCTGCCCAAAACCCTACTCCTCCTCCGCCTGCTGTTGCTTCTGTCCCTCCCACTGCTGCTGCCCCTTCTGTCACGAAGGAAGGCAGGCCATCTACAACATCAGCCAAGCCCGCCGCCTTCAGCACCGCTGCCGCCTCCGCAGCCGCCACAGCCGCCGCTCGCTCCCACTCACTCTCCGCCCCTCTGCCATGCCCGCCACCGGCCCCCTCCGCCGCCGCCTCATCCCGGCCGGTCGTACGAGTCGGTCCGTACGTCATGTTGCGCTTCAGAAAGCCACCCGGGCCCAACCGCCCCGCTCCAATTCCAACTGCAACCCCAATCCCAACCCCAGCAGCAGCACCCTTGTGCTCTCCCCGCAACCCACCGGCGACAGCAACATCAGCACCAGCAGCAGCAATGCCACAAACACCATCAGCACAACCTGCTGCTGCTGCTGAGGCTCCTCCCGCTCCTCCAACTCCAGCCACGGCCCCGCCAACAGTTCCAAACACCGGCCTGCCGCCGCCCGCAGCCGCCCCCGCCATGGGCGGGCAATGCGGTGCCAGGGCGCTGTGGCGACGGTGGCCTAGCAGTCGCTGCGGCGTAAGGCCCATGAGTCGCTTGAGCGCCGAAACCAGTTCGGTAGCGGTTGGACGAGCGGCGGGACTGGCGTCCCAACATGACTCGGCGAGGGTCCTGTGGGGCCCGGAGAGACGAGGAATGGAGAGTCAAAAGACCTCAGCAGGCGCAGTGCCATAATCGACGACGCTTCCCTCCATGTGTTCATGTCTGCCGTTCGTCGTCTAGCACAATTATACCATGATCTACCATTCCCGCTCCCCTCCTCAGCCTTTTGACCCGCCCGTCTCACTCCCGCCTCCCAGTTCCCCTCCCAGTCCTCCTCACCGGTATTCGAAGGACACAGCGGAGGTGAACCGCGGCCGCATCCCCTCCCGCAGCACCCGTGTGGGTATGTCCCTGCAGTCCACCCCGGGGTACAGCCGACCGCCGTACAGCAGCTGCCACATGATGATGCCGAAAGCTGCGAGAGGCAGGGATGATGAGGAGGAGGGGAAGAGGGGCTGGATTAAAGGGCTCAGTGGAGAGGACTGAGGGTAGAGTGTGAAGATGCGCTGCGACCCATGGGTCTGTTTCCGCACACTTGGTTGCTATCGTAAAACACGCGGCATGTGCCCTTCTGACGTACGACACAACGGCCGCATGCAAGTCGCATGCGTGCAGTATGCATACCACATGCAGTATGAACACGAGAAGTGTACGGTAGCTTCTTTCCTTCGTACCGTAGATATCGAGGGAGGCGTCGTGGAGCAAGGACTTGTCGTTTGACAGCACCTCCTGCGGGGGCAGGGGTGTTGCGTGGTTTGCTAAGAAGGTTTGCTAAGAAGGTTTGCTAAGCCGATGATGTGATGTTACATGGTGGGTGCCCTGCGAGGGCTGTCACAGGCCATGTAAGGTATAAACGAGCCGGAGACCCATAGACCCCTGATACAGAGGGCGCTCGGCTTGTTAGGGTGTACAGATATATAAGACGGCTCAGCGACACACAACCGCCAACTAACCAGTACCGGTAGCGGTATGAAAGTTTGGGTTGCCAATTTTGTTGCGTGACGTCACCCAACACTGTCCGGTACCTTCCCCAATACCTCCCCCTGCTCACCGGTGCCATGTGTGTCACTGTGCCGTGCTGGACACCTCCCGGCACCGCCAGCCTGCCGCCCTCCCCGCACGGTTCCATCAGCCGTACAAGCCCAAAGTCGCTCAGCTTGGCGGTGAAACCTCTGAGGGAGGGCAGGGCGGGGGAGGTAGCGGGCAGCAGGACAGGGCAGAGGGGATGGCGAGGGGCAGGTAGGGGTTGTGTAGGATCCTATACGACGGGATACCAGCCGCCACTGCATTTCTTCTAGTGGGGATCTCTGGTCAGTACAGTTGCGAGACTTGGTTACTTGAACACACAATGCCGCACCCAACCTCCCACCCACCCACCTAGGGTCCCGAGGGCATGAGCGCAGCAGCACGTTGGATGGCTTGAGGTCGCAGTGAACCAGGCGCAGGGAGTGCAGGTGCCGCAGCGCTAGGGCCACCTCCAGCAGCGTGGAGAAGATGGCCTGAAGGTGGGGGGGGAAGAAGAAAAGCCATGCAAAGGGAAGGGATTACCAGGGGATGAGGATGGGAAACCTGGGTTATTCAGCATTCAGCACACGGGCAGTGGAGAGCTCGCAGCGGAGGCAGCGGTAAGCCCCCCTAGAGCCGCTCTCCTCCTCTCCGTCCCCCTCTCCCCCTGCCTCCCAACCCGCACCACCGCTGCCTCACACCTTCATGTTGGGTTGCGAGCTGCCGTACAGTCCTAGCGTGGGCTGCCTGAAGGCACCTCGGCTGATGGCGTCAGTGAGGGAGCCGGCGTCGCAGTACTCCATGCAGCTGTGCGTGTGTGTGTTGTGTCATACAGGGCGGAGTGGGGGAAAAAGAAGGAGAAGGTGAAGAACAAGTTGAGAAGGGGGTTAGGGATGCAAGGATTGAGGGAGGGTTTTTAAGGTGGGTTGTGGCTGATGCGTTTGTTTGCCGGGTGGCGGCCGGTTGGCTAGAGAGGGGTCAGAGATAGACCAAAACCACAGGTTAGTGCAAAACAATGGGGGGCAAGAGGGCGGGGCAAGATCTAGGAAACGGGTGCAAAGGAGGAGAGCCGGCAAGAAGGGGCAAGCCATGTTGGCGATTTTCTTCAATTAAACGGTCAGCCTCCCATCTCGACAGCAGCCCCACATGACCCACGGGTCAGCGCTTCCCGTCATCACCACGCCCACTTCCCCGTGCTCACATGACCATTGCCGGCGGTGACGCCGCCAGCGTCTGTTGAGCCGTGGAGCCGTTTGAGGCCATGGCGGCCTGCAGAGCTGCGTACTCCGCGAATGGGGCTGGGGGGGAGTGAGGGGGCAGAGGAAAACTGGACCACCAGTGAGGGCGAGACAAGAGGGATATGAGGCGGCAGGGAGAGGGAGGGTGACCCGATGGTGAGAATGCCGTGGTGCCCGTATCCTGACATGCCAAGGGGAGGGTACAAACAAACTAGCCCTGTGTGTCGGGTGGATCTGGGGAAGAGATCTGGAAAAGGCGGAGGAGAGGGGCTTGAGATCACCCAGGGCTGCATGCAGCAGGTTGCGGGACGGGGTCCTTGCAGCTGTGGCAAGGCGCCTCCAGCACCATCAGCTGTCCAGCAGCCTCTACTTTTGAGCCAAAACACAACCTCGATCATACAGACAGACCCTGCTGGTCTACGCAACAGCGCCCCAACACCACCACACGGCACACAGTACACAGCTCTCGCACACCTACCCGTGGTCACATCCAGTGTTAGCAGCTGGCATGACGTCAGGTTGCTGTGAGTGTTGGGATTGGGGTACGGCAGCAGCGTCACTCGTGATGGCCCTGCCGTACCCACACTGCCGCGTCCCCTGTTACTGCCGCGACCGCCTCCACTTCCACCTCTATTTCCTGGCCTCGACGCCCGGATCAGGGGGGTGTTGGCAGCAGGCGGCGGCGAGGGCGAGGGCGATGCAGCTGCCACCCCGAGGAGTCCCGGCCGGGCCATGGGAGACTCAGGCTGCGCCAAATCCCACACCAGCTGCAGCTGCGGATGCTGCGCATCGTGGGGTTGCTGGGGTTGTTTGGGAGGAGAAGGCAGAAAGGAGCCGGCGGCCCGGCATTTGCCAACAAAAGGAGCAGCAGCAGCAGCCATGCCGGGCTGCTGGGGGAGGGCGGGTTGCGGTTCGTCAAGGGAGGTGGTGGTGGGGCCGTCCACGTGGACGTAGACGTCTGGAGGAGTGGAAGGGAGTGGGACAGGGGGCAGGAGCGCAAGAGGGTTGAGGATTGGCGATTGGGTTGTGAGCTGTGAACAGGTTGAAGTCCTATTGCAAGTGCCGGGTTGGGTTGAGGAGACGCCAACGGGTGCAAACGAAAAACCGTATACTGCAACTTGTACTCGGCTAAAGGGAGTTCAAACTGAAAGGGGCAACGCGAAAGGGGCAAATGCTGCTTGTTGGTGCGCCTAGGATGGTATGCTTCCAATTGCAAACCCAGGAGTGACCCACGGGTCGGTTAGGGTCGGCTTGCCCACCTGTGAAGAAGGTGAGCACCTGCACGATGTGCGGGTGGCACACGCTGACGCTGACGGTTAGCTCGAAGGCGTCGTGCAGGTTGCGACCGGAGGCGAGGGTCCGAGCAGCGGCCTCGTCCTCTCGGGTGCTGCTCTGCTAGGGAGGCGGGCATAAAGGATAAAAATAATAAGGTGGGGTCAGGTTATGTTCCTTCTGTAAGTTTGCATTGCGTTACAACGGGCATGTTCATGCCTTCAAAGGTGTGTATAGCGCTTTCCCCTTCATACGCCGTTCTTTTCCCCGCATCTTCCCACTCCCACATTGCTTCCCGTCTTCCCAACTCACAGGCCGGGTGGCACCGGTGCGAGGCGGCCCTCCTCCACCACCTCCTGCTTGTCCACCGACACGTCCACCACCACCTCCTCCTCCTCCTCGAGCTCCCGTCAACATTGCATTTTCGTTGTGGGTATTGGTGTTGGTGGTGTGGGTATTGTGGTGGGGCTCGTACACAATCTTGATCGCGACTTCCATTCCGTCGTACTGTCCGCGGTACACCTCACCGTAACCGCCTTCGCCGATCTGCAGTAAGATTGCGCTTTATCATGTGAACGGAAATACGTCAGTGAAACGGGCTTTCCACTGCAGTAAGGTCCATACGGTTTATGGAATTAAACCCTAAAGGTTTGCACAAATATGCTTCATACAACCAATTGTCCAAACAAAAAACGACGTACAGTTATTACCTTTTCAAGCACCTCAATCGCCGCCAACTCGTCCTGGTGCTCGATAGCGCTGCCATGCACCAGTCGCGACGCTTGAGCTGCCGCCAACCGCTCATGCAGCCCCGAAACCAGCGGCGCGCGCCTTAGCCCGCCGCCCAACGCCCCCCTAACCGACTCAACCGTAAACGATGGTGACGTCAGCATGGCCCGAGTCGCCGTACTGCCCATCGTTCCGTGCGTGCTGCCGCCGGCGAGAAGGAAGAACGGATGCGGTGCCGCCGAGCTGACGTTGGGAGTGGTGACGGAGGCGGCGCCGGCGCCGGCGCCGGCGGCGCCGCCAGGCAAGAACACCGGACTCGCCAACGCCGTCGCAGACGTGCCGTCGCCGCCGCCGCCCCGGGTCATTACGCTGATGGTGCTGCTCCTGCTGCCGCCGCTGGTGCGCTCCGTCCCGGGTTCCTCTTTCACGAGAAAGGCGTCGATCATGCTGGGCATGACGTTATCCGGTGGGGGCATGCGCGTGTTGCGGGACATGCGTCTTGACAACGCCCGCCATGCGTTCATAATTGCCGTTGACGCGCCACCGGCGGCGGGGGAGCCCCCGCCGCCGCCGCCGCCAGCCGCCGCTGCTGCCGCCGCCGCCGCTATCGGTGTTCCCGTCACTGACGCCGACGTCCGGGGCGCCACAGGCAGCGTCTCGCCTCCGTCGCCTCCGTACACGCCGCCCGTGTCGCTGGCTGGACGTCCCGATGGACTTATTCGCCCGGTGGGCACGAAGGACCCCTCACCGGTGCCGCCGACACTGGCAGCCACGCCCATGCCCACACTGGCCACAACGACGCTGCTGCCGTCGCCGCCGACACCGCCGACGCGTGCAACGACGCCTTGCGGCGCGCTTTCCAGCAACCCCACACCGACGCCGCCAGCGCCGCCGACAGCGGGCGTTGGCGACGCCAGTGTGCTTGTACGACGACTTGTTGTCAGCGGCAGCGGAGGCGAGGAGGCTTCGCAGGCTATGCCCGGCGACGGCAGGCCGCCAGCTCCGCCGCCGCCGCCGGCTGCGCCGACGGTGACGTCGATGTTTGGGATGGAGAGGGAGGAGCGCCGTTGCCTGGGGCCCCGCTTGTTGAGTCGGTGATCGAACTTGGCAGGATCGAGTACTTCCTCGTGTAAATAGAGCCACTCGTCCACCAGGGCTGCGGAGCACAGGCGGTGGGAGACGCAGGGGGCCAGCAGCTGCGGCGCAAGGGGGGTTTGGGTTGAATCAGGTAAGCCCGGGGAACTGAAACATGCAAGCAAACATGCAAGCGCACATGCATGCATGCATCGATGCGTCAACCCATGCACACTTGCAAGGAAGGGTGAGTGCACGTGACAGAGGCGAGTACTGGAGCGTTAGGGGGGAGCATAGCAAGTGCTGCAAGCAGCTACGAGGAGACGTAGAAAAGGGAGCGAATACCGGTACGTCGAATGCCCGAATGCCTTTCGATCTCGTTGTTACCCGCCGCGCTTGCTGCTCACTCCACAAGAGGATTTGCACTTCACACGATTCCATTCGGCATCGCCAAACCCGGCGCCATGCCCGTCATGGTACTCCCCCCACCCTCGAAAAACACACCTTCATCAGTTGCTCCAACTCCAAGGTTACGGCACGCAGTAGCTGACGTGGCAGTACGGCGCCGTACACGCAGTACACCCCCAGCAGCGGTACGGCACCGTGCCGGCCCGCACAAACCGCGATAGAGTGTACGGATCTGCTTTCACGTGACACCACTATGTCACGCGGGAATGACTTGGCTTCCTGCGGGGTTTATAGGGGGGGTTGCGTGGTGTGGCAGCAAGGCAGGTGATTGGCGTAGAGTGGGCTTGGCAAAACTGTGAGTACAGAGCTGTGAGTGCAAGACCGGGTTTGGAAAGAGGGATGGCTGCTCCGGATAGCTCCCACAACAGCAGGCAACGCGTAACACACACAAGTCAGAGGACCGCCTGTTTTCTCGGCAGTGCCGCCATACCTGCAGGTAGAGGGTGCAGTCAGAGATCCACAGGCCACACTCCTTCTGCAGCACCTCCCCAAGAAGCGTGCTCACAAGTGATAAGCTGTGACCACGGGCGCCCGGCTGCTGCACGGGGGAAGGGAACGGTGGGGAGATGTTCAGAGAGTTGCGGGTATTAAGGAAGGTTTGTCAATGCCGGGGGAAAGAAGTATGGCAGGCACGGGCTCAAAAACTATCGGACCGTCACATAAAGCCCATGCAAACCCACCCACCACTCAATATATTTGATTAACTAGGGTAAGGCGCCCGAGCAGGCCACCCGGCCCCACCTTGGGCCCTGAGCCGGTTCCCCCCACGGTGCCATTGCTCGCTGTCCGTGGCGGCTGAGAGCAAAACGACATCCCAAACGTCAGCCCCCCTGCTGAGAGCAGCCGTTCCTGAAGCATAGACTGTGTTGCCATGCCGCCACCACCGCCGCCGCCAGCGACTCCAAGGCAGCGGGGGCTGGCTGGAACTGCAACGCCCGCGGCGGCGGCGCCGCCGCCAGGGTTGCATCCAATCATCGCCAGCGCTGAGTCTGAGGCGCCGCCGCCAGCGGCGGCGCTCCCATGACGAGCGAAGGTCCCCACCGTCCCCACCTCTGCCGTACCGCCGCCGCCGCCAAGGCTGGTCTGCGGCGCCGTCAGCATCACGGTTGGCCGGATCTCTACTGTCGTACCGCCACCGCCATGGACGCCGCCACCACCCATGAGTCCTCCGCCGCCGCCGCCAGGCATGGCAGCGACGCCGTGCGGTGCGGTGGAGATGGCTGAGGCACGGACGGGGAGGGCTACCTCCGCCGTACTGAATGGTGAGGTGACGGTGCTGGCGACTGGAGCTGCGAATACGTGGGAAAAGAGGAGGTATTCAAATAGGAATGTTTGGATTAGGGACACGGGTCCGAAGCAAACGGGATGCTGGCCACACACCACAACAACACCTGCCGTTGCACCCACCATCATCCCACCGTCACCCCCACCTCACCTCCAAACGCAGCCTGTGATTGTGATTGCGCCAGCGAAGCAATCCCCACCGCCCTCACCGCCGCCGCTGCTGCCGTCGCCCCACCACCTGACGCCGCGGGAGTCCTGGCCGCTGGGGACTGCTCGCCCGTGCCTCCTCTTGCGCCGCCACCTCCGAGAAGCCCTGACATGTGAACGTTGCTGGGGTTACTGGAAAGCGTACTGAGCGCATGCACGTTTGGGAGGGAGCTCCGCTCGCGAAGGAAAGAGGAGGCGGGGACGGCAGCAGCTGCTGCTGCTGCCGCCCCGCCCATGGCCAGGTGCTGTTCGGGGTTAAGGGGGCCAAAAAGCGTGTTGTTGTTTGTCATGGTGCGGTCACGCAGGCAAGAGGCCTGCGGAGGTATCAGCGGGGGCAAAAGGTCAGTGCAGATGGGTGTTTTGGGGTTAGCGGTAGTGGGGGGTTAGCGGTAGATGGTTATATCGGAGAAGGCCAGATTGGAGTTTGTCGTTGGTGGGTTAGGAAGGCTTGCGGGGTGACGTTGTCCATCGGTAGCTTATCCCCGTCTCCAAACCGCCGGCTCGAGTCTGCGTACCTGTGGCACTTGGTGCCAACTGCCTCGACCGTTGACATCTAACGACTTCCGAGAAGGCGTCGGTTGCAGCATCTCCGGAACGCCCGTGGGGCCAGAGGTTTCAGAGCCGAACCGAGCGAAACCGTCTTTATGGTTGCTGCCCGATTCCTCAAACACAGCCGCCGTAGAGCCGTCCTGTAGCGATAGACAGGAGACATAATTACGCGGAAGAGCACACATACGTACATGAACTAACTGTACGAAAGGAAGGCATAGCTACATTCACCATTTTTTTGTTTGCTCATTCCGTACCGTTGTCCCCTACCCCAAACCCGCACACATGTATCGCTCCCATAATAGCACCCACATCCCTCTGACCGCTCGAATCAGCGCCACACGTATGGCGGGCGGCAGGTAGGTTGTAGCACATACAATGTCGTACACGCCTCGCCGTACAGCCCGTACGAGCTCGTCCACATTTCTGGCCACATGTACGTCAGTGAGTGTGCTTGTGGCGATGGCCACTTGCCGCGCCTGCAGCAGCAGCGCAAGGCCAGAACCCACCGCAGCAAGCACACCTGGGCGCCAGCGAGGGGGAGGGAGATCGCCTGCGGACACAAGTGAGGGTTGGGATATGGCTGCATTTGGACATCAGTCTGAACAATACGCAGTGTACCTTTAAGGCAGTATGAAAACCGCATTCCTCCATGTTCTTCACGCGCACGAGTGAAGGAGCGCGGGTGTCACGTGCGATGGCAATGGTGGTGGGACAAAACACAAAAATGTTTCAAACTGGCGGTGCCCCACTTCCAACCTGAGCGGGACGCCAGCGTCAGCACTCCCGCCACGATGTCGCCGCTGCTCAGTGGTACGGCAATGAAATGCCGTAACCCGTGTCTGCCGTACAACTGCTGCCAATCGGGCGGCAAGGTATCCAGGAAGCCTGGAAAGGAGGAACGTATGGTGGAGGGTGGCGCGAAGGGGCCGCTGCCGGTAGTGGTGCTAGCTGCTGCCGCGGCATGCGGATGTGCATGAGCGCTTACAGAGCCCCCGAAGGCCGAGGCGCGGATGCATGACGCGCCTGCGATGCTGCTACTTCGCATCTGTGAGGGGGCGGGGGCGTTGGGGAGGTTGGGTGGTTGGGGAAATGTAAGGTTAGGCTTCTTTTTAATTATTCAGGGCTTCATAGGCTTCGCTGCTTTCAGCTTTGTAGCCGCTTCCAGCGATGAGGGGGCAATTAATATACATGTTAAATGTAATGGGGCCGTTGCGCGTGCCTAGGGTTGATGCCTAGCTAGTGGCTTATATTCTATAGTATAAAAGTTTCGAGGGCTTGCTTAATTGTGCGCAACAGAGGTGAGGGCGCGCAGGCGCCCTGCGCGGTTACGAGGATCAGTGAGACCCATGGGACCGTAACCGAAGCCGCCTTGCTCTGCGGCAACTCCAAACAGTGAAATCATAATAAATGCGGGTTACGCATCGAACCGCGTGTAAGTAGCGCTTACCTGGGCCGAGAGCAGTACCGCGATGCTGCTCGATAGGTCGTGTGTAATGCTTTGCGGCACGCCACGCAGTTGTTCCTCAGCGCCAACACCGGTAGATGCCAATATTGCAAATGCAAAGCCGCCTTCATAAACGGCATGAAGGCTGCGGGAAATTGCAGAAGGATTCTTATAGGAGCCGGTTAAAACTGGAGTTGCCTTTTTAGCACCTGGCATGTCACGTCGTGAAGGCAGAAAAACAGGCATTGCCCCAACTGTAGCTTTTCTATTATGTTAAGTCTGGTCCAACTGCAATCACCTGGCACTTTCTGCCTCGAACTCTTCTTGCAGCAGGCGGACAGCCATGTCAATTCGTTGCAACCAACCCTCCTCGCTGCCGCTCGCTATTGCTGAAACCAACCGCTGCACATCTTCAAGTGAGCCCTGCTGACGACGATTTTCCGTGTCGACGCTGAAGCGAGAAGCGAGGCCAACCCGCAAGCAAGGTGCAATAACAAATGTTTAAGGACAATACGTTTTTCCATACCTCATGCTCCTTTTGATAGCTCTCCTTGCATAATTGCTTGCTTAACTCCACGTCAACACCCCCGGCAAAGGAGTTCGGCCCATAAGGCACACCGCCAGGTGCTTTAACGTTAGCTTTGAAGCAGCATGTCATAAAGCTTTCAATAAAAGTCATCTTGATGAATAGCTTTCTCAGTTAGTGGCGTCAATTGCCGAGTCTTTGTCCATCTCCCGATAAGCCCGATAACCCAGACCTAGCGCTCCAGCAACTGCCTGTAAGCTGCAAGCAGCAACTCATAATCATAAATAGTACAGTGCGCCTTCATAACTACAAAAAGTACAATGCGCGTTGTAAGTCTTACAGGCAGCGGCGTTGCAGCTGTGGGAAGGGACGTAAAAGCTCCAATACGTAGTACAATCTAACTGAATACCTGCTAAGTACATTGATGCCTAAGTGAAAAAGTTGAAGCACAGGTAATCGATGCGGCGACCTGGTCGATCCGGCAAGTACGACCAAAAGATATTATAAATCCAATAAATGCCTGGGTAAATTTCCTACCATTTCCATCACCTTGATGATGTTTGTTACTCGCACGTCATTTATTTGCCTCCTGAAGGTTTCAAACATGTTGATCGTTATACCTTCGTAGTGTGATGTTATGGCACGTGACAGAGAACTGCGCAGCCTTTACAAAAGCGTCAGCCCATGCTAAGTTCTTTAGGATAGATCGCTAATAGGGTGTGACACCCTGCGTCACGCCTTGGGACCTAGGGTTACCTAAGCAGGGGGTAGTCAAGTACACGAACCGCTCAGGGCTCTGTAACTTACTGTGTAAGCATTGCCATTTTCGCATGCATGCAACCCGCAAGCTTACTTGCTGGTTGCCAGTGGGAGCTTCAGCAGCACACGCCGTGTTTCACTGCATGCCACATGGGCCCCCACGAGCTACAATTACACACACAGGTAACCCCCCCCCACACACACGAAATCCGTCAAACCTGCGCGCGACATATCTACAACTCCGCTGGTTCCTAGGATTCTCCCGCCTTGCCAGACCTCCGCAGCCCCTGCCAGTACACCCCCCTGCCCCTCAACCCCATCCAACCCCTTACCTCCATCATACGTGTCACAACCCCAATCCAACCCCATCTCAGCCAGAATGGCAGCGCTGGCAACAACTGCCGTACAGCTTTTGCCGTCACTGGCCTACCCACCTCTCAGCGGCCAGCTTTCTAAAGAGTCTACCTAGCAGCATAGCGTACCCGGGTGGCTTCCATAGACATCACATAAGAACCACACGCCACAGCGCCCCAATGCCCTCACTTGTGGTTTGGTGTCTCTTTGGCCCCAACTCCCAACCAATGCAACCCCGCAACACATATGCGGTCACTAGAACCACACGGCCTCTTTCTACCTCCTTGCCCCTTTCTCCTCCTCCTCGTCCTCCTCAATCGCTCTCTCCCCCATCATCCAGCTCCTCCTCCCCCTCGTAATCCTCATCCCCGTCATCCCCGTCATCCGCAACATCATCCCCCAAGTCGAATGTCACTCGGTGCCGCTGCCCGCCCCGGCCCACACCGCCGCTGCCCCCTCCCAGCGATGCCGAGAGCTGCTGCGTCTCCAGGTCCTCCTCGTCCAGGTTGTCCACATCGTCCAGGTGCTCCTGTGGTGGAGGGAGAGGGGGAAGGAAGGGGGGGGGGGTAAAATAAGGAAACTGGGGGGTGATGTGTATAGGGTTAGTGGCAGGAGGGTAAAGCAGAAGAACCAGGAGGGAGGGGGAAGACGGGGAGGAGAGCGAAAGGGTGAAGGCTAAAGGGGTGGAACGGACATCATGACACTAGGTGACGGGGACGGGGTAAACAGGAACCAAACGAAGGGAAGGGGCGCCAAGGGTAGGGTAGGGCTCGACGGTTCATCTTCCTCCGGGTGTGCCCTCCCAACAACCCTCCCCACCCGCCGCACACCTACCTCCATCATATCCTCCTCCTCCTCATCGCCCAGAAGAGCCACCTCCTGACGCCACAGCAGCAGCAGTAGGGTGCAACAGACGGGGCATTTGCGTCGCAGTTAGCGGGTTGTATAGAGCACAGCGTGACCATGAGGGAGGGCAACGACCCATGGGTCATGTGACAACAACCACGTTCACTAAGCTCCATTAACCCGCTCTCTCCCTCCCCTTCCCTTCCCTTCCCAGCCCAGCCCCTCCTCACCTCTCCATCATCGTCCCGTGTCACGTCGCCCGTCTCCGCAACCGTCACATCGTCACCGTAACCCAGCTCCCCGTCACCCAGGTCGCCATCAACCATTTCCGTGTCGTACTCCCCGCCCGTACTCTCAGCCGGGGTGCCGGCTTTAGCAGCAGCAGCAGCAGGTGCGACGGCCACTGCTGGTGCTGCTGCTGCTGCTGACGGCGGCTTGCCGGAGGCAGCGGCAGCGGCGGCGGCTGGCGCCGCCGCCGCCTTCTTCCTCACCGGCGCCGGCGAGGGCGCAGCCACCGCCGCCGCCTCCTCCTCCTCCGCTGCTGCCTCCTCCTCATCTTCCACCTCCTCCACCTCCTCCTCATCCCCGCCCAGGTCCATCATCATCATCTCCTCCTCCTCCGCCTCCTCCGCCGCCATCTCCTCCTCCATCGCCGCCGCCAGCCCGCCCACCTCCTCCTCATCCTCGGCCTCCAGCGCCTCCAAGGCAGCCATGCCACGACCACCCCGGCCGCGTCCGCGACCCCGCCCCCGCCCCCTGCCGCGCCCGCGCCCCCTCCCACGTCCTCGGCCCCCTGCCGCACCCGCCCCCGCAGCTGCCGCCACCACGACCGTCGAGCCCACCGCAACCCCCCGGCCGCGGCCCCTGCCCCTGCCGCGACCCCTGCCTGGGGCACCCAGCGGCTTCTTCTCTGCCAACATGCCTGCGGTGGGTGGGGGTGGGTGCGGTATTGGGTGGCAGTGTTTTTGGATACGGGCGGGAAACAGGGGTAGGGGTTACACCACACACGCCATGGGGGTGGGCATTGGGAGGTAAAGAGGGGAAACTGACCACCATGGGTAGCTACCGTAGTTCTGCTGCATTGGACCCATCCCACCCACCCCCACCTGTCCTGGCGGGCTTCTTGGCGTTGAGCCGCTTGGCCTCCTCCATCTGGTCGTACGAGTAGCGCAGCCAGTCGGGGATCTGTGTGGGGAGAGGTGGAGGGGGCAGAAGTGGGGCATCCGGCGAGTATGACCTCCGGCAATCACAGTACGTTCCTACTCGCGGCCAGTTATCCCAATACCCTTATTATATACGTTTTCCCCCCACTCGCCTCCAGCGCGCTGCTGGGCGGCTCCACCCAGCCCATGGCGGGGTCGTCATCCAGCTGGTTGAACAGCTCCACCTCCTGGGGGGTGGGCAAGAGGAGGGAGGGAGAGGAGGTGGGGAGAGGAGGGAGGGGAGGGAGGAGAGGTGCGTGTTTAGTAGAGTAAGGAGGACGAGGAAGGAGGCGTGGAAAGGAGGGATGTGCCTATCCGCGTCCCTAACCCCAACCCCACGACACACACTAAATGAAATAAATGGTGTTGCACACAGCAACCCGCGGCCTCCTCCCCCCCCAGTGAATGCACTCACTGCATGAGTCGGGATATGGAATTGGGACTTAGTTGTTTGCATTTCTTATATAATTTCCCCCCCCCCCGCACCTCGGGTGTCCTGGCGATGGCCTCGTTGAGCTGCCGGTTGGTCTGGACCTCCGTGGGAGCCACACGCAGCCGCTCAGCGTCCTGCGGGGGGGGGACGAGTTTGGGGGGTTCAAAGACCAATGGATCAAACCATAGCTCCATAGAAAATCACAGGTTAGGGCACAGCAGGGCGGGGGGGTGCTGGTTCGGGTTTGGGGGTGTCGGGGAGTTGTGAAGCCGGGCTGGTTGCCAACCCTCCTACACACCACCCACCCCTGCAACCCCCCCAGACGGCATGGTCTTTGACCCCTCCTCCTCCCCCCCACACACCTGCAGCAGCGCCTCCAGGTTGGCTCGCCGCTCCTCCATGCTGGTGGTCTGGTCGAAGCGCCCCGCATCGATGATTTCGTTGGCCATGTCGTTCTTGCGCTTCTGGATGACGTTGCGAACCATGCTCTCCACGCTCTCCACGTACTTGCGCTCGGAGGGGGGCGGCAACTGGCCGCCGGGACCCACCTGGGAGGGGGGGAGGAGGCGGAAGGGGAGGAGGCGGAAGGGGAGGAGGCGGAAGGGGAGGGAGGCGGGAGGGATCAGAGATAGAGAAACCATTAAATACACCCAGCATGGCAAAGGAGGGGTCGGGGATGTCAGGATACGTCAACGGAATTTGGTCAGCTGACTCAGGCTGGTGAGTTACACTGCCGTACACATGTTGTTGTGAGGTGCTCAAATCCAACGCATGAAGCAGCAAGCATACGCACCAAGCACCAAACCCCACCCACAAGCCCCTAGCGCCCGACCGCCCGCCCACTCCCGCATGTTCCTGTATCCCTCCTCCCTCCTCCCCTGCCACTCACCACCTGAGGCGGGGGCGGCGGCGCTGCTCCTCCCTCTCCCTCCTGCCCCCCCTGCCCCTGCTGCGGCATCAGCTCCGGCGGCAGCGGCTGTCCGGTTGCCTGCGCCATGGCGTGCAGCATGAAGTCCGTCTCGTCCGCCACCGCCTCCAGGTGCACCACTCGGACCTGGAGGGGGGGGGGGGGGGGGAAGAGAGGAGGGGGGGTGGGGGTGGGGGGGTCAAAAGCTCAAAACAGACCAAACTATAGGAAACCACAAAATAGGTCAAAAACAATGGTGGAAAGAGGGGAGGCGAGCATGGAGGGAGAGTGCATGCGGGAGAGTGCATGGAGGGAGGGAGGCGGGGGTCACATTCTTGTTGGCCTCTTATCTGTTATGTTTTCGCCGATGAGCTCCCAGCAGCCTTCTCGGCAGCAGCAGCAACCCCCCGCTAACAGTGCCGGCGCACCTCCTTGGTTTGGCCGATGCGGTGCGAGCGCGCAATGGCCTGCTCCTCGTTCTTGGGGTTGGGGTCGGGGTCGTAGATGACCACCGTGTCGGAGGTCTGGCGGGGGCGGGGGCGGGGGCGGGGGCGGGGGCGGGGAGATAGAGAGGGCAGTTGAGGTGGGTTCGTAAGGTGGTGGAGGACCAACGGCACTGGCACTTAAACGATAGTAAGGATGAATCCCATGAGCTCGATGCTCATGCCGCCTGCTGTCGGTCCCTCCCCCCTGGCATGTTCGGCTCGACTAACTTGATGCCATTCACCAGGAGCTCGTGGTTCTTGTTTGCCCTTCTCATTCACCACATTGGGTATTCTTCTTTCCCCCGTGCCAGCGCCCTGGCCTACTGCCCCAGTCCCCCCCAGCCCCCCCCCCACCTCAGTTGCTTCGTCAGTGTCTCATTCTATATTTTTTTTACCCCCACCTGCAGGTTGAGTCCCCTGCCGGCTGCTCGGATGGAGAGCAGGAAGATGAAAATGTCGCTGTTGGGCTTGTTGAACTCGCGGATGGCGTCCTCGCGCGCATCCAGCGTGGTGGAGCCGTCGATGCGCCTGGGAGGGCAAGGGAGGGAGGCGGGGAAGGGGAAAGGGGGGAGGTAAGGAGGAAGACACCAAAGAGGAGTGGCGGGGTGGGGTTGAGACGGATGGGGGCGATGATATCGTAACCTAACTGGGCGGCGAGAAGCGACAGGTGGGGGCGCAGCATGCCGTTCAAGACCCCCCCTTCGCACCCCCCTCCCCCACCTGTACAACAACACACTGGGTATTCTTCTTCTCCCCCCTGTAAAGCAACACACTGGGTATTCTTCTTTCCCACCCCCAACCCCCCACCTGAACAGCATGCGCCTCCCGCCCGGCAGCTGCCTCCACATGAGGTACACCTCCATGAGGTCCAGGAACTTGGTCATGGTGGAGAACAGCAGCACGCGGTGCCCGCTGTAGAAGAACTTCACCAGCAGCCGGTCCAGCACCAGCATCTTGCCGCACTGGGACAGAACCTGGGGAGGTGGGGGGGGGCGCAGGGGCCAGGAAGGGGGAAAGAAGTCGGTCCCGATCAAGGCAAAGTTGGTCACGGTCAAGGCAAAACCCGTGACGAACGTGCCTGACAACTGCATGCGTAGCAGCGGTTGCTGAGGGGGCGTTACTGGTGCGGGAGCTTGCTGGAGCGTGGTTGTGGTGGGGCGAGCGTTTGGGTGGGCTGGATAGGGGGGAGCCCCCGGCCTTGCAGGTAAGGAAGGGGCCCATGCTCTCCCCCTCCCCTCCCGCCTTCCAACCTAAGCTAATCCCCTCCCTCTCGTGCACTCCCCCCCCCCCCTACCTCCGGTCCCCCTCCGTACCTCGGGTCCGCCTCCCCATGCGTCGTCCATGCGGTATGAGATGAGCGGGTGGTTGCACACCTTGCGCAGCTCCGTGCCGCGGTTGGTGAGCGGAGTCCAGTCGTGGTTCTTCTGCGGGGGGGAAAGGGGGGGGAGAGAGGTGGAGGAGGAGCGTGAGGTGGTGGGGAAAGGGGTAGGACGGAGGAGGAGGGAGGGTGTTCAGTGGTGGTGGTTCTGCGGGAGGAGGAGAAGGAGGCAGGAGGAGTAGGATGTCCTTATCGTGTCGTACATTAAAATTATTAACTAGCCCCAACCCAACTCCACACGCGCAACACCCTCTGCACCCCCCAGCAGGGGCCCCCCAACGGCACCCACCTTGACCTTGAGCGGGTGGTCCGGGTGGAGTCGAATGGTGCTGCTGGCCTTGATCCAGTTGTAGCAGGCGGCCTGGGGGAGGGGGAGGGTGAGGAGGGGGGAGGGTGAGAAGGTAAAGGAGAGAGGTCAGAAATAAACCAAACCATGTTAAACCGGGGAAGAGTGAAAGGGGATGCGTCATGAAAAAGGTACCCGATACCCCGCCTTCCCCCCTTCCCCTTTTACCCCCCCCCCTCCCCCCCTTAACCTGTGGTTTTGGTATACTCTCCTCCCCCCTCCCTCCCTCCTCCCCCGCGCCCACCTGGTATGGCGTCATGGCCGCCTTCACCACCACCGGCACCTTGGGCGGCAGCTTGCCCTCCACATCCGCCACCTGGCGCCGCAGCATGAAGGGCAGCAGGATCTGGTGCAGCCGGTGCACCACCACCAGCTTCTTCTCGCGGGCCAGCAGCTCGCTCTCGCTGGGGCCGCCGCCTGAGGGGAGGTGGGGAGGTGGGGGGGGAAGGGGAGAAAAATTATAAATAAGTGCAACAACAGGGGAGAGGAGAGGAGGGGGAGGAGGGCAGGAGAGGAGGGGGAGGAAGGCAGAAGGCAGGCGGGGAGGGGAGGAGGGTACGGAAGGCAGAAGAAGGGGGTAAGGAGTGAAAATGCGTAGTGAAATGGGTAAAGGGGTTGAGGCAGGGTCGCCTTGATGCGGTGTGATATACAGCTCTGCCCCGTTTTCCTCTCCCCCCTCCCAGAGCGCCTATACGACTGACAGGTGCATGGGTTTGTTTCTTCTGGGTTGCGTCCTCCTCTTCCTGTTCAGAGGGTGGAGGCCTGGGCAGGATGAAGAGAAGGACATAACCGATAAGGCCTCCCACCCTCTGCTCCCCCTCCCTCCGCACCTGCGGCTGCGTAGCTCTCGTCCTCGTCCCCCACCTTGTCCAACTGGTCTCCGAACCAGGAGGCGAACTGCTTCTTGTCGTCGAACACCTGGCAAGGGGGGGGTGAGGGGTGAGGGGGAGGGTAAAGAGGAAACAACTAACTGACTGAGGGATAAGTCGTGAGGGGGTGGGGGGGTGAGGGAGAGGAAGAAAGTGACGAGCGGTATGACAAGGCTTCACCTCGGGGAGGGGGATGGAGATTGAACGTTCATGAGGTAAGGGTAAGGATGATGGGGCGGAAAGGGGAATCCCTATGAGGAGATACATCCCCCTAGATGGTGTATGAGAGCGTCCCCTCCCGTTCCCCTCCCCATGCTGCGCTTCTCATTTACCCTCCCCCCATCCCCCAGTTTATCTAATCCCCCGCCCCTACCTCCGGCAGCAGCAGGTTGAGCAGGTTCCACAGCTCCCGCAGCTCGTTCTGCAGCGGTGTGCCGGTCAGCAGCAGCCGGTAGCCGCTCTTGAAGCGGTCCAGGTCGCGGGACAGCTGGCTCTCGCGCTCCTGAGAGGGAGGCAGGGGAGGGGGAGAGGCAAGGGGAGCAAGGTAAACTGAGCCGCGGAAACACGAAGAAAGGGATGATGGTGAAGGGAGGGAGGGGGAAGGGAAGGGAAGGGGAGAGTTGGTACTTCCTTGGACCCCACCCACCCCAACCCAGCACCTTGAGACGCTGCGCCTCATCGATAATGACGTAGCGCCAGTCGATCTTGCTCAGCTTGGCTCGGTCGCGCATGATGAACTCGTAGGTGGTGACCAGCACGTTGAAGCGGCCGTGGGACACCTCGGCGGTGTACCTGGGGAGGAGGGAGGAGGAGGAGGGAGGGGTGGGCAGGAGTTCGGGGGAGGAGTCAGCGATGGAAATTGGGTGAATAGCTTAACCTAAACACCTTGCCCATATGTACTGTACAGCCCATTGCGCGGCAGGCGGCTACGCCACCCATCGGTACTTCATCGCGCTCGCTTCAGCTTCATCCAACGAAACCCTGTCCCCATCGCGCCCCCTCCACTGAAATAACTCGCCCGTTTCCTCGTCACTTTCCTCACTTTTCCCCCCACTGAAACCACCATCGCACCGCGGCGGCCCCCCCCCCCCCCGCCCTAACCTGTGGTTTCCTATGGTTTGGTGTGGTCTTTGACCCCCCCCCCCCCGCCACCTACTTGCGCGCTCGCTCGTCCCTCGAGCCCACGTAGTATACACAGCGCACCCCCGGCAGCCACTTGGTGAGCTCGCTCTTCCAGTTGACCATGACGGCGTTGGGCACGATGATGAGGTGCGGCCCGAAGCAGTTCTTGCGCTCGATCAGGTAGGCGATGAGCGCCATCACCTGGGGACAGAGGAGGCGGGGGGGGGTGAAAAAAAGAAGAGGGGAAGAGGGAGGGAGGTGGAGGGCAGAGGGATGAAACAAAGGTAGGAGAGTGAAGCACTGCAATGCCAAGGAGGAGGGAGGGAGGTGGGGGGCGGAGGAGCGTGAGGGGACGCACCTGCACCGTCTTGCCCAGCCCCATCTCGTCCGCCAGGATGCCGTTGAGGTTGTTGTTGTACAGCGACACCATCCACCGCAGCCCAACCATCTGGTACTCCCGCAGCGTGGCGCCGGCGGGCGGCTGCAGCAGCTTGGGAACACACACCTACATGTGTTTTGGGGGGGAAGTGGGGAGGAAAGACCAACGGTCACAACGACTTCTACACTTTCCTGGGGTTTCCTGGCGCTTTCTTCTGTGGGGATTACCGGTAGCTTGAACCTTCATAACCCTGCAGCCAGGCGGCCACACAGTACGGCACAAATTCCGACTCGGGAGGCCAGGATTGTCAGCAGCTAGGCTTGGATGACAATGCGGCCAGTTGTTTGAACACACGCACCTCCTCCGTGACCGTGTGCGCCAGCTCGTTCAGCCGCGCCTGCGCGTCGCCGCTCATGGTGCGGCTGCGGCGCAGCAGGTCGGACTCGGCCTTGAACTCCGCGGCGGCCCGCTCGCCGATCATGCGGATCTGGGGGTGACGACGAGTGTGCGGGGGAGGGGAGGAGGAGGGGATGGGATCGCGGGTCGGGTCGGGTTTGGGTGAGCGGTCAAGAGGAATCCCAGCCCGGTCCGCATCTCTCAGGCTGGTGTTTTCACCACAGCCGCGCCCCGACGCAAGGAGGGGTGCTCACCTCGTCCTCCGTGTGCCCCGCACGACGCGCCTCCTCCATGGCTTCCCGCACCACCACCTCCGTTTGCTGGTTCACCTTGGCCTGCAGGAATGAAGGGCGGGATGGAGGGAAGGGTGGGAAGCGGGGGGGTTCAAGACGGACAAATTTTCCACCTCTACGCTGCAGCACTCACGTTCCTGACAGCAGCATCTGCAGTTCCGCCGCCTTCCAAGCGCGTATACACCACCGCCCTGCCCAGCGCCCTCTACCCCACCCCACCCCACCCCACCCCACCTCACCTCGCCTCCACTGTCCTCACTCACTCCCTACCCAGACTACCTCCCCCCCCACACACACACCCTCCTCCAAGCAGATTTTTGAGTTACGGTTCAGGTTATGTTACCTCTGTTTTGCCTGTACTCGCGGTTCACATGCGAACTTATCCCAACTGCTTTCTCTAGTTTCTGCTCAATTACACACCCTCCTCACCATGGCGACCTTGTGCGCCAGCTTGTTGAGGTACTCCTCCGTCTCACTCAGGAAGCGCGAGATCTCCTGGAAGTTGCTGTCCTGCGTCGTCACGCCGCCAGCCTGCACGCGATACATGTGGCACGCGGTGCATTAGCGAGAGAGAACCCATCACCCATTACATGGAGAATCAGGGCGAGTCATCTTTTAAGGCCCCCCACATTAAGACCCCCCACTAAGACCCCTCCATAAAAACTCTCCACTAAGACCCCCGCCATTAAGACCCGCTCAGCAACCCTGTCCCCCAACCCCAGTCACCGTTAACCCCATACACAGCACCCCTCCATCACCCTCCGGCTGCAGCAGCACCGCCCCCCAACGCCCCCTCCCCCAGTCCCCACCTGCTGCAACAGCGCCTGGTAGGCCTCCAGATCGTTGGCCTTGAGCGCCTCCATACGCCGCTCGTGGTCGTCATCCTGAGGGGGGGGGCGGGTTTGATTGGAGACGTATGATTGGGGATGTAAGTTGGTTGCGGGGGCTGCGTGCCGGTGCAGCTGTTACGTAAAGCACGGTGATGGCGATTGGTGGTGGGAATGGTGGTAGCGGTGGGTCAAGATGGAGGGGAGTGCGACGACGAATAACGGTGTTGTGCTCGGGTGCGTGCCTAAACCAGTACATACAAGGGAAGCTCCCATAGGGGGCTGCGGCTGCTTACCATCTTCCTGTTGTGGGACCGGCCCCAGCGCTCGTGCACCTGCACAGGGAGCAATAACGAAGGAAGACGACGGGACACATCACGTTCCTTACATGTCGGGGCCCACGTAACACAGGGAATGCTGCTACAAAAAGCAACCAGGGGAGATGCAAAGCCAAAGCCATTCCCGTACATCGCGTTCCTGTAAGCCGAGCCACACGAGGTACCGGAGCCACAAGAGTATTGAGGAGTACAACCCCTTCTACACTGGCACAGTGTGTCGTAGAGCGCCCTATATCGTACCGGTGTCGTACGGTTGTCGTGCCGCGCACCTTTAGGACGCCCTTATTGCGCACGGAACGCAGGTTGGTGAAGGCTGAGGCGCTCTCCTGAATGACGTTGCGCCACTGCACACGGCACTGCGCGGCGCGATCCGCCGCCTCGCGCTGCTGCTTCTGCAGTACGACGTACGACAGCTGGGACTTGGTGATGCTGGCGTCCCGTACAAACCTGGAGAAAATGACAAAAAAGGGGAGGGCACGGCAGCAACAGCGCGTTAGCTTTTCACCATGTCCATCATCGCCGATTAGCGCCGCCCAAACCAGGCAGCGCAACGGTTGCGCGAAAGCATGGTGTGACAAGGGCCAAGGTGTGCAGTGCTGTGCTCCTGGGCCGAATGAAAGACCAGAGGACATCAATGCAGCAAACCGCTGCTAGGGGGCCAACTTTGGCGGGAAGGGATGCGCAAGCGGAGGTGCCGGGCTGTGACTCGTGGCTTACTTCTTGTAGGGCCGCTCCTGCAGGTTCTTCAACTCGTCCACCTCCCGCTCTATCGCCTGACGCAGCTTGACCTGTGTGCACCAGAGGAGCAACCGAGCAACAGAAATGTGGCTGCTTGCCGACAGAAGGCTACAGAAAGCTGCCGGGACCCCATGCTTGTCCCTCCCTTGCTACACCTTCCACTCAAAAGTCAAAACACATAACCAAAACGCCATAATCCAAAGCTTTATCCCAGCATGCTGCCCCAGCACTCCCCCTTGCCTGCAGGTCCATGAGACGCAGGCCGCGGATCTCCGTGTTCAGCGCCCCACGTGCCGCCCGAGGCGGCTGCTGCTGCTGCGGCGGCGGCGCTGCCACCACCGCTGACGAGGTGGCCGCACCTGCCGGGCCGCCAGCAGCAGCACCACCACCACCAACGCCCTCCGCCGCTTGCTGCAGCTGCCTAGGCCGCGGCCCCGCATCGAACCCAGGTGCCAGCCGGTCCCTAGCACGCATCATCTCCATGAGCTGCTGCAACCGCCGCTTGCGCTTCCGTACAAGTACCTTGTTGTACTCCTGGATCATAAGCCGCGACACGTCCCACTGCACCACAAGCGACGAAGCCTCATGGTGGCTAGCGGCGGCCGCCGTCGCCGTCATAACCGCCACCTTCGCCGCCTCCGCCGCCGCCGCCATGGCCTGTTCCTGCGTCTGACCCGCCGCCAGCGCCGTCGTGATGGCGCTGGTGGCGGCGTTGGTGGCCGCTGCCTGCGTCACTGAGGCGGGTACCTCAACCTCCGGAGGCTCCTTAAAGGTCACCAGGGGGCCCTCGCTGCGGTGAACCTCCTTGGCGCCTTTGGGCGGCTCCAGGGGAGGCGCTAAGGCTACGGCAGCGGCTGGCGCGGCCGCAGCTGCGCGGCCAGCAGCGGCCTGCATGACCGCAGCGGCGGCCCCTGCTACTGCTTGCTGCTGCTGTTGTTGCTGCTGGAGCTGAAGCGCCGCCGCGGCGGCGGCGATGGCTGAGGCGGTCATTTGATGCTGTTGTGGCATGGCGGCCTTGATGGCTTCACTCGCTGCGTTAGCGACGATCTTATTGTGGGCGGCCATGAGCTTCTTGGTGCTCTTCATGGCAAGGGGTGTGGGATAACACTCGGTGAGGGTGCGTTGCCATGTGGGGTCATGCGCCACTGGGCCCTTCTTCAGCGCCTTAAACGCCATGATCTGCGCCTTCAGGACCGCCAGCTGGTTCTCTGTGAAGCCCATGGCCGGCGTGGACGGCGGCCGACCCACGGGACGCGGTTGCGGGGAAACACTGCCGCTGCCGCCACCGTAAGCTGCTGCTGCTGCAATGCCGTTGGGTGTTAGCGACTGGTAGGGATTGATCAGCGCCTGTGCGCCAGGGAGACCTGGGGAGGGTGCTGAGGCTGCATGGACGGGTTGGGGGTGGTGCATGGTGGTGTGCTGCAGTTGGGCTTGCGGTTGCATGGCCGCTGCTGCTGTTGCGCCTCCCCCGCCGTATTGAAGGGCCGAAAGGCCCAGAAGATTGGGTTGCTGTTGTTGCTGCTGGGGCTGGGGAAGACCGCTGGTCGCCCGTTGTTGCTGCTGCTGTTGTTGTTGCTGTTGTAGTAATCGGAGCTGCTGCTGGGCTTGCGCCTGCGCTTGTGCCTGTGCCTGCTGTGCAGCAGCTTGCATTTGCTGCAGTCCGTAAGCGGCCTGCAGCTGCTGCTGGGTTTGCTGCTGCGGAGCCATGGCAAATTGTTGTGGCATGGAACCTGGCTGCATGCCCTCCTGCTTGATCCCTGACGGCTGCTGTTGCTGCGGGGCTAGGAATTGCTGTCCAGGGAACGACGCTTGGGACAAAGCCTGCCCCTGGAGCATCAGCTGCTGCTGCTGCTGAGGCAGTTGGCCCAGAGGCCCGTTGAGCTGCATGCCGTACTGCGCCTGCTGTGTAGGCTGCATCTGCTGCATGCTGCCGTACTGAGGCTGCTGGCCATACCCAAGGTTCTGCATCCTGCCGCCGCGGCCGGTGCCGCTTGCGCGGCCCCGGAGGCTGGCGGCGGCACTTGGGACCCCCTACAACGACGTTGCCCTACGGTAGGTGGTGATCTTTTTCTTCGAATTCCTCGTGCTGGCAACGTCTCTGCGCGCCGATCCGGCAGCTGGTCCACGTCCCTGTTACTATAGACTCTGCTTGAACTGTCTCTGACACGCCCGGACCTGTAAGCTGTGAGGGGAGTGCACAGGGGCCACCAGTTGGCCTACTATGGAGCGTTAAGGGACTGGCAGTCGTCTACCACCCTGTTGTAAACGTTATAAGTTATATAACGGCGTGCGATATGTCTAAGCCACTGCTTCCTCCTTCGCCTACACTAAATAAGTGCGATCGTAGAGAAATCTATCAAGGAATACATGTGTGCATGTCCAAGCAGCTTACGTTTACTTTTAACTCCGGCTTATGCGGAACACTTTGACCCTTTGTGATGAAAGAAAACAAGAAAACAAATTCTGCTAGGCCCGTATGATGCAAGTTCCCTAGGTACTTAGGTTGTTTGGACAGTATACAAACAGAAAAAAGGTAAGCAGTAACCAAGTCGAGCTGAGAAAGGCATCGTATGCATCCGGGAAGTTGGCCAAAGTACGGCAACCCCGATTTCACTGACTCCTTCCCCAGGGGAGGTGTCAATTAGACATATGTGAAAGACTTGAACGATAAGCAGGCCTGATTCTCTAGCGTGTGTTGTAGGAGGACGCGCAGGACACTTCGAGGAGACTCTTCTGCGCATAGTTACAACTTGTTTATTGGTTACATAAAGGTTGCTTACGGGGGCCGCTTGGCCCCGCGGCACCAGGAAAAATGGCGAACGTGTGAGTGCCGCGCCCATGTATGCGCTGAGCCTAGGTCTTCGGATGCAATCGATCAAGGAGGGCATGGTTTCCTGCTGCCTACGTCCATCACCGAACATAGCGGCTGATTTGGGGCATGTTGCAAGCAAAAAAGGGTGATCGCCATTAACTTTCATGCCCGTCCACGCAGCACGTACGATATCATGTGGCGGGAGGCCATGATGGAGCTGCTGGATCAGCTTGAAGCGGAAAATCCAGAGGACCCAGGACTTGCGCCAAAGGTGAGGACTTCTCTCTCCGCATCTGGGTCATGCGCGACATGGCGCTTCCTTTACTTAATAAAGGGGAAATGCTCATCAGTATCTCCCTCTCAGAAGCGAGCAGACCCGAACCTTGTGGATCAGTATGGGGGGGTCGATTAGGGTCATATTATGGGGTATAGGGGCACGGTGTTCTGGTGCGGCTTAACTCCACATACCGCCTTGTGGGACACGGTTGCCCGCTGCTCATCCAACCGGGTCCTTACAATCGCAATTCTTCAAGCCCACCCCCTTGCTCGCTGCTGCCTTGCTTACAGGACCTCTCGGAATGGGCCTGCATCTACATCAAGTATCTGCAGATCATGCGAAAGCTTGAGACAGCGTACGACCAAATGGTCCACCCGCAAAAGCGACAGGTGCGGTCACCCAGAACTTGCCCCGCTAAAACCCCGCAATTGTACGGCAAGGGATTTTGGGAGGGAGCCTGTCGTACAAACAAGAAGGGACAGTGCACCGACTCCAGATTGACAGCACGGCTGTACCCGCATGGGCAGGGACACGGTACACTCGTAGGCAGCTTACACCGCCAGGCTGCTTGGCAAATTGTAACCTCCCTCCTTCCCTCCGCGCTTTCTCTTCAGGACATGCGGAAAGCCCTAGAGGCTTGTATCGGACGCATGTTGGAGATCCGTCACTGGATGGTGGGTGGTGGTGCACGCTGGTCCACGGCTCCGCGTGGGGTTATGCGTGTTGCGGGGCACCAGTGCGCCATTCTGCGGAGGATGCTTGTAATCTGGATAGGACTTAAAGCACGCGCCGTGGGTCGCAGCTGCAACGGCCGGTCTTGTGCCGCAGCACCTGGCAGCACCACCAGCACTGTGGAGCACTGTGGAGCAGCTCCCCGCGCAATGGCAGCCGCACAGTCCCGCCCTTACTGCAGCTCCTGCTCCCTTCACCTGTTGCACAACCCATGACCCGTGTCTCGTCTGCCTCTCCTCTGCCTCCCGCAATCCTGCCCCCCCCCCTCCGCAGGTGAAGCAGAACCGCGGTCTGGACTTCATCAACCTGGACGACATCCTGGTGGACCTCAAGCTGGGGCCCGAGGTGCTGGAGGTGAGAGGGGGGCATGGGGGGCAGGGAGGGTTGGGTGGATGCAGCCTCATGGGGTTCCCAGTGCGCCGGACATGGGCGCCACAAGGGAGAAGGGGCACTTTATTGTGACGGGAACGGACTTTCGGGCATTGTGCATGGGGCAATACTAATAGTTCCTAATTGCTGCCGCTACCGCTGCCCCTGCTGCCGCCCCTGCCCCTGCCGCTGCTGCGTCCGCCTGCCAGGTCCCGGTGCCCAAATACTTCATTGAGGACCGGGCCAAGGAGCTGGACGACAGGGACAAGTTCCTGGAGGTGGGGCTGCTAGAAGGGGTGCTGTTAGAAGGGGGGTTGTTGGGAGAGGTCCTGGGTTGATGGGGACGTGGCGAGTGTAAAATGCCGGGTGTAGAGCCGCGATTGGGTTGATCGGGCTGAAGAGGCATGTTTGATCCTGCAGCCGCAATGCACATGCCATATGACCCCATGCAACACCCTTGTGGTCAGGCCCGCTGCTGGCGTCACCGAGTGTGCGCCTGCCTGTGTCCCCACTGATCCTATTTCCATCCTATCCTTTTCTTGCTGCTCTGTCCACTCCCCGCAGGCCCTGATCGAGAAGTACAACGTGAAAGGGCCGACGACGTCCTCCATCATCCGCATTGGCGCACCGCTTGGGGAAGAGGAGGCCATCTTGATGATTCAGAAGAACGAGCGAGGCCGGCAGGTGGGTGTCTGGCTGGCTGACTGGAACTGCAGCCGGCTTCCCCCGCCAACTGGCGCTTTCTGGCGGGCATGGCATCTGTTTTAACACCATAACTGTGAGCCGGCCTTGTTGGCTGCCGTTCCTTCCGTGCCGTTAATGTCCACCAACCATCCTTACGTCGAGCTTATTACTACTTCCCCATGGGGTTCTTCGCCTCCTCCTCCTCCTCCTTCCCCACCAGGCTCGCGAGCGTGCCCGCCTGGCCGCTATCGCCAAGCGGCAGCGGCAGATGGAGGACCGGCGCGTGCGGTTGGGTGTGACGCTGAGCCACGAGGAGGCGGCGAGGAAGATCCAGGCGGCCATCCGCGGCTGGCTGTGGCGGCGGCGCATTCGCAAGGACGCGGACAAGGAGCTCATGTTCATTGGCATGAAGCCCAAGGTGAGGAGAGGAGAGGCAGCCGGGGGGTGTGTTTAGAGAACTGGCCCCGAGTCGGAACGTACTGTGATTGCCGGAAGATGGAGTCCCACAGAGTGTGTGGGGTGGGGTGGGGGGTGGGGGGCACACGTGGAGTTGAGAAGCTGATGTTAGTTGGGATCTGCTTGATGACATCAGTCTGACTTTCCCTTCCTTTCCCTTCCTTTCCCTTCCTTTCCCTTCCTTTCCCTTCCTTTCCCTTCCTTTCCCTTCCTTTCCCTTCCTTTCCCTTCCTTTCCCTTCCTTTCCCTTCCTTTCCCTTCCTTTCCCTTCCTTTCCCTTCCTTTCCCTTCCTTTCCCTTCCTTTCCCTTCCTTTCCCTTCCTTTCCCTTCCTTTCCCTTCCTTTCCCTTCCTTTCCCTTCCTTTCCCTTCCTTTCCCTTCCTTTCCCTTCCTTTCCCTTCCTTTCCCTTCCTTTCCCTTCCTTTCCCTTCCTTTCCCTTCCTTTCCCTTCCTTTCCCTTCCTTTCCCTTCCTTTCCCTTCCTTTCCCTTCCTTTCCCTTCCTTTCCCTTCCTTTCCCTTCCTTTCCCTTCCTTTCCCTTCCTTTCCCTTCCTTTCCCTTCCTTTCCCTTCCTTTCCCTTCCTTTCCCTTCCTTTCCCTTCCTTTCCCTTCCTTTCCCTTCCTTTCCCTTCCTTTCCCTTCCTTTCCCTTCCTTTCCCTTCCTTTCCCTTCCTTTCCCTTCCTTTCCCTTCCTTTCCCTTCCTTTCCCTTCCTTTCCCTTCCTTTCCCTTCCTTTCCCTTCCTTTCCCTTCCTTTCCCTTCCTTTCCCTTCCTTTCCCTTCCTTTCCCTTCCTATCCCTTCCTTTCCCTTCCTTTCCCTTCCTTTCCCTTCCTTTCCCTTCCTTTCCTTCACCACCTTCTCCTGCCGCTGCGCAGCCCCGCGACCCCAAGCGCGACCCCCAGACGTCCGAGGCCAAGAACCTGATGCGGCGCAAGCGAGTGCAGCTGGAACACGTTCGAGAGTACGACGAGGCCATTGTAACGCTCAAGGGCAAAGTACGGGAGCTGGAGGGACAGGACATGCGCGAAACCATCCAAGACAAGGTGGGATGGGTGGCTGGGTGGGTTGGTTGCGGCTGTATGGGGTATGTGCTTGGTGTTTGGTAAAGGAAGGCCGCTGCTACTGCCGCGTCGTTCACCACCACGTGGCATCACCATTTCTACGTTCCTGCCAAGCTTATCAAGCTTACCGTGCTCTGAAATACTGCGCTCTAAATCCCACGTGCTCTGAAACCCGCGCGCTCGGCCAGGTAAACGCCTGGTTCGTGGAAAAGCGCAACCCGGCAACCGGCGAGTATCCCGACTTCCCGGAGGCGGCGGACGGCGGCTCGCGCATCATCCTCAACCCGCCGCCACCCACTCTGGCGGCGCTGTTGGAGGATGTGGGGCCGGACGGCAAGAAGGGCAAGGATGGCAAGGTGGGTGGGCGGTGGGCGGATAGGAGAGCGGGCGTGGCTGGTATGGCTGCAGTGCTCCATCCCAGTGCTCCTTACCTTTTAAATTGGCACTACCTAAGCAATGCCATGCACCCTCTTGACTCCTGGTCGTCACAACCTGCATCCCAACATGGTACCGGTAAACATGCAATATGGATCGCGTTTACTTGGCGCTATTGACGATAGGTTTGTTTCGGGGTTATTTGTGTGTTAACGCAGCTCGCATGTGTGACTGCGTGTTACATAGAAAACACATGTGTCACTGTGTGTCTGTCTGCTTCCGAGTGCAGAAGGACGCCAAGAAGAAGGACCCCAAGAAGGACGGCAAGAAGGGCGGCGACGACGGGCTGGGTGCGGCGGAGGCGGAGCGCATCGGCGCCGTGTTCATCCCCGCCATCGAGGCGGCGGTGCAGGACTTTGTGGCAAAGTGGCAGGACCGCGACGAGACGGGCAACTTCCACCAAAAGTACGACCCTGAGCTGGTGAAGGACGAGCTGCGGCCCATCGTGTTTGAGGAGATCCGGCTGCAGGTGCGCCGGGAGGGCGGGGGTGCGCTGGGTGGTTGAGATCCATGGCGGTTACACCATACGGGCGGCCGTGCGTTGATGTGTGCGTGTGTGTAGTTGAGCAGAAACAAGAGCAAGCCGTTGGGATGGGTTCGCATGTGAACCGCGAGTACAGGCAAAACAGAGGTAACCAAACCTGAACCTTAACTCAAAAACTGCTTAGATAGCTGGTGCTGGATGTAAGAAGAGTGGCGGGTTGATGACGCATGTCGGTGATGCTGATGGTCTCGGAAAAACTAATTACTACCGAGTACGCTGCCGGGAGCCCCCGTGTGGTATGTCGTGGCATACACTGCCGGCTCCTTTAAGTCCTCGTCGTACTTCCTTTTTACCTTAACCTTTACTTCCTCTTTGTCGTGGACTGCTGCCCGCAGGTGGACGAGGAGATGCGGGTGCTGCTGCAGAACCTGAAGGACCTGGTGGAGGCTGAGCGGGCCGCCAAGCTGGGCAAGAAGGGCAAGAAGAAGAAGAAGAAGGGCAAGAAGAAGGGCAAGAAGGGGAAGAAGGGAAAGAAGGGCAAGAAGAAGAAGAAGGACCCCACGGTAGGTCTAAATCTGGGGCGTGGAGCGAGGGGAGGGTGCGCAGGAGAGTCAACAGGGTTGATGTAAGCGGCTGGCGTGCACAGGGTCTGCCTTCTTTTATCGTATTATCGAATAGCCTCTCCTCCTTCAGTAAACCTTTCTCAACGGCCCGTTCGACCTCAACCCTAACCCCAACCCATCTTCCCATATAAGTATGCGCTTACTGCATGAATCGGGATATGGGATTGGGACTCCGTTGCTTCATTTTCCATTCAAAATTTCCCTCCCTTCCCCGCCCCCCTCTTCCACTTTCCCCCACCTGCCAGGCCGACCGCTCCATCGAGTCGTTGTTCGCGGAGCTGGTCTCCAACGGCATCCTGCAGCAGTGCCCCCACGTGCACGTGCGCGACTACCTGGGCTCCTCCTCCTTCATGGCGGCCACGCTGGAGAAGGCGAACATCATACCCGACCCCTCCATGGCGCAGGTGGGTGGGGTAATGGAAATACGGACACTAAGCACTGGGAAGCATACGACGGAGTGGGGTTTGTGTGCAAGTACAACGGGGTCTGCATACCGTACCGTTGCTGGCGCGCGACGTGCAAAAAGCGCTCGTCCATGACATGTGCTAGCTGCCGCCGCTAAACATCACAATGACGACTCTCGCCCCTCCTTCCCGTGGCCCCCCAAAACCCAACCCTGTCGTACACGTGTGCATGCACATACCCGCAGGTACGGCAAGCGCTCACGGAGTACTGCATCCTGCCGCTGGGCTCGCAGTTCATCCACGAGCGGGCGCCGTACATCAAGTCACTGCTGTTGTACGGCGCGGAGAAGACCGGCAAAACACTCATGGCGCAGGTGAGTGGGTGGGGAAGAGAGAAAGAGAAGCTGTATGCTGTGAGCGCGTATCGTTTGAAGCGAAAACATGGTGGGGGCAACTATGCCGATCCCTTGGTTGAGAAGAGTTGGAATTAGCAGTACGGGTGTATGCGCCTGATATACTGGTGGTTACCGCTATCTACGTGGTCTTGCCTACCCTCTTCTTTTTCCCGTGCCTCGCCTCAGGCCATCGCCAACCTGAGTGGCGCCAACTTCTTCGACATCTCTCCGCGCAACACGGACGGCAAGTACCCGGGCAAGAACGTGGCCATGATGATTCACATGGTCTTCAAGGTAGGACTGCCGAGCGGGACTGAAGTACTTTATGCTACCTGTAGCCAACTTCCACTTCTTCCTCCGCTTAGCGCAGGGCCGGCCTGCCATTGCCTGCTGCCCTGCCCTTCGTAGCCTCCCTGCATGCTCTCCTTACAGCCCACACCAGCCTCACGCCGTCGCGCCGTCACGTCCCTCACCCCACCCGCCTCCCACTCAGGTGGCCCGCACCATGGCTCCCTCCGTCGTCTACATCGACGAGGCGGAGAAGGTGTTCCTAACCGACAAGAAGAAGCTGCGAGAGTTCGGTAGCCAGGTGGGTGGGGGGTTGGTTTGGTTGGTTGGATGGCGGTTGGGGAGTGCACTCTTGAGGGCGCATGCACCCATGCAGACGCACAGCCCCTCCAGCATGAGGTGCATGACCTCGTGCAGTATCCGTCTCTGCATTGCGTTCCAATGCCGGTACGTTGCTCTCATCACCTGCGCCCACCGCCTTGCCTCACCTCGCCTCGCCGCCTGCACACTGTTGCCTGAACAGGAGCCCTTCAGCCGCATCAAGAAGGAGCTGTTGAAGGAGGTCAAGAGCCTCACTCCGGGCGAGCGCGTGCTGGTGCTGGGCAACAGTCGGGAGCCCTACCTGTGCGTTAAGAAGGACGAGCGCTCCTTCATGGGCTTCTGGAGCAAGCACATCTTTATGCCACTGCCCGACTACGCCTCGCGGCGGGTCATCTGGCCGGGGCTGTTCGAGCGGCACCAGGTGCGTAGCAGCTTCGGTAACAGGGCTGGCCGCGAGTCGGTGCGAGTGGGCTTTGCGTAGTGCCGGAAAGACGTAGTGGGGTAAGGACCGCAGAAACACCGTCTTCCAACGCGCAAACTCCTGGTTACGTTAAGCCCCCGCAAGCTACGATTCCCGCCCCCGACCCCGCGCCCGACCCCTGCCCCTAACAATCGCGACCCCTAAGTATCCCGACCCCTATATATCCCGAGATTCCCGACCCCAATCCCCCGCCGCCCCCCATGCCGTACGACAGGGCCGCCTGACGTACGAGTTCGACCTGAGCACGCTGGCGCACATTAGCGACGGCTACTCGGCGGGTCAGCTGGACATGGTGGTGCACTCGCTGCTCACCAAGCGGCGCATCGAGCGGCTGCGCTCCGCACCCGTGGACATCCCCGAGGTGCTGCAGTGGATGTGCAAGGTAGGGGGGAGGGTTGCAGCTGGGGCGGGGTGGCGGGAGCGGCTGATGTTGATACATTGCCGTCGGCGCTGGTTTTGCTACTTGTTGGGGAGGTGTATTGCGAAGAGGTGCCAGAGGACAGCTCGTAGCTTTGTGATACGGTGCCTCACACAGTTTAGGTCTGTGTAGGCTTTGCTGCTGTACATCCACCCACCTCTTTTGTCGTACTTGTGTCGTACTACAGGTGGAGCCCATCAGCCGGGAGGTGGACGAGGCGCTGCGCCGCTTCATGGACAAGACCCCCGCCATGGCTGTGCTCAAGGTGAGAGGGAGGGGGAGGGAGGGCTCATGCAAGCAGAGGGAGGGGAGAGGGACCCTGCGAAGGCGTTGCAGACGAGAAGCCTTGCGACTGTTACGTGCGTTCGTGTGCTTATGGTGGCTGCTTTACTCGCACCGGCACTGCTTGTGTTGTGTGGGTTTGCCGCTTATTCAAACTTCTCCCATCTTCTCTTGCAGGGCGGCGGCAAGCCCGGGACATCCGGCAAGAAGGGTGGCAAGAAGGGCAAGAAGGGCGGCAAGAAGAAGAAGTGAGGAGCGAGGCGGCTGCGAGGCTTCGGTGGTGTAGAGACCGCTCGGGCAGCTGGGCTCCAAGCGATCAGCTCCAGCTTTCTTTCACAATTTCTTGGGTTTGGAACTTCTTGGGTTTGGGTCTTATGGCCGCAGGCGGCTGTGAATAGGTGGATGTGACATGGGCTCAAAAGGGAAGGGCCGTTGGTGGGGATGCTAGCAAGAGGTGTGCCAGCTAGGTGTGTCAGCCGGGGGGTGGGTGCAAGTGGTCTGCGTCAGCGCATGCGTGCTAGCTGGCGGTCTTACGACGAGGCTGCGAGGACATCTACCGATGGGGTGAGAGCGGTGGTTTGCGTGCCGCCGGGTGACCTGACGAGGCGAAGTTAAGAGGCGCGCTGCGAAGTGTGCCAGTCGCCGACTGGTATGCCGGTTGGGTATCTCATATTGCGGATACCTAGCGGCGATGCTGCGACTGACGCGGTGGGTTTAACGGGCGCGCAGCAGATGGATAGGCGTTCATACATGTTCGTAAGGAGCATTGCGTGCTGCGTTCATCTTTAGCTGAGTTCGGATGGCCTTATCCTAGATAGGTTTAGGCGTAGATGTTGGCCGGGTAATTTACTGCGCTAGGCGAGCGCAGGAGTCGCATCCGTGCAAAGCAGCGGCGGTTGGCAGTTACTGTATTGCCTCACTAAGAAAGTGTGGCAAACTGTACAACCCGATCAGCTATTGTAAAGCAATTTGCATTAGGTAAGTAGCTTTGCAAATTGTCTCTTCAGGGATACGAAAGGGTCTTGTCGGGCTACGACGGGCCGAGAGTCACGTCCCAAGCCCAAGTCCTGTCGACTGTCCGGACGTCAACTCACTCCACGTCCGAAAGTAGCTATATAATCATAATTTACACTCACACTGTCATCAGTCCAGTTCAGCCATCTTGGCTCCGTGATACAGAGATCGCTCGCTTGCTCCGCCTATCCAACTGCCCTGCGCAATACTCCTTTACGGAGCCTTCGCTGCAGGCAAAAAGGCTCTAATTACCCAGATCACGATACATCTACAGTTAATTACCTATTGTGATCGCGAATACTGCTTCTACAGTTAGGTAGCTCGAACCGTCACAGTATGGAACGTCGTGCCAGAAAGTCGAAGGCCCCTGCCTTCGTCGCCGTGTTCGCAGTGATAGTATCCCTGCTGCTGCTTGAGGGACCTGCAAGCAGCGCAGCAGCGCAAGCAAGCGGCATTCAGCCCCCGGCTATCGTGTCGACGCCTCTGTCGCCCGTCCCGATTGCAGCCGGGAACCCCCTGGCCCCACCAACCTCCCCATCTCCGCCAACCCCACAGCTGCTGTCACCCCCACCTCCTTCGCCACCTCCCCCCTCGCCTCCTCCTCCATCCCCGCACCCACCTACCTCTTCATCACTACCACCCTCACCACCGCGACCTGGCTGGCCAACCTGGCCTCCGGTCCCCGCATCCTCCTCATCGTCCCCCTCACCCCCGCCACCACAACCACCGCCTCCCTCCTCACCAGTAGCAGCACTGTCCCCTCCATCTCAACCCTCCCCACCTGCACCTCGGGCGCCCCCGCTGTCGCCGCCGTCGCCCCCACCATCTCCAAAGCCAATGCCTCCGAAGCCCAAGCCGCCCAAGCCCTCGCCGCCCTTTCCCTCTCCCCCTACCCGACCGCCTCCCGCGGCTCCCCCCACAGCCCCCAGCCCCCCGCCGCCCTATCCACCGGAGGCCTTGACGGTGAGTGGGAGCCGCATGGCACAGGCGGCAAACTACCCGTAGGTAGCTAGTTCCCGCATACTTGAGATAGGAGTGTGCAATAGAAATGCCGTACCGTGTTTCGGGACCGCTAGATAGCGTGCCTCTTGGTGTTCTTAACCTGCCCCATCCTCGCTCCCAACTCGCTTACCGGTAACTCTACTCCGCAGGTAGTGGACGGTCCGTTCCCTTGTACCGCGATACCCATCGACGGAAAGGATTTCCGCAACAGGCGCTTCCTGGTATCGCCATCTCCGAACCCAGCCGTCTCGTCCCTGCCTGACTTTGGCTACACGATTGAGGTGCGTCAGACTGGATAGTCTGCCTGGTATGTGCGCTAACCGTCACTTAACCGCCACGCTGCGCCCCTCGTTCCTCGTTCCTCGCCCCCGCCCCCCCGCTTCCTTACCCCGCTTCTGCCCCCCAACTACCATCCACGCGCCCTGCAGGTCGCCGGCATGCTGCGGAGCGGCCCCGTCTACATCTGCACCAGCGAAGCCGCATGCGCCTCACAAGAGCTGGCGGACCAGGGGATCGAACAGGGGACCGTGGTGCTCATCGCGCCTGGCGACCCAGGCGCCCCGCCGGCCGAAAGCGGCAACCGGCTCATGAGGTCAGCGTCGGAGTTCCCCCGGGGCATCTACGTCCTGGCTAGCTCGGATGGAAGCGGACACGCCTACTCCATTGACGTGAGTTATGTCCAATTGTCCCTGCTCCTATCAACTGCCTTGCTCCTCCGCGCAACAGCCTAATGCCGCAACTACTCTCAACAACAGCTAACTAGCTCCGTGTTACCCAAGTTGCCGCCCAAAGGACGTGCACACGGCACAAGGTCCGCCCTTGCTTGAACATCGGTCCTGCCTTACTTCCCCCCCACCTCCGTCCTACGCACTTATTTCTTCCCGCCCCGCCCACAATCTGAAATCTGTCCCCGCAGGTTTGCACCCGTGTGCCCGCCACCACCACTTGCTCCGATTTCTACGGAATCATGTCTGTGCTGCGACCCGCGGACGCCCTGACCCCGCCCGCGGTCCTGAACAGCTCCCTGTACGGAGCCGTGAAGAGCCCCGTGGCCTGGTCCTCCACACTTGCCCTTCGAGCAGGCACGGCCGCTGACTACCCAGACGTGACGGTGCTGACCTCTGAATGCGCGCCGCCGCCGGGCGTGGACAACAAGCGTTCCGTGGTGTTCTCTTGGGCCTGGGATTACAGCGGCCTGCCAGCTTCGGTCGCAAGCACCGGCTTCGTCGCTGTCTACCGCCGCTATCCGCTCACGCAAATGTCGCCTGGCAGCTTCACCGTGAAGTTCTCGAAGCCGCCTAGCGTGCGGTTGGCGGTTGTGGTTCGCGTGAACGACTCCAATCCGGATGTCGTTGGCACACCGTTGGAGATCCGAGAGGTTATTGCCACGTCGGATACGCCCAGCTTGGTCGTTCCGGGTGGCATCGTTACAGACATCACGTTTGAGTTCCTCATTCCTTCGCTTGCGGAGCTTGACAACGTCGAGCAGATGAGTGCCGCGGTGAGCATGGCATGGAAACCCGCACCGCCATCTCCGCCTCCCGCGCCGCCGCCGCCGCCATCTCCGCCGCCGTCGCCGCCGCCGCCTCTCCCTGACGCTCCCGCCTTTCCTACGGTGCCTTCGCCGCCGCCGCCGCCTCGGCCACCGAGCCCCCCCAAGCCGCCGGCCCCACCGCCGTCGCCCCCGCGGCCACCCAAGCCTCCGTCGCCACCGCCGTCGCCTCCTGCCCCCCCGCCTGTTCCTCCATCGCCACCCAGTCCTCCTCCCTTGCCGCCAGGGACGCACGGAGTTCAGGATCTTGGGTCATCAGCGGAAACAACGCGGGGACAGATGCCTCTGACAGCCTTACTTGCCGCGCTGACGTTGGTTGTTGTGTGGCAGATGCGCGCTTAGGTCATGGTGTAGGGTATTAGGCAGGGATTAAGACATGGCGGAGGCAATGGTGTAGGTGTCAGACATGAAATTGTTGGCTTGGTGCCTTTGGTGCAGTTTTGCGTGTCATGGTACTGCTGTTCGTGCACGCGTGCGTCTATTCTGGTCTGCTTATTGTATGTTTGCCGTGCATTGTGCATAGTTATGTTTTGAGTATGTGTGCGAACGTATTTCTCTCTTCTTTAATTCTCATTTCGTACTGTTTGGCGTACGGTAATCTGCTGAGTATTGGTAAGTATGTTAACAGGGGTATGTACCATGCGTGCTATAATAGTTGCGTACAATTCGTCGTAACAACATTGCTACACACAGTGTGTGGATGCCTATGTAGGGACTTACATAGTCAGCCGATAGGTCAAACATTAGTAGTACAGTGATGCTCATTTATGTAAGTTCACACGTATCTGGTACTAAACCATCGAAATTTCACGTACATACGGCAATCAGACATATGTAAGACAAGTAAAATGATGAACGTAAGGTCAGTAACAGGAAGCAGTAATTGTACAGGTGTAGGCAAAATACAAGTGTAGCGTCAGTACGAGCAGAAGCGTCAGTAGAAGTTTCACCTCACACACTTGCAACACTACCGTATGTCAACACCCTGAACGACAGTACAACATCCGCCAATGTCACCACAACAAAACAACAACCTTACAGCAGCAACCCCAAACCCCTGACAGCGAAACACTCTTTCTCTCTCTCTCTCAAACCTTCCCTATCTCTCTTCTTTCTCTGATTCTCTCACATCATTCAAAGTTTCGCTCACATGTCACTCACACATTCCACCTCACTGCATCTCTCATCCCAGCAGCGCAGATCCCTTCACCAACTCCGCAATCAGCAGACCCGCGAACCCCAGCTGCGCCACCCGCCCCACCAGCCGCTCCCGCGCCGGAGTGAACGGCCCAAACGACTTGGAATCAACCTCCAGGTTCCCCACCAGCTTTGGAACCAGAGTGGCCATTGTCGTGAGTCCCACCACGGCTCCAAACAGCAGTGTTGCGGTGCCGTGCGGGGCCTCCACCAAGTCGCCGTCGATGTAGCGGCCCGCAATCTGCGACCAGACGGCCTGGTGGGTAGCGGCCTCGGATATGAGCGCGGCGACGAAGCCCAGCATGGCTGCACGGCCGTTAATAGCCTCTGCAGGCATGAGGCGGGGAGGTGGAGGAGGGTTGAGCATGGGCGGGAAAATGGGCGTGAGGGCAGGTGAGTGGTTTAGCGGGTGCGTGGCCTGGTGATGGGAAGGTTGCCAGAAGCGAATGTGGACTGCGCGGCTCTTTAATTCCGTGTCTAACAGCCTGTTGTCTAAGTTCTGCTTCCTGTCGGCAAGGATAGCTGCGACAGGCAACGAAATCCTCATTCAACTTGGGCCATGTAGCTTGCGGCCTAATCACGTACCTTGAGTGCTGCCTAAGACGGCTAGCTGACCAGTAGGACCTTGGTATTCCTCAGTTGTGGACATGGTTGGTGCTGATGGCGGGGGCAAGGATGGCTCACGAGTGGTAACCGTGGGCTCCAGTTCTGGCGGTTTAGTATTGTCGTCCTGTTTTCCGGTAAAAAGGAGAAACGTGTGGTGACATGGACTCAGCGAGCAAAGCAAGTCGGGCAAGACATCAGCGTCTCGAGATAGTCACCGAAACTCAAGAAAATTCTGCTGTAAGTAAGCAGATCGACAATTCTTACATTGGGTTGAGCACGGACTACCGTGCGACGAAGGGTAGTGGCACGAGGACGACTCGCAAAAGGGATGCTATGCCGCGATGCAAAGGCGGGGCGCGGACCAGCGACAATGGTTACCGACGTCATAGCTTATAGGGGAAACTATTAAGAAGTGTGATACCAAGTCCTGAAATATTTGACAATTAGCTTGACCGCTGCAGCTTCTCTTACGTAGATGGGCGAAAACACGCTTTTATAGCCTAAGTAAATACAACAACAATTATGCTAGTGATTGGTAGTGGTCCACGCTTCCCGGAATTTGTGGTCCAGCAGGCCGGATTGTATGAGCCACCCGTACGCAACGGAGGCCGTTAGCGGTTGAGGACAGACGCCAATAGCAGATTTATACCCTTTGTTCCTAGCCATAATTTTTTGCTACGATTATATTGAATATTGATCTTGTGCTACAAACCAGCTCGTGATAGCGGGTCAACGCATCGCACTGGGCTTGCCGAAATGCTGTTTTGCTGTATAACACCTTAAATCAATGCAAGACAATGTGTGTGCCGGCCGCCCAAGGATTTGATGCTTTCCCAAGACTTTAGCCGAAGGTGGAAACAGTACAGTATAGTAAGGAGCCACTATCATATATTGCGAACTGTGGTTTGCGTCAACCCGCTATACGTTCTAATGCCATAAATGCCATTTATGCGGATTAGCCGCATTAATAGTGCTTGTCAGTCGACGACTCTTCTTCCGTTGGTTTGGAGTTGCCCCTGTCTGCGATCATGCATGCAATATACTCGCCCATAGCATGATTATGTTAACTGAACACCTTGCACACATTCCCTGCGAGGACCCTTTCCTTATGCTAGTCCGACTTACCGTACCGGCATATGAAGAGGCGCCACAAGCATTTAGGTGGTCTCTTCAAGGTCACAAAGCCTTTAATTATAGGATTATTAACACAGCTTTGAGCGTTGCCACATGTGTTGTTAGTCCACACAACCTGTCTTGTCGTCCGTCTTGTCGCATGACTCGCGACTACCTGTCGCATCAATAGGTCACACCGTACGCCAGGTCACAGCTAGCCATCATTTAGTATATAATACGTCGCCGTGCTATGGACAACAACAACAGCTTGGCAGCTGACGACCAAGCTCTCCTTGTGTAGTTGGCCTAGCTAATTGCCGGACCGGACCAGGCGTATTCTCGGCCTTCCCACTGCAGCACAAACCTGCATATTCGGATTATATACATATATTACCAGACAACTCAAGCTGCACTTGGCACCATGCGATGCCGAGGCGTGTCGGCCTCGCTTCTCCTGCTACTCTCCTTAGCGGTGTTGCATACCACACCGATACGCTGCAGCGCAACACGACCACCCTCTGATGACGCAGACAGCTCACATCAAGGTCCGGCAGAGCTGTCACTTCCGCAATTCCCGCCTCGATCCCAGCAACAAAGCCGTGTGCGCTTCGCACGGGCGCTCAACGCCTTTGCTGATGCTCCTCCACCTCCATCTCCGGAGCCCTCGCTCTACATCCTAATCATTAACGCCCTCCTGTCCAGCCCTCCTCCCCCGCCGCCGCCGCCTTCTCCAGAACCGCCCTCACCTCCCCCACCGTCACCCAAGCCCAGCCCGCCTTCCTCGCCAAGCCCTCCCTCGCCCAGGCCCAGCCCTCCAGGCCCCCCGCCACCCAGGCCCCCACCGCCGGCTCCGCCGCCGCCGCCCCGGCCTCCTTCTCCGCCTCCTCCCCGCATGCCCGCTACACCCAAGCCGCCACCTCCCTACCCGCCGGAGGAGCTAACGGTGAGTTGGGTGTTGCCACATACATGCATGGCTCTGTCTTGGCACTGTCATGCATGGCACTGTCATGGCACTGTCATGCATGGCACTGTCATGGCACTGTCTAGTAAAGCACCTTGGGCTGGTTCCTACAGCATGCGAAGTGGCGGATTGCTGGGACCATGGAAGCTGGCGCTGTGGGTCCTAGGGTTTCATGCATTGGGCTAAACGGCTGACACACTCCCGCCCCTGCCATGCTTCCACCCATTCACAGGAGATCGGTGGCCCGTTCCCCTGCTCCTCGGTTGTGCTGGATGGAATGGACTTCCGCGCCCAACGCTTCCACTTCTCACCCGCCCCGGACCCCACGGTATCGGTGCTGCCTAGCTTCACCTATACAGTGGAGGTAAGCGGCCCGTGATGTTACAGGAAGGCGTAACATAGGGTCCACATGGAAGGCAAAGGAATGCTGTCAAAGGCAATGCTGCAGGCATGCACAAGTGAACGGGATGTGGCCTTAAGGACGGCGTGTAACCAACTGGTTCCTGCAGTTTCATGCCCCTTCCGCTTCCTTACCCGTTCCTTTCTTACGGTGCTTACCTGCCTACCTGCCTGTTATTTTCATCCTCTCAGGTTACCGGTCTGCTGCGAACTACCCCCGTCTACGTCTGTTCCACTGCCGCGGCCTGCGCCAGCCGTGAAGTTGCTGCTGAGAGTGCGGCGCAAGGGTCAGCCATCCTCATTCCGCCAGGCGACAGGGCCGTAGCGCCGTACAAGAGTGGTAACCGGCTGGAGCTCCGAAACACGGACTACCCAAGCGGCGTGTTCGTACTCGCAGCGGCTGACGGCTCAGGCAACGAGTACAGTGTTGAGGTAGGAATATGATACCGTCACCTCCTTGGTTGCCTAGGTCTCGGGCTACTTCTGTTATACACCATCTGCAGAGCATGCAGGGCCGCTTTTGCCCAAGGGACCCAATGTGTCTTAGGTGTGGCAGCAGCGGCGGGTGGGACGCAACATTGGAACTGAACGCTGCCCTTTACTAATGGAGACATACCTCCTGCCCCCTGTAACCCACCCATCCCCGTCTTGTAGATCTGTCTCCGTGTGCCACCGACCACATCCTGCTCTGATGCGTACGGCATCATCTCATTGCTGCGACCCGCGGACGCCCTGTCACCTCCGTTAGCCCTCAACGGCTCTCTGTACGGCGCCATAAAGCCGCCCCTCAGCTGGTCTGTCGCCACAGCCCAGCATGCGGCTTCCATGGCCGACCTGGAAAGCGCCACGCTATCAGCTGAATGCGCACCGCCGCCTGGTGTGGATGCGAAGCGTAGCGTGGTGTTTTCTTGGGGCTGGGATTACAGCGGCCTTACGACAGCCCTCGCGAACTCTGGTTTCGTAGCCGTGTTCCGTCGCTATCCCCTCACCAAGATGGTTTCTGGCAGCTACAATGTGCAGTTCTCCAAGCCGCCTGGGGTTGCCCTGGCGGTCATTGTGCGCGTGCGGGATTCCAACCCGGACGTGGCCGGCGCATTGCGAGAGGTGGTGGCCGTGGCCGACGACCCCAACTTGATCGTTCCGGGCGGCAGCGTCACCGATGTAACGTTCATCTTCTACGTCCCGCCGCTCCATCAACTGAACGATGTCGCAGCCATGAGTGCTGCCATCTCCATGACGTGGCGGCCCGCGCCTCCGTCGCCACCGCCCGCGCCCCCCCTGCCGCCGTCTCCACCGCCTACGCCGCCGTCTCCGTCCCCCCCACCGCCCAGCCCCAAGCCGCCCAGCCCTTCTCCGCCGCTTCCACCGGCGCCGTCCCCGCCGCTGCCCCCTATCGCTCCCAGCCCGCCTCCGCCGTATCCTCCAGAGGACCTAACGGTAGGTTAACCGGCAGTATGAGAGAAGTGGAAAATGCTGTTGGTTGGTGCCTTTGCATGCAGTCGTTACTGAACTGTTGCATACGGTAGCTTTGCATGTCGATGCGCGCTGTTGACTTGCTCGGGCAGCTTTACTATCCTTCATTAAATTGGCCATACCCTTGCCCAATGTCCCTCCCAACCCTTCACAGACTGATGACGGTCCGTTCCCATGTGCTTGGGCTGAAGTTGACGGCCAGGATTTCCGCTCGCGGCGATTCTTCTTCCCGCCCTCGCCCGACCCCACACTTCCAGCTAACTTTGGCTACACTGTCGAGGTGGGACCCTGTACTTTGCTAACATGGAGCGTGTGAAGTTGGAAGCGAAAAGGGGCGACGCACAATGCTCTCTGTTGCATGCGGCATGTTTTCACGGCATATAACGGTATGAGAGCCATCCTAACATGCGTGTCGTGTCCCTCCTCCCTCACAAATACAGACTACGGGTCTGCTGCGAACCAGCCCCGTCTACATCTGCGCCACGGAGGCCGCATGCGCCACTCCAGAAGCCGCTGCTGCTGGTGTCGACTACGGGGAGGCTGTGCTGGTGCCGATCCCGAGCAACAGCAGCAGCGATGCCGAGCGCTTGGTGCTGCAGGGCTCAGACTACCCCGATGGAATCTATGTGCTTGCGAGCGCAGATGGAACTGGCAACGCCTATTCCGTCGAGGTGAGGGGGCTGGCTTGCAGGTGGCTGTAGACAAGGCAGCATGGATATCAGAGGAGGCCCTGACCTTCCTCTCAAAGAGCAGCAGGGAAGAGCTGCTGAATGTTTACCTGGCTGCGCCTGTAACATGCTTTCGTACCAAGCTCTTTCCTGCTCTGCGTTTGTTCCTTGTGTCTCCCCATCACAGGTGTGCACACGTGTGCCCCAAAACGCCGTCTGCTCTGACAACTTCGGAAGCATGTCGCTACTGCGTCCGGCAGATGCGCTGTCCCCTGCCGTACAACAAAGGGGGACTTACGGCGCCGTACCGGACCCGATCGACTGGTCCGCTTCCTTGGCCCAGCTCGCGGCTAGGGCTGCGGATTCACCCACTGCTGCGGTTACATCGGAGTGCGCCCCACCGCCCGGCATGGACGCAAAGAAGAACGTGGTGTTTTCCTGGGGCTGGGACTTTAGCAGCCTCCCGCCTTCCCTCACCGCCTCTGGCTTCATCGCCGTCTACCGCCGCTATCCGCTCACAAAACTGGCGCCGGGAGCTTACAACGTCACCTTTTCAAAGCCCGCGAATGCTCGGTTGGCGGTTATCGTTCGGTTCGCCGATGCCAACCCCGACGTCGCCGGAACGCCGGCAGGAATTCGAGAGGTCGTTGCTGCGGACAGTATGCCCCAGTTTGTCGTACCCATGGGCAACATCACCGACGTGACCTTCGTTTTCCTCGTCCCGCCACTCCAAAACCTGGACTACGTCCCCAAGATGAGCGCTGCTATCTCCATGTCATGGCACCCTGCTCCTCCCTCACCGCCCCCTGCACCTCCATCGCCGCCGTCCCCGCCGCCGCCTCCACGACCTCCCAGCCCGCCATCGCCGCCCCCTCCCCGTCCCCTTCCGCCACAACCCAGGAGGCCGCCTTCTC